CCCCCAGAGATACAGTAATTCAATAATGCTACGCCCAGACAATGTCCTTGAGTGGATAGCAGTGACTCGCGTCGAAGTATAGTTTGGCACTGTTCGGTTCGATATCTCTGCTGGGGGATTTGCTAGCTTGGGCGACGAAAGCTTGCCTGCTTTACGAGTAATCGAGGGCACTAACTACATACTAATCAGGTACCTCCGCTACTCGAGTCGCTTGACGGCCACTGTACTCCGTAAGATGTGACATACGGAATACTACTGCAGCAAGATAGACCTTATGTGGAACTCAAACGGTCTGAGAACATGGCGCGGAGATGCACGAGCGCAATGCATCCCATAGTGAAAAGTGATACTACTTACTCATACACACTTGCTACCAGGTACCTCGCGATAGTAACCTCAGGCGGCACGTGGTTCGTCAGGGCAACACCATTATCAAGAAAATGTGGCTCGAGAGCACGGATACCGTACAGAACTTTTGGTTCCTGAATGGCAATCTTTCCCATCCGATAGGTTCTAGAGGGACACGGGTCCTTGGTGTGCCTTGCACACGAGCCAACTCTCTAATCTGTCTGACCAGTGACCACCGACTGACGCAGCACTCGCGCAAGGGGGCAGGGGGGAGAGGAGCTTCATGCTCCGTACCCGTCGTTATATTCACCAGCCCTGACGGTTTGCATTCAGGCTTCCACGGACGGGAACCTCAGGCGGGTGAGGTTCTCGATCCTGGAGCTCTAAGACGAGCGAGAAATGCTTTATCCAGACCCGGCATAGAATAGATGGTTATGAGGGATTGGGATTCTCATTTTATGAACAGAGATCAGAAGCTGTGGGTGAAGTTCCCCGTGCAACGCCGGTCCGTGCATCTTTTCAATAAATGTCAGTGCACGGACAGACAACTTGGCCGGCCTGTCAAAACCGCCAATATGTTCGGAGTATTCCCGACACGAAGAGGCTTGCGCCGATCAGATCCATCACCTTACTCGTAGACTACGGAGTGCTACCGGGCTCAAATTTCCTCTCCCGCCTCGGCTTGAGGTTCCACTTCAGAGACTTTGAACTTCTGTCAATGCTGAGCCTACTTGTCGCTCGCCGTAGGTCTGGTGGCTGTGGTGGTCCCCAGTAGTACTAGGATTACTGCAAGTCGTGCGTGGGCGGTGGCTTGCATTTATCCAGGATCATTACAATCCACTCTGTCAATGCGGCACAGCCCCATCTTTTCGACGGATCGCGCTCAATCATGCTCGAGATGCCTTGGAGCACTAACTCGCCTGTTTCGGGTTCATGGCCTTCCTGCTTGAGCTTCTCAGGCAGTCCCGATGGGATCTTGCCTCGTTGAAGACCCTGAAGAACATGCATGCGCTCCGTGGCTGTCCTGCAGCACCACAGCATCTCGACTAGAATCACACCGAGTGCAAAGACGTCGAGCTTCTCGTCGACTACTGCGTTTGAGTTGCACTTGTTTCGTGCGTCGCGGAATGGAGGAGGTCGATAGTATTGCGTTCCCACGACTCTGCGGTTACCTGTCCCGCCAATCATGGAGTCTAGAGTTGGCTCTGCCACGAGACCGAAATCCCCTATGCGAGGATTGATGTAGTAAGGGCTTGAGCCCTCACATCCAACGCACGATCCAACGTCGTGATAACCTTCGGCAATCAAAGACCCTGCGTTCAATTCCATGCTGGACATGAAGATGTTGGTCGGTTTGATGTCCCGATGAATTAACCCCTTGGCGTGGATGTATTGCAATCCGCAAAGAATGCCCAGTAGGATCCTGAGAGCTGGGACCAAATGGAAACAATGTCGACGACTCAGGCTGCCACTGTTAGTTGACTGATGCTGATGCTGACCGTGGCCTTGACCTTGCGGAGCTAGGTATTGTGCCAGTGTCAAGGGATAGACAGACATTTGCACGTGGAGCACATAAACCGAGCTATCTAATACAGTTTCAACTCGAGCACCAGGCTGAGCATCGCCATCAGTGAAAATCTCTGAAGTTCGTCCAGCGATTGACTCTGTCTCAGTTGGATGCGCAAATGTCACAGACGGGGCCGGGGGATCAACATCGACTTTGTCTGTCACAGCTTTGGAAACGCTGTCTGAGCCGAATATGATCCCGTCGCTCACTTCCGACACCTGCGCGGGAGGAAGATGACGAGATGCTGACCCGACCGCTTCTATTAATCTCCTCCCTCCAACCGTCAGACTAGGCTTCCTTGGTGTGTATACCATCGAAGCTGTTTCTTTTGGTTCCTCAATCCACGTTGCATGGTACCGAACGATGTTGTTATGCTCAAGCTGTGCTAGAGCTTGGACCTCTCGAAGAATGCTTTCCAACTCTTTATGACCAGATTCTCTGTATCTCTGGGACAGCCTTGGACTGAGTGGGATCTTCTTGACTGCATACTCCTTCTTGTCAAAAACGTTGTACGTATGATACACTGCCCCGAACCCTCCGCGACCGAGAAACTTTAGCTGCTGAAAGCTAGACTCGTAGTGACTCCGCCTCACTGTAGGACTCGTGAGGATTAAGTCTGAGTATGGACTCGGTGGTGCGTTCGACTCGGAAAATAGGGATAAACTACCGGCCACTGCTGCTAGATTGTGTTGCCCAGTCATCTGATTGTGGTGGTTTGCCTGCGTCAATGCAAGCAAATGATTGCGCGATGGAAGTTGTGGTCGTCCCTGGCCAGGCAAGAAATTGCCACTCTGAAGCCTTCCTAGGGCGAGACTTTCGATTCCACTTAAGTAGGTGGCACGAGTTTGTCTGCTTCCGATGTTATCATTAGCAGCCGTCGGGGTAATCCACCCATTCAATGCCAGCGGCTGACTGGCTTGTTGGAAAAGTCTCTGTGCTAGAGGTTGAATTTCCGGTGAATGTCGGTCATAGTTGCGGCCCGGATTGGCCTTATTCATTTCTTCGCAAGCACGATTCTTTACAAAGTCCTCGAGCAATGCCGAGAGCAAGAGGCTGCGATGTTGTTCTATGTTGTGGAAGTCGGCGAATGGGACTTCCTGCCCCTCGCCGCCAACGGACACGCTTTCATGGCTGGAAAGGGACTCGGTGGTAATGGTTGGTCCAACCTCTTCTCCAGCCGAAATCTCCAACTCTTCCTGGGAATCTTCAGCTGGCTCTGCATCGTCGCTGTCCGAACTCGAGCTTTCATCTGTAGGCCGGCGGAAGAATGCGGAACTCATCACTTCGAAAGCGAGGCTCCATAGACCTTCAATTGAGTAGTGGCAAGGCTGTTACATTGGTGAAATAGAAGTGCCGAATGGTCAGATTATCTTGCACACCTGTACGCGGCAGATCTGGAAACTCTGATTTAATCACATAGGTGACAGAGAACGGACGCTAAGGTGATCCGGAAGTGAGGAAGTGCCACCGTGTAATCAGATATATCTTATGTCGCTTGTCCTTTGTATGGCTTCCAGTGAGACATCGTCCAGAGGACACGCTGCAAACTGATCAGTTTTGTCTTGGCGTAATTGCCACAATGTTCGACGTTGTTCTGCGCGGCAGGTTCGAATCACAGGGCGTGTGCACATCCACGCTTTTCTTTTACATGTTTCACTCTCCGCCAGCGAGCTTCAAGATTGAGATCGTTATTTCAAGGGCGCGTTGAAAGCGATTGGTGGGTGGCTTAGGAGTCATCCAAAGTCGAGTCACGAAAAAGACAAGGCTTCAAGAAGTGACACGTGACGTCATTCTGTCCCGTTTTTTGGTGATAGACTATCAACGGACCTTCTGCCTACCTAGGCACCCATAGGTAGGTAGGTAGAATTGAGGCTCAGGGCTAGACGATTCAAGATCATGCTCGTATTGATGTTCTCAGCTCTTTTGCTGACAGTAGGAAACTTTTTCATACGGACACCACCAGAGTGCTTCGCCTCAAAACACCAGCCCCTACCGAGAACCCATCATATCCGTCATGCCTCCGTATCGTTAACATTCATTTCATCGAACTCTTCCAACAACTCGTCCATGTTGATCTTAGGTACTTCATCCTCGCTCTCATCACCTGTAACCAAGCTCATTTCATCGTCCGCGGCTTTGGTCTTCTGTTGCTTGGCCTTGTACAGCGCAAGCGTTTGTCTGAGTTCAGCGTCCTCTTCTACGTCTCGCAGGAACATTTCGTAATCGGCATCCATCCGCTCTTGATCGGCCTTCTTCGGCAGCAGCTCTCCCTCGTCCTTTTCCATGCGCCTGAGTCTCCAGCTTCTCGATTTTGGTTTCTTCTTTCGAGCATAGAACTTCTTGACCAGCAAAACGTCTGGAATGGTAGAACCATATGTGTTGCTCTGTTCCAGCTCTTCAAATTGGGAGTTATTGAAATTCGTTCCGGTCAGGTGATAACCCAGGACCGAATCTCCTACGTGGAGCACACCTCCCAGATGAGTTCTGCAATAGTAGGTGGTGTCATTTGATCCTAGATCCGACGCCCTGGCAACGGTAACCTCGGCACCAAAGAATCGGCCGTTTTGCGCCCCTGTAGATTCGATATCCAACACCACAAACTCAACGAGCTCCTTTACGTCCGCAAGGCTCTTGAACGGGGATCTCCAATAGACCGAAGACGGTAGATCAGCAGTCTGTAGAGTATGGGGATCTAGAAGATTGACTGATGTTCCAACTCGGTAGCAAAGGGCCAATGGTGTGATATTGCCAATGGATTTGGCCAATTTTGGTGGGAGTGCCACCAAATCATCCTTGCATATCGGTAGCAGCTCGCAGGAGTAAGTGAACTTGTAAGATTTGGTGGAGGTGTGGATATCCATCGAAATCAATTCTTGTGATTTCTTCACCTTGACAGGGGCGACTGAGGTCAGGAAGTCGACAAATTTCTCGGCATGGTTTCGTTGCGCAAAATAAAAATCTAAGCCATCTTTGACTTCCTTGATGTTGATTGTGTCTTTGTGCACTCCATGCTTGAGAAGGAGTTGCTCAAGATAAAGAAAAGTACGTTTGTGTGGGACTTTCTGTCGGACTTGGACCGACGCTCGCCATGTGTTTGGTGTGTATGATTTTGCACACTCCGGACATTGTTGATAGGCAACGACATACTCCACCTCGAAAGTTTGTTGTAAGATAGTCCCCTCAAATGCTTCCTGCTGAACAGTGATTTTGACCTTCACTCGTCTGGAATGCGGTTCTGTCCATAGAAAACTTGCGTCGATGATACGGACTTTATTGAGACCTCTCAGCTTTCGCAAACACAGAGCAAGGAGTTCTCTGCTTTCCAAAGCGGCTGTAACCCACTGCGAGGGCGGACTTAACCATCTTTCGCAGTCTCTACAAATATGTAGTACGCCTTCCCGCTGAATTCCCTCTGAGACGTCGACCGAGAGTTTGATACAGTCGTAACATAATGCACCAGCAGAAGCAGTTCCGTCAATTGCGGCGCCACAATTACAACATAAAATTGTGGCTGTTTGTGGTTTCTGGACGGATGGCAGTGCCACAGAATCGAGATCCATCGACATAGTGAGAGACTTTTGACGGAGAGAAAATTGAAGAAGAAGAGGCCGTAGAAGAATCAGAATTTCACAGAATACCAATCGCCTCCGAAGAGACAAGACTGCAAAGACAGGATTACTAGAAAGGCTTGGAAGACTCGAAGTGACTCCGAATTATTCATAAGTTTGCCCCCCCGTTCGGATGCAGATCCTTGCACTGCCAAGTAATCGCTTAAGTAATCGAAGAGTTTGTTGGAACGCGCCCAGAACGAAGCCTCGTGAGCTCATCCACGCACATATTCCGGTACATCAGCCACGTGATATCGATACAAACCACGTGACAAAGACTCTTCCCCAATCTGTCTTCTCTGCGAACCCTTTCTCAAAAGGCCTCGGTCGGAGTTTTGTCCGAAGTTTGGCCTTTCCGAGGACGTAGAATTTCTGACGCTCTGAAGAGAAATCGGTTAAAGGGGAGACAAGAGTCCACTGACTGATGACTATTCCACAATATCTTATCAGTCATGAAGGCCTGCTGTGCCAGATACGCAGCCTCTTTGGTTTCTTCTAATACCGCTGCAAGAACATCGACTCTAGCAGCTCGATCTCGAGCTTCACAATTCACACAAGCATTCAACCGGCGAACGGTAAGTCACTCTCTCCATACTACTTCCATCCATGCTCATCAGCTACAGATGTCCTCTACTACTATCAGATATGGCGCCCTGCCAAAGGAGCTACCCTCAGATGACCCGGACGATGTTGTTTTCAATTCGCTTTACGGGGTGCGCACCGTTGAGCTGAACCGACCGAAGAAGCTCAATTCCCTGAATGGATCCATGGCCAGGAAGATCCTCCCTCGGCTAAGAGAATGGGAAAAGTCAGACATGGCCAACGTCATCTTGATCAGTGGAGCAGGCCCCAAAGCTTTCTGTGCTGGGGGCGATGTGGCTGAACTCGCTCTTCAGAACAAAGAGGGACCGGCAGGCCAGAAGAAGTCGGCAGATTATTTCGCCCTTGAATACAAGTTGGATCTTTTGATTGCAACGTACAGCAAGCCTTATATTGCCATCATGGATGGGATCACAATGGGTGGTGGTGTGGGACTTTCTGTCCATGCTCCGTTCCGCATTGCTACAGAGAAGACTGTTTTCGCTATGCCCGAAACAACGATTGGATTCTTCCCTGACGTTGGTGGAAGTTTCTTTCTGTCTCGACTTGATGGCGAGATTGGCACATACCTGGCATTGACTTCAGAGCGACTGCATGGTGTGCAAGCGTTCTACGCCGGGATTGCAACACATTATCTCGATAGCTCTGTACTCGGTCCTTTGACAACACGACTGTCAGAGCTTGTGTTCAGAGATAACGCCAGTCTTCTCGACCGACAACAACTAATTAATGCGACCATAAGCGAATTCACAAGCAGCTTGCCAACCCCTGACTCATATGCCAAAGCGCAATACGGTAATCTAAGGGGCTCCTTACGCGAGGCAATTGATCGATCCTTCAGATTCGACTCTGTTGAAGAGATTCTCGAAGCTCTTCAGCGAGAATCTAAATCGCCAGACACCCAGCTTGCGGAGTGGGCGAAGCTCACGCAGAAGACCATTGCACTCAGGTCGCCTACTAGCCTACGTGTTACTTTGCGCCAACTTAGAGAGGGCAAACGTTGGAACATCCGAGAAACTTTTATTCGAGAACACAAGATAGCAACCGAATTCATGCGACATCCCGATTTCACTGAAGGGGTTTCTGCCCGCCTGATCAACAAGCCTGCGACCACTCCACAGTGGAAACCAAACACCCTCGAAGGAGTCTCTGCGACGGACGTGCAGGAATTCTTCAACCAACCGTCGCCGGAGGAGGTGATTGAGTTGATTGATCCATATCCAGGATCACCGAACCAGACCTACGACGAATACCCTCATGCGGTCTTTGCGCTGCCGCGAGAATCAGATATAAAAGCAGTGGTGAAGAGTTACGGTAGAGATGGACCTCAGGCTGTGACAGAGGAGGTTCTCAGAAGGTGGAACAACAAAGCAGGTGTCAAGGAGAAGGTTGAGGATGTGATATCGCGCATGACGACTGAGAGTGACCGAGGCATTGCGTGGCAGGGCAAAGCCAATTTGTGATTTGGACTACGCTTGAGAAAATAGATAAAAGTGCTCGTCTGGTCTTGCTAGTTGAAGCACCTTGTACCGAATATATTGTTTTGAAGCAAAGTCTGGATCTGCTCCCCCCTGGATTATGCACGTGGGGATCTCCCTCACATCCACTTTCTCCAACTTTATGCAGAAAAATTTCTCCGCATCACGGAAATCTTGAGGATCACGATTCACAACATTCAGCTCCTCTGCTTCCACGGCACATCGACTCTGTAAGTCGCAAGGCCTCTCAAAGTTCATAATAATCAATCGTATTCGCTATGACTTCCGGAAACCGCAATTCCTATTTGCAACACGACATCTCCGACGAATCCGACGACGACGCGGGCTATGATTCAGAAGCGGCCGAAGTCTCAAAGGTTGATCGAGCGACGAAGAGGAGGAAAATAAATCACACTTCTTCTGACGGAGAGTCGGGGAGCGAGACAGAGGAGCGGTCAAAAGCTAAGACTGCATCCGTGGACGAGGAGGTCGACAATGTGGATAGGCACAATAATGAGGTTGAGGATGAGGATGATCATGACACCCAAAGTACACGAGACGACCTTGCGACTACAGAGAGGAGAGATTCGCCAATCGCAGCCTTCAAGAGCGAGAGCGAGAGCAAGAGCGAGAGCAAGACAGTCGATAGTAGAGACAAGAAAAAATCTACGAAAAAGGCAAAGGGCGAGGAAGTGCCCCCAGGCGTAGTCTACCTCTCCTCGTTGCCACCGTACCTCAAACCCTCCGCACTGCGAAATCTCCTATCTCAACGTGGATTTGCGCCTATAACAAGATTGTTCTTGTCGCCGGCCTCGAAGCACAAGTCCAGCTCGAAGAAAAACTCCCGACAGCTGTATACGGAAGGTTGGATTGAGTTTGCATCGAAGAAAACCGCTCGAAGATGTTCCGAGACGCTGAATGCGCAAGTCATAGGCGGCAAGAAAGGCGGCTTCTATCATGACGACGTGTGGAACATGAAGTACCTGAGAGGGATGAGGTGGGAAGAGTTGATGGCCGGAGTGAGGGAGGAGAAGAGGGAGATGGAAGGACGGAGAGATGAGGAGAGGAGGAATATCATGAGGGACACCAAGAGGTTTGTCGAGGGTGTGGAAGAAGGTAGGAGGATACAGGGGATGAAGAGGAAGAAGGAATCCAAAGCCCCGCCGCCGGATCACGATGCGCCAACCCAGTCAGATGTGAAGAGGACTTGGAGACAGTTCGATGTTAAAGGAGACGGGCAACCTGAGCGATGGGGTAAAGGCAACAATACTCGTCAAGACCCGATTTCAGATGATGTGAAACAGGTCTTGGGCAAGATCTTCTAATTAGGTTCCTCTCAGGTCCCAAGAGGCTTTCGCAGCCATGAATAATGATCAAATGCCGTTTCATCTCTACAGCCTAAGGCCTGAACAGTAATGCGACGTGTGAGGCCAAGTTCCTATTCCCAAACATATCTACCGGGGCTTTAATTATCCCCTTGGCACTTTGAACGGGTGTGCCTCCGTGTTAAATACAAAATCATCGAGACTAACAACGCTCGGATCCTCAAACAGCAGATAGAAATACTTCAACGTCTCCGCAATCCAAAAGCTCTCCATCGTATCGATCTTCCCCGGTTCCGTCCGCGTCACATCGTCGATGGACGAGAAGCCAAATTCAGTCTTTGTGTACTTGGTTATGCTTTCGAACATACTCCATGCCACCTCGCGAAGGCTCTCGTCCCCGGTAATGCGGTAAAGAACGAATATGGACTCGACAACTTCGGGCCGCAGGGCGTATCCTCGATTTTCCATTTCAGGCATGCCCTTCGGTAGACGGAGACGCTCGGCCAGCCGTTGTGCGCGTTTCTCCTCAGACAGGGATTGTTTGTCTGCTGCAGATTCCTCTTGGGAATTCTGCTCCAGTACTTCTTTCATCCATGCTTGTTCGTCCCAGCTACATTGCTGCTGTCGATCAGGACAAGGAATCAAGCGAAACATTTCAGGCATGATCCCAGTTACGGTTGCGTTGTAGGCCCATGCACATCCGTCGAGGAGACTTCTCGCCGTGTTCAAGTCATCTGGGATGTCGAATAACTTCGCCCCGAGGGCGAACATACCGCCCGCGAAACAGGCCAAGTGCTGAGTTTCTGGTATGAACTCTTCGCGCCCCGTTGGATATTTTTTATATGTTCCAGCCAGTAGGAGACCTTGGCCCGTTGGCGTCGATGGCTTGAAGAGGAGATGCCGCTTCAGCGGCTCTCTAGCAGTCAAGTAAAGTTTTTGATATTGTGCGCTTCCGCCCCGGAGCAGTTGATGCTCCTTTGGGAAGTATTCGTAGACGGAGTCGGCGGAGCCTCCGATTGAGAACGTCACGCCATCGCCAAACCAACATTCCCTTGCGTTGACAACATTTGGAAACAGCCCTGGCACCCTGGTTTGGCCCTGCTGTGACTCGAAGCAATCCGATATGCGCTGTACAGCATCATAAAACTTCACGTCCCCTGTGAGTTGAGTGAGTCTGGTGAACTCCAGCGTCAGAGATCCAAGTTCAGCAACGAGAGTGTCTCCAGCAGGGGCTTCCATCCCAATCTTCGACCATCGGACGACAGGCATGTGGCTGGGCGTGTCGAACGCAACATAAAGCATGTTTCCAAGCTCTGTGGCCTTCTGGAGCAACACCGGATACTCACCATTGCTCACGTCGTAAGCTCCGAGTAAGCCTCCGAGATATCGAATGGTGGTCTCGAACACGTTGATTGGAAGCTGTGCGGGCTTCTCAAAGTCGATACCCAATAGTGCTGAAACGGCTTCCTCGAATTCAGCCTTGAGTCCCATCAGCCATAAGGTGTCCAAGGAATCGATTAGAGTCACTGCCCAGCCTCCGAACGAGGTCTTGGAACTCCCCGAGATCGGCGCCAGCTCATCTTTCAGCCACGCGAATCTTCGATAGCCATTCCATGAGTGTAGCGTAGCTGACTTAATCTCTTCCAGCCGTGCGAGCCGAATCTGTTTTGCAGCCGGAGTCTCGGGTCCGAACTCGTGTTGTATTCGAGGTAGACCTTTTCGTGATGCCTCTGGCAGAGGGGTGAAATCGATTATGGGGTTGTGAAGGTCGTAGTTGTCCTCGTGCGGTATCGCGACAATGTCTCCAATTGGTCGAGGTGAATTCCTCTCGCCAGACTTAGGCAAATGCCAAAGTAGAAGTAGAATCAATATGACTATGAGGACAACAGCGACTCGAGCCCTCCGAAAGGCCATGGCATGGCGGCTTGTCGATGTCGATGCCACTTGCTTTGACTCCAGGCTCATGGAGGAGTGCTTCGAGTAGCAAAGCTTTAGACCTATTCTTCACTTCTGGGTCCTTTCTTTTTGTACCGATATTATGAAGAAGACAGAGATTTTGAATCTCACCATCGGCACCCATTAACGCACACCAAAGCTGAAACATGAGACTACGTAATGTCAAGGAAATTGTAATGTCAAGGCTTGGAAGCTTGGTACTCCGATTTTTGGCCACAGGCCCCTTTTCGTAGTGCCCTCGTAACCGTAACCGTAATTACCAAAACAATGTAGAAAATCTTGGAGTCTATCTCCTGTCGATATTCTATGTATCTTCCTTCTCATGCCTTCCTTCTCTCTTGGGAGGGCATTCTCTTTTCTTCTCCCACCTTTTGTCAGATAACCTCTTGTTCTCCTCGCTCCTGATTCTTTTCGACCCAGTCGTCCTCTGATAAAGAATATTGATCTTGAGAGCGAGTGGTGGATACTGAGCTCAAGGTTGTATCATAGACTTAAAGGAGCCTGGCTGCATGGAAATATTCTTGCTGTTTCAATTGAAACTGGGTAAGTGCCGGCAAAGCCAATTCCCGCTAGAGTTATCCGGAGTTGTTACCGCACCCTAGATGATAACAGAGGCCCGGTCGGGGCAATCCTTGCTCTGTTCTGTAATGGTAGCATTGGATTAATGGTCTCTGCAAGTCTCCCCTTGATCTAGCAAAAGGGTATGCCGAGGGGGTCATTGTATGAAAGGAAGTTCGCCTTCTTTCCTTGTGAAGCGTGCAAAAAGTATTCAAGCAATTGGAAGCATTTCACGATTTTTCGGCATAGATCCTTTAAAAATTCAAAGTATACCCAGCGGTTCCTGGATGTACATCACAAGCCTATCTGTCTAACTACAAACATTGATGCAATATTGTATTCTACTAGAACTCCAGGAAGCTCAGTACTACAGTAAGTCCGCTCCGGCCGAACCCTCAGAGGACGACTCAAATGGGGGCGATGGAAACTATTCAACTATTCGAATGAAAAGGCACGAAGTCTTCTCTACCTCTCTTCCGGCTGACAAGGCAACTGTACGGGGTTCCTCGTCCCAGAATGACAGGACATTCAATGTGAAGGTTCGCCGAAGTCTGAAAGGGATAAGGAAGCAGCAGCCTTACTCGTGACTCGTGAGGCGCGAGGCGTGAGTCGTGAGTCGTGACTGGCGGGCGGAAAGCTGGGCCTAAGTTAGAGGGCCAAGTGCGCCTAAAATGCGCCTCGGGCGCAGCCACCCCTACTTAGCAGGCACCTTATGTAGTTAAAGCTTAAGCTTCGAACACTCTAACATTGCATAAATCATTGTTGGGTATTCTTTTAATCCTCCTTCGCTATGTCCACGCGTCATCTCACTCAGCCTGAGTCAGTTCTCCAATGTCGGTGAGATCGGAAATCGATGTTTTTGCGTCAAGCAATCACATTGCAGACAAATTGACAACAGGTCAGCATTCTTCGCCTGAGTCCAGCCAGGCCAGATCGTCATATCAATCTTAACGGCCCACCAATCTAGGTCCAAGCCACGCAGTATGGAGACTGGTTCGAGCGGCTGTTAGGATCGCTGCTTGGTGTGGCGCCCCTATTCTCTCGCTTCCTTCTCCACAGGCGGATATCGACCCTGGCATCAACATGGATAAGGCTGGACATTTTACTAGATTGATAAGTTTCTTGTTTGTCCTCACATCTATGCACACATTTCTCCTCTATCATTGTTGAAGTTCTTTCCTCCAGTTGAGTCATTCTCTTATCACTCTTTCCGTAGTATTGTCAGCCATTCATTCATTAGGCCCACTTTCCTCCTGACCTGGTTTTCTCATTATCTTTCGCTTTCCATTCTATAGTCTGCACCATTTCACGATGAAAATAACACCAGTCCTCGCTCTAGCGGTGGCAGCTGTCTCGAGCGTCGAGGCATACTACAAAGGCTTCAACATTGGCGCCAACCTTGCGTCCGGAGCTTGTCGAAGTGAGGCCGATTGGGAGTTTGCTTTCCAGAAAATCGCTAGCTTCCCCGGAAACTTCAAGGATGTTAGACTATATGCCTCAAGCGATTGTAATACTCTGGCAAACGCAGTGCCGGCTGCCACTCGGACTGGGACGAATCTCCTAGTTGGCGTCTGGACCGAGGATGATGCTCATTTCGAGGCAGAAAAGCAAGCTCTGCTGCAAGCAATCCAACAATACGGCTCGGATTGGATCCTGGCTGTCTCGGTCGGATCAGAGGATCTGTATCGTAAAGATACAGATGCCGCGACACTCGCCGCAAAGATCAATGACGTACGAGGCATGTTATGGGGCTTGGGAGCATCTGGAAAATCGGTCGGACATGTTGATACCTGGACTGCTTGGGTTGATCCTGCGAACACGGCCGTAATCGACGCGGTTGACTGGCTTGGTAACGATGCGTATCCGTACTGGGAAGGGGTCAGCATTGACAATGGGGCTTCAAGCGACGCCTACTGGACTGCCGTCGACAAAGTCCGTGCTGTGTCTAAGGGAAAAGAGGTCTGGACAACTGAGACTGGACAGCCTATCACTGGAGACGCAGTCGGCAACTCAGTACCATCGATCGACAGTCTTCAAACCTTTTGGTGGCAAGTATCGTGCTCCAGCTTCAACAGCTTGAATTACTTCTTCTACGACCTTGATGATTTCACGGCCTCCCCCAGCTTTGCGGTTGTTGATCACGCCTACAATCCCTTGATCAATTTTTCCTGTGCTTAAATTGAAGACGCTCCGGTCTCCCACTGTTCATATTTGTGTGGAGCGAAAGCAAAAGCTTGTCCATTCTTTGTCTTCGAATAAATTGCATAGCGACTGGTCGGGAATAGGGCACATATCGTCCGTGAGATTTTGGGAGGATTATCCATCGATATATTTATTTTCATATGTATAATTTGTCCTACGGAATACATACCGATAGGCCTGGCTGAGTGGCCCTGGGTACATATACCTCGATTCAACAACCACTTTTCATTTCCCCTCGCATCGTCTTCCGGCCTCTCCGTGTACTGAGCATATCGCAGGGGTTAAAATGGGTGAGCCAAAGGCAACATTGAGAACGAAAAGACGAGGCTGGGCCACAAGAGGCCAGAATATCGCAACAGATGGAGAAATGACAAAAAGAATCAACAGAGCTCAGATCGGCAAAATTAGATGTTTTTCACGAAGGATCAACCGATGTCGGCTCGACGATCGATACAGTCTTTCATCATTGCTGTGAATTGTTCTTGGAGAACTTTCCACTCCAGCATGAGGAATTGAACGACTTTATCAAACATCAACTTCGTTGATATCCCTAGTGAGCATGAGCCTGGAGACGCTCTCTGTTCATGACTCTCAGGGCATGTCGAAAGCCATGGTCAACTGCTTTTGGCATCTCGAAGAACCTCTTGTTTCGAGATAATATCGTCCAGGCTTTGTCCGTAAGATTGCTCGATTATTCGGGTATGTGGAAGTTACTTCCCCTATGTTCCTCAGGAGAGTCGAATTATAGACAGCCCGACTCTAGGCCCATGCTGGTATCCAGTTTCGATATCTACGCGCAAGAACTCGGACATGAGAGAGTGGTTGCCAAGGGGCACAGCCTCCATTTCTGTACCGCCTCTGCGGAATACAAGGATGAGTCAAGCGTGCATGACGTTACATTACCCTGGCACGATACCCGAAAGACAACTAACCCAGAAGAGTAACTGGAGTTCGTCCGGGGCGGTCGACGCTGCTGTCCTTTCCTTCTTCTACCCCGACCTCCCACCTTCCTCTTTCCTTCCTCCTCCTCCCTCTCCCTCCCTCTCTATCCTGCAATCCAGCCTTGCACCAGGCACTCAGGCAAGGCAATCTTTAATTTTCCCTTGATTTTGGTGGGGTCCCACCTTGGAGAGTGATTCACAATGCCAACCACCACTACTTGCGTGCCATCGAGATACTTCGGTGTTTTCTTCCCGCCATAAGGACCACCAACAATGGCCCCTCTGGGATTATACGGTTTACAACTCTTATCCACGGTCTTCACCTCTGATCAGCACCCCTGATCAGCGAAATTTACCTGCTTATTTTGATTCCGACCATGACTCCTTGTCGGCATTCGATAATGCCGACCTCTACCACCTCTCTAGTCATGATTGGCAAAATGTCGACTTTGGCGACAGTTTCTGTATGGAGGACATCTCCTTGGACTCCACCCCTAGTGGCAAGGACATCCCTTGCGATCCCGTGGAAGAAATAGGTGTATCGATTACGTTTCCTGAAGCTTTCTTCATGAATCCTTTCGCTGTCACCCTTCCCGGGGATCTCCCTTGTCTGAACCCAATCTCCATGGAGCAACCTGACCCTGTCACGTCTTCCTCCAGTCCAGCATGGACTATATACCCCCCCCCTCCCGTCCAAAGTGGGAGGGTGGAGAAGGCTCGACCAAAATCAAACCCTTCGAGTACCACTAGTAGGACCTCATCACCCTTCCACATTGTTGAACAGAAGCCACCTCCCTCCACCGGGGATGCCACGAAGAAGTCTAGCACCGACAAACCCGCCAAATATGGATCTCAAATCCACTTTGTCGATATGGCAGACAAGAAAGGGGCACAACGTATTCGGAACACGATGAACTCTCGGAAGCACCGCCAGAACAAGCTGGATAAGATCAGAGAGTTGGAGTCGAAGCTGGCTGCTCTTGAGGAGGAGAAGAGCACCTGGTTCAGTAAGGGCAAGGAATCAAGCTCCAAAAAGTGACATTGGTTGTTTTTGGTCACTCTAGACGAGCGATCTAGCAAATCGATGTCGGTGTGTCGGGGAAACTCAATGAGGTAAACAGTGTACATATGAGCAATTTGCTTCAAGTACAATTTTATCTCACTCTTTCTCTCGAACCGTAGTGCGTCCGTGTCGACATGCCAAAACAACAATTTCTAACAATCCCCCTTTCGCATCTCTGCAGCTGTGCTTGGTGTAGCCTTCCTATATCGAAATTTAATGTCACCACAGTACATACACAGCTCGACTCGTCACGTGATAATTTCAACGCCTTCGAACATCCCAACTCGTTGTGACTTTGCAGAATGAAAATTGTACGATTATCCAACTTCTAGCTTATAATCGGATTCCCTGTTAGCCTGAAATTCACACCGGAGGAATCCATTTGGATTATCCACTGTGAAATGGTCCCAAAAAATCAAAATAGGGCCGCAAACGATTGAGACTTCACCTTTGGTCTCGAAAATTGCCTGCCCACTTGAACGCGATTGAGGACCGACGAGACGGTGCAACGCTCGAGACTGTGTCTAGATCGATTTAACAGGAACAGCTAGATATAAACAATCAAGGGAGAATGGAGGGTGACAACATCCTTGAAGTCCTGTCAACACCCTCTCCCAATGAAAAGCCACAGACCAGGGATCTCCGCGAAACAGCACACAGCTTGATATCAGCGACTTCCGGCAGCGACACAGATTCCCTGCCCGCCACACTCCTAGACCTGCTCACACAAATCGTCAAGCCACTCTTCAGCAACACGAAGCACGCCGCCTTGACATCGACAGGACGCAAGAACCTCGTCTCAGCCGCCCCGTCGCTAGGAAATCGATTCAACCACCCGCTGACGGACGACGAGCTGAAACCATGGAAAACACCGTTCACGGCACCGCTGCTCCGCTACATAATCACATCACACTCGAGCATAGTACCGACCGACCGGAGGAAACAGACGGTAGGAGCGCACTTCCACCTCCTCATCCCGCCGCTCCTCAACATGATCGACGACGGCAGCTCATCCACCAAGGCGGCTGGGTGCCAGCTCCTCCGGCTGCTGTGTGAGCTGCTTATATCTGTCGGGAGTGACATGTTGCACAAGACTGGCCTGGGCGATGTCTTCTTCGACGCCCTGAAGACGAATTTCATGCTTCTACCGACTCTAACGCCGGAAGACGAGAGTCTCGAAGTGCTGAGGCAGCTCTATCCGGCTTTCTTGGCAACAGTGGACGCTCGGTATCGGAGATCTCCTACCACCACCATCGCAAAAGAAGTAGGGAAACCAGAAGAATCGAACGAGCAAATCCCTGCCTCGAAAGAGTTCACAGGCCGCCAGGACCGGCTGAAGCTGCTCCTGCGCCACGGCGTGCTCGCTTCGCTGTCACACCTGTCCTCCGGCCAGAGCTTTTCGTCCTCGACGTCAGTCCCGCTGACGACCTACCTCGTATCCCAGATCGCGCCGATCATCGAGAACATGGGCATCGACAGCGTCAGATACCTGCGCGAATTCTTGCCAGTGCTGAGGGCGGGCCTGATGGATCCATTCGCGCTCGTTGCGAAGGATCTCGTTGCAGAGATCCTGCTGGTGCTGGACGTCCTGCTGGACGTGTGTGAGGTTAGAGTGCGCGAGCTGTGGTGGCCTGAGATCCTGCGGGGCTTGGTAGGGTGTTGGGTTAATTGCGTTGATGAGGGTGTGGATAAGGAGGTGCCGGGGGGTGCAGGCGTGGAAGACATTCAGAGAAAGTTGAAACAGGTCACCGTGAAACTTGGCTCGGTTGTGGAGAAGGAGCAGTGGCTGGCTGCGAAGGAGAGGCTGTTGGGCGAAGAAGAGGATTTGGTAGGCTTGTTTGAAGGTTCATGAACTCACAAGAAGGTTGGTACATTCCGGGATGGGTTGACTGGTTGGAAGAACTAAAATTCTATGGGTATCACAAAAGCGAGAGTGAACGGATAGCTTCGTGATGTTACTAACAACTTAGAGGCACTCTCTAAATCCAACCTCAAAGGTCTATCAACTTTGGACCGCAAGTCTTCCAATAGTGGAATAAGAATCCATCCCAGCCTCGCCTGTCCTTTCCATTTCGTCACCGACCACGGGTCGTTGTTTGAAGAGACTCTTCCCCTTGAGCCACTTTCTATACGCTTTATACCGTTTCTTTCCCGTGTCCTCATCCAACACTGTTAGCGGCTCCTCCATGTTTCCGCTTGCGAGGTACTCCACGTAATCGTCCAGGCTGGCCTCGGCTCTTTCCTCGAGAGTCAGACTCACGGCACCCCGCTCATCGTCGTATGCGCGCAGAACCTTGTGTTCCGCCGGGTCGGAAGCGGTCTTGGACAAATATTCAAGGAACTCGATTGGTGCCGATGAGTAATCGATGTCGGTTGATACCACGAGGGGAATCGTGCTTGGATGCGCGACATACCGTTGGTACTCGTCGGCCTGTCGCACTTGCGGATCAATCGATTTTGAGATCAGCAGCGTGAATGCCTGTAGTGCCAAATCGGCTTTCGTGGGTGGTCCAGTCGCGAATGATGATCCTGTCAAGTCACTTGTGTTCATTGTGGGCAATATTGGTATTCGTGGCAGTGCGGAAGAGTGCACTTCGAATGACGGCTCTTTGATGATACCAGTGTACTGCCTTTTCTGCATGACGTGGTGCAGGTGCTGCTGTGCATCAATCCAGGGGCCCAAGGTCGAGGGCTTAGGCGCCGGCTCTACCGTGGAGGCTGGAGGCAACTTCAGAATTCCATCAATGGACGAGATTGTTGTGCTATCGTCCGAAGGAGCGACTATTTTCACACCTTTGCGGGCGTGAGATTTGTCGCCGCCGCTTTCAGATTCATGGTCGTTTGCTGTGCGAACCTTGAATGGTGACAGATCATACTTCCCTGCCGTCGTGGAACCCAACGGGATATACCTCAAGTTAGAACGCATCTTGAAGGAAAAGAGTTTTTTGAAGCTCGAGATTGCTAGCGGACGATAATACTCGACCCAGAAGTCGTCGAAGTATCCGAGCTGCCGATCTCGATATTCCATTGGCCAGATTGTGGGTGGAATATGAGGTTGCTCGAGATATTCGTCGGTGTACCAGTGACGATAGCTTGGCCGACGCTTGCCAAACATCGAACGAGGGTCTGAATGATGTAAATAGTAATCTGTGGAAAGATCCCACAACATGGGTTCGCCCTGTGCGAAGACATAATTACCCAAGAAAAGGTTGTATGCTTCCTGACGTTGAGCATCCATGAACGAATTGTTGTAGTATCGCTTGAAACTCTCAACCATGTCTCGACTGTGACTTGTCCATTGATTGATTTTACGATAAGTAGACATTGTGTTGACCAGGTGGGATCCGCCATACTGTACTGCGATCGTGTCGCCGTGATCATGCCACATATGAGTGAAAAGGTTGACTGCATCAGAATCGTACTCAACAGAAGGCTCTTCAATTACACCGAGAGCCTGAAGCTGATAACCGAATGCCTTCTTTGCAATGACAAACTGAGCTGCATTTGTACGATCCAGACAATCGACGCAATTTGTCCGAGCAACGCCACTCTGGAGCTGGAGGCCACTTTCTGTATCATTCCCATTCCGAAAGAATCCGGTTTTTGGTAGTATATCTTCCGCAATAGCCTCAAGACTACCGATGACATCTTGGTCTCGGCTCTTCGATGCTCGACTCATATCCCATGCATGATATAAAATCCTTTTGTCCTCTGGGAGGAATTGATTTAGATATTTCACAGCACCTGTGTATTCTTTCAGTAGTTTTGACTCTCTTGGGATTCGTTCCCGAGCCTTGATGAGATTGAGACAGTAGATTGGCGTGCCATAGCGTTTGAATAGATTATCAAAGTGAAGAGCTGCGGCACTGAAGAAGGGATCGACCACGTTGAGATGGATATCTGGCTTTGGGGAAACGCCGGTGCTGTCTTGTGTCCAATGTAGAGGAATGCTACCTCGATGTTGTACGTAAGAAGTGTACTTGTTGTTGGTGAATAGCTCTGGGCCAGGAGAATGAAAGGATGTTGTGAGCATTTCGGACACTATTTGTTCGGTCTCCACATCATTTGCCACGTAGCCAAGATCGTTCGCTCCTCGTTTGAGGTATCTGGCGCCAGCGAAGAATCGTGACCGGCGCGCAATGATGGTGACGTAGACGACTCGGCCCCAATAGACTGACAATGCACTTTGATCGACATACCCATGGACAATAGCCAGGCACCAGTCGAATGGAGTCTTGAGAACAGCCTTTGCTGGCTTGAGGAGATGGTGGTTCCAAATGAACATATCGTTGTGGTCACATTTTATAGGCTCCGCAAGACTTTCTTGTAGACCTTGACGTTCACGCATGATGTTGTGCTGAAGTGTTCTGGTGACATCGTAAGAGTAGCTGAAGTAGTATGACTTTGTCAAGTCTAGATTGTTTAGGATTCCAACGAAGCGAGCCTCTTCCAGACTCTTATCTGTCTTTATTCGAGTGGATGCTGCAGTGACCAATGGCATAAGTTCAGTCTTGTCAATTTGATAGATATAGTGTCCCCCAACCATCGCGACTTGACTTCTTTTCGTGACATAAAGCATGTAGTAATGTGCTGTGAAGCGAATAAAGCCGAGAAGACCCCAGAAGCTTGTCTTTAATTTAAGCCCACCTGTGGCCCGATTACCTTCATCAATTGCATTGAGGATTTGAAAGGTCTCTTTCTTCGTGTAGACGATATCATCCTCGATGATATTTAATTCACCAGGTTCGGCAGTTCTGTCAATTTTCAGAATTCGGAAAGCAGAATCCAAGATATCCGAGCCCACAATGTAATATTTGTTGGCGGTTTCGTGCAGTGTGAACTTGTGCATCCGAACAACACCATCTTCCCCGACTTTTGTGACCAATGCTCCCTTGTTGCGTTGGAGCGTCGTTGGATCAGGGCTTGAGGTCCGGTTGAAAGACTTAGATAATTCTAACTCTTCATCATCATCTTCTGAGTCCCGGCGACCAGGCGGGAGGGTGGGTGATTCTGGCGGATTGTTCGAGAAAAGGGGGAACATCTGGGGAACTTGTTCCTCATTATTGTCCGATTCCTCAAGAGTGACATTGAGTTGAGGCGCATCGCCAGAGGCTGTAGTCTGGTGTGGGATTGTGCCATCCCCGTCTGCCTCCTGATTGATGCTATTTTCAACTCGTGAATCACCTACTTCGGCAGCATGATCTTGAACATCTGTCGCCGTCGAACCCATAGTTTTGAACTCCTGGAACGACTCCATCTGACCGACTATTCCGGTTGGAAATGGCGAAACCAAAACATAGTCAGCACCACTGGAGGGGCCACAACAACCACTTGCTTGGTCCCATCTGGTTGATGATTATGCTTGGAAGAAGAAAAGCAGTGAGGGTGGATTCCAACTTAATCGGGTATCATTAACTATAGAGCACGGATTTGAGAGTGTGGTGGATTAATATCTGGGTCTCGGTCAAGTTGTGAATCGTGAATCCTGATCCATCCAAACGTCAGGGTCAGTTAGCTACGGCGAAGTATAAGCTGTAAGTGGAAGTTACGTTCCAGGGGACCCCCTTCCAAACAAGGTTAGTCGTGCCAAGACCGCGCAACCGAGGTTTGATATCACTCTTCAACCACGACTCCACGCGATGCGCGGTCAGACTTAAGCGATTCAGCGTCCCCGCGCGCTGGCCGAGGGAGCCGATTTTGTTTATAGCTGTCGAGGACGGACTTCAGCTGGACTGGATATTCAAAGGACAATGGTACATGTTTTCCCACAAATTTAATTATTTGCAGTCGAACGCACTTCGATCATGCCTCCCAAAGCGCCTGCTCCGTTCTCTGAACCGCTCCTACCCCAACTCGATCTCCCTGTCAATCCTTACTATACCGAAAAGCATCACCGCCTCCGAGCATTCGTTCGCAACTATATAGATACAGAAATCGCCCCGTATGCGCAAGATTGGGAAATTGCTGGACAAGTCCCTGAGAGCGTCCGCCTGCGACATTGTCAGCTGGGCTTTGCAATCACACATCCAGTGATGGATCCTGCAGACACCGGAGGAATCCAGCAACCGGCTGGAATACCATTCGATGAGTGGGATGTCTGGTGCGGAGTTATTGTGTCTGATGAGTTCAACAGACTGGGATGGTGTGGTCCAATGTGGGGATTAGGAGGCGGCAATGGCATTGGATGTCCTCCGATCAGTCGGTTTGGCACCAAAGAGCAGAGACACAAGTGGCTCCCGAAAGTTGCAAGAGGAGAATATCGGTTTTGTCTCGGTATCACAGAACCTGACGGCGGCAGTGATGTCGCCAACATCAAAACCACGGCCGAGCGAGTTGGCAATGTCTACCGTGTGAACGGAAGCAAGAAGTGGATCACCAATGGTATATGGTGTGACTTCTGTACCACTGCTGTCAGGACGGGAGGACCATCACATGGTGGTATTAGCTTGTTGGTAATTCCATTGAAGGCAAAAGGGGTCACTACGCGGAGAATAGACAATCAAGGAGTACATGCAAGTGGTAAGTCTGACTTGTATCTGATACTGACAATTACTTAACCTCTCTAGGATCCACATTCATCAGTTTCGAGGATGTCGAGGTACCGGTTGAGAATCTGATCGGGAAGGAAAACTATGGGTTTCAGCTGATCATGTCGAATTTCAACCCCGAGCGACTTGCCCTGGCCACTGCAGCACTTCGTCTTGCGCGAGTTTGTGCCTCTGATGCTTACAACTATGCTTGTGAAAGGGAGACATTTGGCAAGCGCTTAATAGACCATGCCCCTATCAAGACAAAGATCGCCTCATTCGGACTTCTCATAGAGCCAGCCCATGCCTTCCTAGAACAACTCTGCTTCATCATCGAAACTTCTCGGGTTACTGGCAAGGAGGTGAATGTTGGAGGCATGACTGCTCTATTGAAAGTCATGAGCACTAGATGTCTCGAGCACGTCTGTCGCGAAGCTCGACAAATAATGGGCGGAGCAGGGTACACGAAGACTGGTAAGGGAGCTCGGATCGAACAGATCAGTCGAGATGTTGGTGTCCATGTGATTGGTGGCGGGAGTGAGGAGATCATGGTTGATCTTGCTGTGCGCCAGGAAGCACGAGACGTCATCGTGAGAGCTCAGAAGGTTGCAGGCTCTAAATTGTAATGATCAGGTCAACCCAAGTTCTGATTTCTTGCTAGATATCATCTCGATAGCTTGATCTGTCGTAGGCTCGACAGCATCGAACTGCCATTCAGCAAGCATATCCACAGCTCGGCCCATCCATTGTCGATTTTTTGGACCGCCCATTACAGCGTGAATCTCATTGCCTTTCAATATTGGAAGAATCTTGTGCGCATCTTCAAGCGACTTCTCTTCGATGAAGATAAGCAATCGTTGGTAGCGGTCTGCAATTGATGTGAAGTTTTTAATGTCACAGGCCAGGTCGCAGAGCAGGGAGTATAGGATATGTGCCCTCCAAGCCTCCTTGCATTTTCGAATGAGCATGCCGACATCTGAACGTTTGGCAGTTCCTTCATTCGCGAGATCGACAACTTCCTTTATGGCTGATCGGAGGTCAATGGCATCTTTCAGGATCTTGCTCTCAGCGTTGGTGGCTTTGATCCCAGTTCGAGATGCATCATAGGCTTTCTGCGCTGAGTCGACCCATGGCGTGTAAGTGGCAAGAAACCAGCTTAATTTCGCGTTGTCCTTTGGTTTCAGCGCTAGACAGATCGATGATCTCTCATCTAAGATCTTTTTCAGACCGTCATAGGCTGCAAGAGCTACGCTTGCGTCTAGGTTGTCCGTGCTTGTGGGATCGGCAAAGACTGTAGTGAATAAATCGAAGTCAATGATGTACTTCAAGCCAGTGTACGGGTCTGGTCCCCTCACGATCTTGTCAATTTCGACTCCTACGCGTTCCCGGCTGATTTTAAGTCTCAATGCTTCGTGTATAGTTTTATCCTTCATTGATTCTCGGGACGCCGGGTCGATCTCGTAGCCGAGGCGACAAGCGAATCGAATGAGTCGCAACACTCGAAGAGGGTCGTCCTTGAAAGTTTGGTATGGCTCCAGAGGGGTTCGAATGATCTTTTTGTCCATATCTTCGAACCCTCTCTTTGTGAAGTCCTCAACAGCCTGTGTGTCCAAATTATAGAATAGTGCATTCACGGTAGCATCTCTTCGCACCGCATCTTCTTCAGCTGTACCGAATTCCATCTGCGGATTCCGGCTGTCCTCGTTATAAACTTCCTTCCTCAGATTCACAAAATCGACGTCGATCCCAAACATCTTTGTAGTGATAGTCTCAAGATGCTTCGACTTCTCGGGATTCGCGGCGATTTTATGCAAGTTCTTCAGAGCAGCTGCGAAGCCTTGCTGACTGGCTTCGTCTTCATATTTCTGTCCATGCTTCTCCATGAAAACTTGCATCGCTTGACCGAATTGCCAACCAGTCATGCTGCTCAAAGCGACATCAATGTCATGACTTTGAACACCTAGAAGCTTGTCTCGAACCCAACCTCCAGTGAAACGCAGGACCAAATTTTTCATGCCAGGAATATCTTGCATCTCATTCCGACATTCGAGGAGACATTGTCGAAACAACTTCTCCGCTGGTGTTAAGGAAAGAGAAACTGACGCCATTCTGGCATATACTATTGTGCGATATCTTTGCGAGGACTTGAAAAGACTCACAGCAGGCCTAAGAGCTCGCCTTTTCATCCCTCAAGTTTGTGTTGCTGTTAGTCTGGGAAGGACTCAACGCCACTTATCAACTTCCAATTAGTCAATTCTCCGCTCCTGGCTCGTTCATGCAAACACCATGTTAAGAGTTGCATCCAATCGAAAGGTGGTCAGCCTGTCGTGTGCCCCGCTAGGAGTCATACGCTCCGCCTCAAACAGAGTCAGAACTCTTCCTCTGACGTAGCTCTGGCGTGCCCCCGCAGATCCACAAGATAGAGTACTAGTAAAGGCTGCAGTTTAATTATCACATATTTTTACAAGGAACAAACATTCACAAAAAGTTGCGGTCATAGCAATAGTATTGATCAGTGAGCAGATTAGTAAATAGTGAAAGCAAGGATGAAAAGATCAGTATCAGAATGATCAGGCTCCAGCCTTGTCGCGGGGTTCGGAGAATTGTTAATCCGAACGTCATCCCAAGGCTATGCAATGTACCTCGGTCACGGCTTCACTCTCCTTGTCATCCAACTGTGCTTTGCTCCAGTGCATCTACGTAGGAGCAAGCCTGCACGTCGCCCAGAGGTTGGTGAGAACAGTTCGATGAAGCCATAGCTTGGAAAGGCATATACAAAGCTTTGCCTACTCATCATGCGGGTTATTGGCCTTACAGGTTCAATCGCGACTGGCAAGTCGACGTGCGCGACCACGCTCTCTTCCCCGCCTTATGCGCTCCCCCTAATCGATGCCGACCTTCTCGCACGGAAAGCGGTCGAACCAGGGACCTGGGGTTATAATCGCATAGTGTCCACCTTTGGGCCCTCGACACCAGACCTACTGCTCCCTGCGTCTGATCCTCAATGTGGGGAAAGGGAAGACGGCCCCAATGGCAAGGGAAGACCACTGAATAGACCGGCGCTGGGGAGAAGAGTCTTTGGCAACAGTGAAGAACGAGTAAGGGATAGGAAAAAGCTCAATGGGATTGTCCACCCGGCTGTGAGATTCTACATGGTACGCTCAGTGCTGTATTATTACCTGCTGGGACACTGGGCAGTATTACTCGATATCCCTTTGATGTTCGAATCTGGGCTCGATATCTTCTGCAGCACAATTCTAGTTGTTGCTGTCTCCGAACCCAAGATTCAGATGGAGCGCCTTCGGGCGCGAGACCCACATCTTTCCGCCGAGGATGCGGAGAACAGAGTCAAGAGCCAGGTTGACGTCCGAGAGAAAGCGGCAAGGAATGAAGCTCGGAACAATGGCAAGGCAGATGCAGGGAAAGGTTATGTTCTCTACAATGATGGTAACAAAGAGGACTTGAAAGTTCAGCTGGCAAATGTGATGCAGAAAATCAAATCGAAAAGCCCGAGATGGTGGAGCTTGCTGCTTTGGCTTTGTCCGCCCTTCATGGTTACAACAGCCGCCTGGGAGGTCTTTCGAAATTGGTGCGTGCGTCGGAAAACAGTCAGGGAAAGAGGTGAGGAATTGGCTAAACCAAAGTTATAATGCAAGAGTGATGCCTGAGAGCAGCCGCGGCGATTGATACAGTACATCATGCAACTCTCATCCATTCAACTCAGGGTGCACAGGAGCATTCCCATGCAGAACAATGACAATAGCCTGACTTACGGACCCCTGGTTCTTTTTTCTGACACGGAATGTTTTACGGGAATCGGATCTCCATTGCAAGTGACAGCATTGACGAATCAAGGGTTATTGAAACTGGTGCGCAACGAGTTCTTATGCATACTACCAATTGGCCAGGGGGAGATTTCAGACGAACAGGCTAGTATGATAATCCCTATTAAGATGCTAGTAGCAAGGCTATCAGGAGCATATTGTTCGGATTGCCATTCATATCCAGAACTGGATTCTGTTTAACGCCACCGTATGCCTTGGCCTACTGATTAGTTATACACTCCTGGCTGACACAGAGTACATTAGCTTACAAGGACAACACCGCTATTTGGTACCTACTCAGTTCTTGGTACCAATACATGTCATTGCAACGGAAGAACCATCTCGGCTGGAAGACATGTAGTAGGCATATATTAGGTGGGAAGATGGGCCTCAGAATGAGAGCCAGATGATCAATGGCAAAATCTAGCTGATTGATAACCATTATCTGAAAACAAACGCCTCTGTTTCTGCAACACCTTGGACTGTTTGTCCTCTATTGCAAGGTATCAAACTCGGGATTGACCCAGTTGGGAGTTCCACTCTTGGCTCTGAGAAGCGGGCCGTATATATGAATGAGTGCAAAGATGGGTAAAGCGCCGAAAAACAAGATGATACCTTGCCCCGCAAAGCACCAAGTCCAGCCCGAATCTGCCTGCCAGGGCGCAATGAAAAACTAAATCCGATGTCAGCAAAATGCAGGTGTGGCCACGGGAGTAACCCCCGAAAGGCAGTTTTTTCTCAAACTTACTGGGTCGATGAAGGCGGACAAGTTCAACAAGACAGCATAGAACGTAATGGTACTCATAGACTGCAATGGATAGGCATCGACAACATATGCGCAGACGACCGTGTTGCCCATTTGGATACCAGCCGCAAAGAGGAAGAACGCAACCTGTCCCACAACCCAGTGGTATGCCCTATCGACGCTGATGCCCCAGATGATCAACCCCAGTGCAGAGAGAAGACCAGCAGGGTAGATGAGCCACAGGCGCATTTCTGGCATACGCACACCGCCATTCTTCTTCGCCAGTCTAGCACAGACGTAGTCGCTAAGTCGACCGCCAAGGAATATCTCCGCAAACAAGGTTCCAAGTAAAAGACCGATGAAGAGCAGTCCCTGGATTTGGGGCGTGTAGTCCAGGTAAGCGGCCGGTAGCATGGTGATGACACTCAAGACCCACCAGTACCAAAGAAAGCAGTAAGTGAAGACGGAAATGGTGACAGCAAGGAACTTGAAAGTCAGGATGAAGCGCAAGGCTGGATCCCATATTTTGGGATGGCGAAGACCTGGTACAGGCTTGTAGTTGATGTATGGCAGTTGCTTGGTTCGGGGCAGGTTGACTACGCTGGCATCGCTTCTCCGGCGGCCGGCCATCTCGATATCCACAGCTGTCTCATCGGAGGCAGTCGCCATTGGCAATTGCTTCAGCATGTTGTTCCTTGGATACAATGTCTCGGGCATGAAGAGAACCTCGAGAACAAGAAGCACCCCAAAGAGGATGGCAGTGAACCATTGGATCCATTCTGCCGATACAATGTTCAGAAACCCTCCGAAGATCGGTCCCACAAGTAAACCGCTGTCGATAGCCAATACCCAAAGGCCAATCTTCTGACCGCGCTCGTGCTCATAGAACATGTCGTTGATAGCGGCGAGGCCAACAGTTGAAGCTGGCGAAACTCCGAGACCCTGAAAGAAACGAGCGGCCATATAGCCTCCATATTCAGGTGCCTTTGCAGCGCCAATCGTGGAAGCAAGCGCCATGGTCGTACCGACGATGAAGATAAGGCGGCGGCCGTATATATCAGCCAGGCCAGACCAGACCAGAGGACCAACAGCCAATCCGAGGGCTGGTATGGCGACCGTCCAATTGACTTGCATATACGTGATTGCATATCCATCCTGCAAGTCGGGGAAGCTGGGAACTGTCGTGGTTGTCAAATAGGTAAAGAGAAAATATCTTGGGACAGTCAGTAATGCCCTTCAACTTGCAAGGCCTGGTCTGAGAGGAGACTGACTTGAGCATAACAATAGCAAGAATTGAATGCTTCTGAACAAAGCTCCAATTCAATGGATCTAAAGGATCCGTCGTTGGCTGTGGATGGACACGAATCCCATCCCGTGATACGAAGACATCCTCGCTGTTAGGAGAAGATGGCGCTACCGTACCAGCTTCAAGCTTCTCAGTCAAAGTCCCGACTGCGGGGGGTTGATCCCCCGGGGCGTAATCCTTCTCATTGGGAGTAACTGACATGATGGGCAGATTCGAGGTAAAGACAACTAAGCATAGAGAAGGAACAGCGGGTTCATATCAAAGACGAAACTGGACATATAAAGACCAATTCTCTTGTCAAGAATTTAAAACCCGAAGAATACAAGATGCGAGTCAAGGACCCGCGGAAAAAATACTGCTGCAGGGTTAAGTACTCCGTACCCAAGGGTTTGAAACTGACATCCAGACGACCAGAGCCACCAAAGATGGCAAAGGGCAGCCCGCCACAACGGTAGCTGGACTGGTCATCATGGAGACAACCTACCAAAAATCCATTTTCCTGTACAACTCCTTATCTCTGGTTCGTGTTACAGATCAAGGTGTCTAATCAAGGATTGTACGGAGTGGCGCATCGGGCCACTATTGCCAACTAAGTTAACCCACACGAGGATGTTCCATAAACGGGCCTTGCGACAAAGAAGAAACTTGCCCGAGTCGGTCGTCCTCCGGCTGCGGCTGGGATGTGTATCGATGGACCAGGAAGAGCCCAGAGGGCTACAGATCCTGGCATCGCTAGCGCATCTAGATTGCTTATGTTGGTAGGGAAAGAGGCGAAAATGTTGACGATGATAAGGGGGGAAATTCATTGGCGTGAAAAAGAGATGAACATATTGGTTTGGAGCTTTTTTCTCAGATGATGGGGACGAGGTAAGCCTCCATACGCGCTAGTAAAATATACTTCTTGGCAGGGCTGGGAAGGATCAGATGCCAGAGAGATAAGGAAAGCAGCCTTGTCATTGGCGACTCGATTTCTTTTGTTGCACACCCTGTCAAAACGGACCGGTACCTAGGGAGATATTCGTTGCTGGTACGTTTGCTGCCTTTCCGGTCGCCTGGTAGCTTACGTATCACTATTTGTGAAGCTGTGGGCGCAGTCCCGATTTCCGTATGTACCTGATCAGAATGTTTGGGCTGCTAGCTGCATTGCACATACATGCACCAGGCTTCAATAGGCTATCGCGCCTTTTACGTCCTCTTTGGAACATTATGTCCCATCTGCATTGTGATTTTCTTTCGGGACTCCCAGTGGCGTAATTATTGGTTGAAGACAAGGGCCCACTATGGCCAATGATCATGCTATGCAGCTCGCCATGGCATGCTGTCCTTTGGACTTGCTGTTTTCTCTTTATCTAACTCTCGAAGAAGATCTGCCCTCAACATCTCTATATCGTTGATTCACTTGTACCTCATTCTCTTTATCTTGCTTGATCTAGGAGGAATCCTCGACTGGTGGCCTGCAATGCGGAGATACAGCACTTCGGGTAAGGCTAGCTATACGTGCTCATAACTTTCTACCTAGCTAACTGCTAAGAAGAGGAGTCAGAGAGACGCCACTCAACGGTTCTCTCCCATGATACAATCGAGCAAGCACCGACAGAGAGGTCACAGCTTCTGCCGAAGAAGCATGATGACGATGATCAATCAACGAGTCAGGAAGATGGAGAGGTTATGGACATCTTGCCTGAAGATGCGACTTCCACCAGGAAACTTATCCTTCACGAGTTTTGGGTACTTTTCAAGGGATCAATTCCAGTTGTACTTGCATACACATTGCAAAATTCTCTTCAAACAGTATCCATCTTGATCGTTGGCCAAGCGTCACCCCAAGATCTCTCGACAGCAGCATTTTCTTACATGTTTGCTATGTGTTCAGCATGGCTTATTGGTATGGGAGGCTCGACTGCCTTGGACACGCTAGCTTCATCGACATTCACTAGCGGTGGGAACAAGCACGACGTGGGCATCTTATTGCAACGTGGCTTCATTGTGCTGACTCTATTCTACATACCTGTGGCGATCATATGGGTTGCCTCAGAGCCCCTTTTCAGAGCACTAGGCCAGAGCGAACAACTGTCAAGGGACAGTGCCAAGTTCTTGACTTGTTTGATACCAGGTGGGCTTGGATATATCTACTTCGAGACGATGAAGAAGTATCTCCAAGCACAAGAGATCATGCGCCCTGGCACTTACATCTTGTTAATAACTTCCCCGATCAGTGCAGCACTGAATTATCTGTTCGTATATACTGCAGGGTGGGGTATCTTTGCTGCTCCGATCGCTACAGGCATTGGATATTGGCTATCTTTTCTCGGTCTTGTCCTCTACGCGAAATTTGTCGCTGGAGGTGAATGCTGGGGTGGCTGGTCTAGAAAGAGTCTCCAAAATACTGGCATCTTCGCAAAGCTTGCCGCGTTGGGTTTCCTTCATGTTGGAACTGAATGGTTTGTTTAGCCTCCCCCTGACTGATCTTCGACACTGACATGTTGTAGGTGGGCATTCGAGATTGTGGCTTTAGCAGCCGGGCGACTGGGTGAAGTTCCGCTCGCCTCACAGAGTGTGATAATGACCGCAGACCAAGTCTTGAACACAATTCCTTTCGGAGTTGGTGTAGCAGTCAGCGCTCGTGTTGGCAATATGCTTGGATCAAGAAATGCCAAAGGTGCCGCACGGTCCGCGAATGTGGGTGCATGGTTGAGTATCCTCCTGGGCGGCGTGGTGCTAGCTATTCTTATGGCGACGAGAAACCACTTTGCGAAAATCTTCAACGACGACGTGAAGGTAGTTAAACTTACTGCTGAGGTTCTACCATATGTTGCATTGTTCCAGATTGCCGATGGTTTAAATGGCAGCTGTGGCGGAGCATTACGTGGTATGGGTCGGCAACACATTGGAGCAGCTGTCAACCTCATCAGCTACTACGGCGGTGCACTTCCTCTGGGAGTTTGGCTCGCTTTTCACGGCTGGGGACTCGCTGGTCTCTGGGTTGGACAATGCATCGCCTTGTACTTGGTTGGGTTTGGTGAATGGGTCATCGTCGCTTGGAGTAACTGGGACTATCAGGTTGAACAAGCCTTTGCGCGCATGGATAAGGATGAACTTGTTGAGAATGGCCAAGCGGGTTCTGTTAGTCCAGCTCCCGCTGGTAATGGGCCACACTAGCTTGAGAAGGGTTGGGACATATCTATCGTAAAGTTGCACTTTTGGTACACCTTTACTGTTGTGACCTGTAATCAAAACTATCTACGCATACCACAATTTCGGACCTATCCATTCCCATACTTATCGATTAATTTTCTCAGCGTGATCGGCGGGTAAGTATGCCAGGCTGTGTGGAGCATTTAAAAGACTCTGGTAGCCTTGTCGACAGAGCCTTATTCGATAAATTACGAGCGGATGTCGAAAAATACGGCCATGCCGTTTGTGGTTAGGATCATCATCGGGTGTTTATCAAGCCAGATCCGAACTATTCGCATTACTGTATGACATGATTCACTGATAAGAGCAAAAACGCAACAACCAGCTTTTGGCCAAACTGTATTGGTTCCCTTCTTCAGCTCGGGTTCGAATTCTTCGGCATTTCAGGGTGGAAATGCTCGCCGACATCCTGCTGAGGAAGGATTGCTTATCCACATCCTGGACGACAGATTAAAACTTGTCGTCAAATAGTCGGCGATATCGATACTAATGCGAGTCTAAATCGTCGGCAAATGTGCGAGGACTGGTGGACATCGCTCGTTATCGGGCGAGCTCTGTGGAACCTGGACCATCATGTCTCTGCCTGCATATGGTCTCGTAATTTAAGTGGAACCCTGCTCCAGAATCCAGGTGCATGGGACGAGCTTTCCACGTTATCTGTTCGTGTCCAAACCTAAACAGGAAGCCGAGAGACACATCGTGCATACGGATTATGGGGGGAGCAGGCCATACCGTATCAAGAAGGCAATGAGCAATTCTTGCATTGGCGTCGTGGAGTATCCGGTCCAAGCTGTAACGAGTATCGAAGCAACAACTCGTGCATGTGGTCCGTGGAGGACACAGGCCATGCCCAAACTAGTGCTCGGGAAGCAACTCGTGCATGAGATGGGGTAAGTGTGAGGTAAGAAAAGACATGTTGCAAGCTACAGTATGGCTGCAAGGCACCACTGGCTGGAAACTGGACGGAGAAGCTCTGTCCTGACGCGAGTAACGCTCTCATGAGCTGTTTGTCAATATTTTGGACGATTACAAGAAGCCTCGAGCTAGGTGCATTAATTTCAATGTTGATCCTGTCTTTTCCTCCTTTGTAGTCTACTTCCTGGCCAGATCAGATCTTTATATTTCTCATCTTGCAGGTAAAGATGTTGTTTACATCGGTCGCGCTTCTGGCGTGCGTGACATGTGCGCTTTCGCATGGTGATCATTCAAAGGATCAAACGCCCATCTCTGGACCACACAAGTCTCTGTGGTACAATACATTGCCAGGTGATGGTGGCACCCAGGTGAGAAAGACCAAAACTTCCAATAAACGTGAATGGTGGTATTGATACCCAATAATCAGGCGGATTCAGTTTTCTCGGGAATCTCAACCTTCGGTCGCCTTCCCTATTTTCCTTGCCTAGCCAGTGATGAGGAAAAATATGATATCGCTTTCTTGGGTAAAGACATGACGGAACGTACAAAAAGGGCTAAAAGCTGATATCTTGACTAGGAGCGCCATTTGACACGGGCACTTCATACAGACCAGGAGCACGTTTTGGTCCAAGTGGCATAAGACAAGGTTCTCGGCGTCTCAATCTTTAGTATGTTGTATTCCGTCCTTTTTCCGAAGGCTTACTTTTTGCCTCTTTTTGGGAGGAATAAAGGCTCACGAAAACTCGGGTTCAGTGGAGGTTACAATGTGCCAATGAAGGCCAACCCATTCAATTTCTGGGGGAAAGTCATTGATTGCGGTGATATTCCGGTGACATCGTGAGCAAAGCGAATACGATTATGGTTCTGATGAGGCCGCTGACTGGAGTGAATAGATATGACAATGCTTATGCCCTGCAGCAGATTGAGAATGGGCACAACGCTCTCCTAACTCGCACACCGTATACCGCTGCCAATGAGCCGGGGATCAGCAAGTCGGGAAAGACACTTCCTCGCATCATCACCCTGGGAGGCGACCACACAATCACCCTGCCACTGCTCCGCAGCATCAACAGAGCTTATGGACCGATCTCAGTGATCCACTTCGACTCGCATCTCGATACATGGAAGCCCAAGGTATTCGGTGGAGCGCCTAGCGAACAGGCCGCCATCAACCACGGCACATATTTCTACTGGGCTAGCGAGGAAGGGCTTCTTGCGAACGACAGCTCCATCCACGCAGGCATCCGAACAACGCTCTCAGGGCCTAGTGACTATGACCACGACGGCTACGTCGGGTTCACACGTGTTGAGGCTCGTGAGATAGACACCATCGGCACCTGGGGAATCATCAAAAAGATCAAGGAACGTGTCGGGACCAAGAACCCCGTTTACCTTTCCATCGATATCGACACTCTCGATCCTGCGTTTGCGCCTGCCACGGGAACTCCTGAGACTGGAGGCTGGAGCACTCGTGAACTGAGGACCATCCTCCGCGGGCTAGAAGGTATCAATTTCGTTGCTGCCGATATTGTTGAGGTTGCGCCAGCGTATGACACGAATGCGGAGTTGACAACTATGGCAGCAGCGGATGCTCTTTATGAGGTCATGACTTTGATGGTGAAACGGGGCCCGTTGACACTCAAGGCAACACAGGCCGAGTATATTCCTACCATGGTCGAGGGAGAGGAGGCATATCAATAAATAGGAGATATTCTGTTACCCGAAACGGATGACAGCCCCACAACTCTTGGCATTGCGCCAAGATGTATCTTGCCGGTTCCGGAGTAGAGCCGTTTCATATGCAGCCGTGTATACTCCAAGTATTCTACCATAAGATTGTGGGTAGAAGCGACTACTGATGCAAATACTTTCGGCATAGCGGGGTGGAAGAGAAATAAATGACGAAAGGGACTGGGATATCTTATTTTCTAAGCTCCCTCTCTAGCTTTGGTATCTCTTGTGGGTTTTCATTAATGCTACATTCAACAGTTCTAAGGGCGGAGCTCGGAAGGCGTGGTTGGTGCGATGTTTGTAGTGGGATGAAAGTTCCATCTCAAATCACTCGTTGTTCTGAGAACCCTGTAGTGTTCTTGCCCATTTAATCCGTCTTCGGTCATGAGAATCATTTTTGAAGAAGCGTCTCGGTCTCGTTCTCGCGGCATGCACTCTAGACATATTTGATAAAAATGTAACTTCTTAGATGAGCTCATTCCTTCTTTCTTCCCTTGTAGTGAACAAACGGAATTGCCGCGTTTCGGTGGTGAGGTAGATCTCGAAAGGCATAATTGACGCCACGCAATTGGCTGCGCTGAATCAAAGGAAATAGTCTGGTGTTCTGCGGCTGACCATCGGTTCACCAGCTCGTGGGCAAGGGTCAAACTGTAAGCTTGAGAATGGTTAGCTATGGGATGATTCCTCACAGGATTCGCAACTCACAAGGTGTATTTGAGGTTCTCGTCAATCTCCATGATAGCAGCCAGATTCCCGCATCTGTAGCAATAGTTTGGTGCTGAAAAAACAGTGCAGACATTCCGATCGTGTGACCAATTGTAACCTTCCATGACAAGTTGGTGAGCTCGAGCCACAAGGGTCAAACCATTGTTATGGTTGTATGCTTCTGAAATATCTGGGAAATGTCAGTGGATGTGTAGCTATGCTTGGATGTTTCTGACCAGATCCGAATGTGTATCCTGCGCCTCTTGGACTGATTCCCCATCCACATCTGTCATCGGGATCGCTCCAGAGGAGATCGCACATTGGGCCTTCGTGAGGAACTTCTTGAATTCGGTCGAGGGATCGGATGTTGTCAAGGGTATCGATACTAGGTGAAAGTCCTCCATGGAGACAGAAGATTTGATTGTCGATCAAAGCTGTAAGTGGGAGATAATCGAAGAGATCGGTGAAGTATTTCCACACATTCGCATTTCCATACTTCCTCAAACACTCATCATAAAACCCATATACTTGTGTTATCTGACGGGACTCGTGGTTTCCTGTAAAAGGGTTAGTTTCTTTGCTGTTGAAGGCTGGGAAAATTTACCTCTTGTAAGAGTGATTCTGGACGGATATCTGATTTTCATACAAACTAATAACGTAACTGTCTCGCAACTTGAGAACCCCCTGTCTACGTAGTCTCCTGTTGATTTAAAAAGTCAATAAGATATAAGAAGGATGGTGGAGGGTGGTGGAGAGTGGTGCAGGGTGGTGAAGGTGGATTGGGAGGCAGGTTGGGGGGGAGAGATTGAGGGAATGGATTGAGAGAGAACATCCTAGAGATGACGATCTAGAGGGAGATGTATGGAGGGTGATGCTGATGGTAAACAAACCCATGAAGAGGTAGTTGGTGTCAGGACAGTTGCCTCCGATGCGAAAAAGCTCGACAAGATCGTGGAATTGGCCGTGGATGTCGCCACAGACAGTGACAGGACATTTCTAGAGACAGTTAGGTGATGATAGGACAACAAACAAATGCAACTGACCACATTCTGCACATTGGACTCAACCTGGAGGATTTCCTTTGCCCGTTCACAGAGCCTGATAACGTCAGATTCAGGTAATTGTTTGAGGTTCAGAAGCTGCTCAATCCAGCCGTCGAGGGTAGAAATGGAATTAGGGTCAGAGGCAGGTGATAAGCCATGAGGCTGTGTGGGTTTCGCGACATCAAGATCCATGTTGTCCATGTTGCGATCGTGTGGGGGGGTATGATGGGAAGAAGGGAGAATGGAAATCGATGTCTGAAAGGTATCTAGCGCATGAGGAGTAAGCTATTCCCTATTAGGTGTTGGGGCCCCACTGGAGCTAAGGCGTATTTCGTCTACACCTATTGGCGCCAAGAATTACTTAAGCGTTTTCTAATTCACTAAACATGTGCTACTCTCAGCTTACCAGTCTACTACTCTCTCTAATCAGTTGCTGCGGGTGGGCAACATTGGGATAACGAACGTCATAAAATTTCTCCGTTAAGGGGATAACGTTAATCTAATAACTAGTATTAAAGGCCGCTAGAAACGCATACTTTGCTACTATTACTAACCACTACGCCTATTGCTCCTAGCGTCGCTCTACTGTTGGCGGCCTTTGCTCCTACTGCTCCTCGAAGACAGCAAGGATCTCGCCAACGAGATCCACTGCCCCTGCCCGATAGTTCAAGGGCCGTCGTCCTCTCTAACTACTTTTGGTCAGTATAATTTGTATAGCCAGTAGAAATACTGATGACAATTCAGATAGCAGTCCAGCGACAACATGTCTTCTGCAACAGTTAGCTTGCTACTGTTGTTATTACTGCGGTTGTTGCACTGTTGTGGTCGTACGTAGACAGGTAGGACAATGGTTCGTGCTTGGAAGCTACTACGGGTATGTCGGTGCATACACCCACTTCTTTAAGGATATCACATCTGCGCACATCTACCTAGGTAGATATGAACAGTAGGAGAAGTGAAACCTTGGAACGGCAGCCTCTCAGCCGCCAAATATGACGCTTAATCATACTGGGTCTCTCGAAGATCATGTATTATTACCGTGAATTGAGGAATTGAATGAATGCTCATTCGAAAAGTTCTCCTCTACACGTTCAAAAGCACTTCTATCTCATATTTCAAGAGCTTTATATTCACTCAGACTCCTCTCACTATCTTGGCAACCTCGGTTGGCTTCATGTTCCTGGTCACGAGCGTTAGTTGACAGAAGCTGTGCAATACCTCGCTGCTATTGCGATCCAATAGTTCCACGTCTTGCGCCATTGGTATCTTTGAGACGGCAGCCCGAGACCTTTTGAGTTGTCATACTATCGCTCCTAGCAGGTCCAATCTCTGTTATGTGTCATCTATAGCTTCTGCTGCACCTTTCCCCCCTCCCCCCCCCATCACTCTCTTCTATAGTGCGTTCTCTCTAGCATGGAGGCTTGGGAGAACAAAAAAAATCCCGACCAGTTACTAGTAGCACATGTACTGCCTCTGACAGACTATTCCAAAGGCCTCTTACAAAAGCCATTTTAAGTAAAATAGACATTAGGGGCGAGAACACTCAAGGTCAAAGGCGCCATCTATGACACTTACTTCTTTGCTGGCGTCGTTGTGGCTCGTCGCCGGGATCATCAACTGTACAAACATAAATGGCTGCTAGGGAGAGCGGGTAACAGGATTTCAACAATAGGGCTGGACGTCCTGAAAGCTGACAAGGGAAAAGTGAGAGAGATAACGCAAACAGATGATGCAGACATAGGAATCACATCGCCCTTGATAGTGTACTTATAGCACAAAGTCTCATGAACTTCTTTCCATCACGCGGCTCATATGAAATCTCCTTGTCCAAAACCCCCAAATGGATTGCCGCCGCCAGGAAACCCACCGCCTCCTCCAGGAAATCGTGGCCCTCCACGCAAATTAGGTGGGCCATCGCCTGGGCCTATAGGGTCATACCTTGCTCCTGGGGGTGCTCTAGGATTGAAAGGCTGTTGTCCTGGTGGACCACCAAAGACAGGGTCATCAAAAGTAGGATGCATTCCACCACCTCCGCGAAAACCACCTCCACCGGGACCGATTCTTAGGGGATCATGTGGCCCGAGGCCTGGAGGATAGAGATCTCTCTCTCCGATATTGCCGAATGGTTCGCCGCCCAAGGGCATGCCTCGTGGAGGCCTGTTTAGTTCATGCTCATCTTCAAACCCTGGAGGAGCAAAGTCAGCGGCAGGACCAGATCGTCTAGGCGCAGCTGCCAGTGGGTCGTCATATATCTGCGGCCGTGCAGGGGCAGGATAGTCGTCTCTTAGTGGATCACGCCGTGGCTCCTCACGCCGTACTGGCGGCTCAGTAGCAGAAGATGCATCCTCATAACCAGTCTTGTGAATGCCCGGGGCTAATTTTTGGATGATGCTGGTCTTGAAAAGTGAAGTGAAGTCTTCAATGCGACCATTTGAGATGAATACATTTCTGAGTGCGGATTTTCTGTCTGGGCTATCGGACGTGGCCTCCTTAAGTGAGCCCTCAGAGACAAAATCCTGGGCTTTCACCTCGAATGAGGCGGTCTTGTCATCGCCGAGTCCTACCCCAAATATGACAGCTTTCGCGCCCAAGCGAGTCACTTTTATCAAAAATTCCAAAGAAGACTGAGCGTGTGCATATCGAAAAGCAAATGAGGTAGAGGCATTCCATTCGCTGGGTAAAGGGTGTACATTTTCAGGACTAGACTGTGCTTCTGTGCAGATGTTAGCGAAGTCATTGTAGCACAGTCTGGCAGGCATACCCATTTTGTGATCTTCTCCTAGACCTATGAGACGAAAGCCGACAGCAAGCATGCAGGCGTGAGAAAGTAGGGCAATGCAAGAAGAGGCATCTTTAAGTAATTGTGGCTGATCAGTGGTGGGTTGGAGGCTACTGCTCATGTAGCCAAGGACAGAGTCGGGGCTCAAAGCATTCTCGGTAGCTGGAGTCATGATTGTAATGGAGGTATTGAGTTGTCAGGTATTAAAAAGTCTATCGAGCATGTTCTGTTTCAATCTTGGAAAAAATCATTTGTAGTTGCAAAAGCGCAGGCAACTGTGAGCAGTCGTTGCCTCTCGTTGCCTCAATGAGTTGAACTCCGCATATGGTTCCCCTCATCAGCGGTATATCCCATCCACTAATACTAACTAGGGCTAGACCGTTGATGACGTGAGTTGCGAACTGGCGCCTTTTCACTGCATACTCGTGTGAGTGCTGTGGCTTGAAACACTCTGGAAGGCAAGATCTATGACGTAGTTCAGCATCTTCAGTTTGGGTTTGGTCACGTGATGTCCAGAAATTCACCGAGTCGGAATTTTATCGCGCAGACGACATACAGTACATTCTTCGTTTCTATCAAACCCCAAGAGCCTCCTCATTCCTGTCAACTCAATCGATCTTGCAGATTGATCTCGACCCACAGGAAGGCTCATCAGTTACAGTTTCAAACCAATGCAAATGATGGGTCCACATCGTTGCTCCGAGATGTTAGAGGGCTGAAGTTTGGTCATTGTTGTATTTGGGTTTCAACTACTTCCAAATCCGTGGTCAAGGTCATTATCGCTGGACTTGATACGGATGGCAATTAAGCGATTCATCCGAGTCGAAGGCAGAGTAGTGCCTCTATCGCAAGCAATCGCCAATTGCAGCTCGTTCCATCTCGCTCGGGTTGACAATATCCCGCATTTCACACTCAACAGAGTGCCGAAAGCGCGAATCCCTGTTGCCAGATCACGTGTCCGTTTTTCGTCCGCCCCATCAAGTCTGAATTGTCATCATCACCGACCAGACGTTCCATTGTACACTGTCGGGATAACGCATTTCAGTTACATGGACCCGACTATGTCATCACCGAGTGAATGCGAAGGCCGATTTGTGGCTCTGCTCGTAAGAGGCTACCGCCCATGGTTCTTTTCAGAGTTCAATTTAGATAAAGGTAGGCGAAAATCCTCTCTTGGACACTTCAGAGTACCCAAGCTGTCGCACCAGTCCCCTCCGAGAAGGCTTCAATTGTCTACACCAGCTCTGCAAGCTATTACGAACCATGTCTAACCACCCAAGCGGTCCTCCATACGCCCCTTCAATAGCATCGGTCGGGGGAATTCCAAGTATAGGAATCGATGTGCCCACATCAGCCGTCTTCATGTTTTTGTACATCGTGTCTGCCACTGGGCATATGACCATTTTTCAAATCAACAAAAGACGTGGCCAAAAATTCATCATGTCAGGAATGATGTTTGGATACTCCGTCGCCCGTACACTTACCATGATTCTCGTGAGTTCACTCACTACCACGATCTGTTGACACAGGTTAACCATCTCAAAGCGTATCGTTTGGGCAGTCTATCCACACGATATTCAAATCGCCATTGCAGCCCAGATTTTCGTGTCTGCAGGCGTACTCATCCTCTTCATCATCAACCTCATCTTCGCCCAGAGGATAACCAGAGCCGCTCATCCACACTTCGGTTGGCACAGAGCCTTGTCCAATATCTTCAAAGTCCTTTATGTTGGGGTCGCGGTTATGCTAGCTATGGTGATAACCGCAACTGTCCAGTCCTTCTACACACTCAATCCTCACGTTAAAAGAATCGATCGGGATCTGCAAATCACTGCTTCTACCTATCTACTGTTGATTTCGTTCTTACCTATTCCTATGGTTATCTTCAGCCTGATTGTTCCTCGAAAGACGAGGTTGGACAAGTTCGGTAGCGGAAGATGGAGATCAAAGATCTGGATTCTCCTTGCATCCACAGTTTTGCTTTGTCTTGGGGCTAGCTTCCGGACTGCTACAACCTTGAAGAACCCACGACCAATAAATGATCCCGCATGGTACCAAGCAAAATGGTGCTTCTACTTCTTCAATTTTGTCATTGAGATTATTGTCATTTATCTCTGTCTCTTAGTTAGAGTCGACCGACGGTTTATCATTCCTAACGGAAGCAAGGGCCCTGGAGACTATGTGAGACAACAGATGCAACAACGGTCAGGAGAGAACGTCGATGAACTACCACGCCGCAGTATGAGCTCGACTACTCACATCCTCTCGGAAGAGGAAGTCTTTGACGACATGAATCCCGTTGAAAGGACCCTGAGCAAGGAGAATGGGTCCCCGGTATGATGCATAATGAGAAGAGAAAAGTATTGGCATGCCACATATGAGTGAATTTGGTCTATTTTACCTTGTATTACTCAACTATTGTACCATTAGTAATTGATAGAATAGACTAGACTAGACTAGATTAATGTCTACAATTGTGCCTCTACCTATTCTTGATGATGCATACTTGGGTGATCACGTGATTACTCGGACCCCACTTGAATATTCCATTTCGCCCCAAAACAACAGGAATTGTCCATTCTTAGCGCGTTACAAAACAAAGAATAACCAAAAACAAGCAATCGTCTTTCTCAAAGGCTTTTTGAGAGCTGCAAACAACCCGAATCAAAGTCCATCTTCAAGATCGTTTTAGTGTCACTGCCTTGTGTCACATATTCATCGCGACGCGAAAATATTGAAGTAACGATATTCGACAGGGTCACGCGTCTTGCTGAGATCACATTCACCTTACAACCCAAGTTCAACAACACCATTGATATCATCCGCACTTAAATAGACACACTTTATTTCAAGGATCGTATTGCCATTAGCGATCATCCTACGTATTGTTGGTCGCCAATATTCTGCATGGTCCGGAGTACTGCGCATCCATTGATGGGGCTGGTGAAATTACAGAATTTATAGGTGAGTCGTGTTCACCTAGGAAAATCCGTGGATCAAGCTCTATCTCAAACAAACCAGCTTTCGATGAATTCTAATCCATCAAAAAACTGCAATAGGTACTGGAGGAGACGGTCGGGGAAATGCCAGCTCGTCGGTCTACTGCGAGGGCTTCGAGCGCCACGCCCATCAGGAATGCATCTCCCGCCAAACGATCAACCCGCGGTGCTAGTGTCCTAGCAGTGCCGGACTCTGCGACTGTGAGGCGCACGGGTAGGAGTGCTTCTCAACAGCCAGGCGCATCGGAGATCAATCTCAATAACCCAAGGCTTCCTGAAGTGCAAATCCAACAATCCTATGCCTATGGTTCAAGCAAGACACCTGTACTTCCTACTCAGCTGGTGGCTCGAAGTCGGATGAACTTGAGAGAACTTGCTGATACGATTGATGCTGGAGTAGAACAAGCTCAGCAGCACCTTCAGGATCACCTTGAAGAGGCACATGCTAATCTACAAACCGATGCTAGAACGGAACGAGCAGAACGAAGAGCGTCCCGAGAAGCTTCAGTCGCAAGCGATGATATTGAGAAAAACAAAACTCGACGGGTCGAGGCGTGGGCAAATTCACTTGACAGTAGTCAACTCGACGAAATTCCCGAGGAAGACAGCAGTGATGAAGCAAGCAACCATGATGATGCTAGCCGGAAGGACACAGATCCGTCGAGCTTTCCTAGTGGGATATTCGACCATAGCTACAATTACGAAAGAGGTCTTCGAAAACCTAACATCATGATGCGTAAGCCAGAAGCATCGATATTTCAAAGAGCATCGACGAAAGCAACCCGTGCCATCGAGGCATCACGACAACTCCTCTCAACGACATGTTCAGCTGCGCTTCATTGGACTCATGGCCTGTTTTGGGCATTTTCACAAGCCATTCGTGAAATCCCAAATTCTTCAATCATCGCTTTCATTGTTGTCACTATCCTGGGCCTCCTTCTGGTTAGCATGACAGGTCTCATATTGTGCTACACATACAATACCCAAATATGTGATCCACTTACAGCCTCTCCAATTGGAATGACACTCCAGAAGTACTGTGGGTCCTGTGTTAGAAACCCTACCTCTGGTATCAATTTGACTACCGGGAATGGAGAGGATCTAAGGAAATTGACCGCAGCAATCAACAACATCAACAGCCAGATGCGAGCCATGGAATCGCGGCTGACCGGAAGAATCGATAATGAGCACGCAGCCGTGGACAAGGATTTCGAAGTACTGAGGAAACAACAACTGGAACTGTCAAACCAAATCTCAAGATTTGGATCCGGAAGTCCCAAGTCTGCTCATGATGTTGCCTCGCCGGTGATTCCGAAGATTAATTACTTCGCACCAAATAATGGAGCGATCGTTGTACTGGGCCCTACATCACCAACAAAGGAGAAACCACTCTCCTTCATAAGAAGGGTTCTTTTGCGTGCCGTTTTCTCGACATATTACAAGACCAAGGGTCCCGAGACAGCTTTGGAGGCCTGGCAAGATGTCGGAGACTGCTGGTGCGCATCGGCGATGCCTAGTGAGCAGGACTCGATGCGTTTAGTTGTTCAAACCTCCGAAATGATCTTTCCGTTCGAATTGGTGCTCGAAAACTATCCCAATGCCGGCTCCCTCTTCCCTGGATCGATTCCGAAGAGACTAGAACTCTGGGCCGATTTTGACCATCTTGACAGCCTGGAGTGGGACAGGCTAGGAATAAGACATATGCAGGGAAACAATCCGTTCGGTCCCACCTATGCATTGATTGGGCAAGCTGAGTATGACGCCTCTGACGAAGCAGCCCACGTTCAGGCATTCACATTGGAAGTGAACCAGGGTCAAAATGAGCATCACGCTCAGAAATTCGTGGTTCGAGTTCTATCAAACCATGGCTCCGATCATACCTGCCTATACAGAGTCCGGTTACATGGCATTTCGGCCAACAAGACCAAAAATTGATATCTTTGGAGTTCGGCTTCGGCATCTGGAAAGGCACAACAGTCCAAAAGGGGCTTGACTTTCAATCCCGCTTTATGATATATGTATTTTTAACGACGGTCTTAAGCGGATGGAATCAAGGAGGACTGTTCTTGACCAAGGCTTGGACATCAATTTCACAGCAGTGGCGTTTTGGCGTTTTATTAGTTGTGTATGTACCACTCTCGGGAGGACCGAGTGTCAGTGCTCTACGATTGAATAAGGAGAGGAAACTAGGATGGTCTGACAGCCCTGATGGCTTCTTCCCTCAGGGCTAGAATGCCTATCAAAACCTTTAAATTCTTGAGTCATGACACAAAGATAAACTTTCATCCGCCGGTGGCCCCAAGTATCATCAGTCTGCCTTCCTCTCGTTGCCTTATGTAACATTTTATTATTATCCCTCAGGACATGCTTTCTGTCTCGCACACGACATATCTCAGCCATGTTTGCTTCAATGCAACCTAAACGTCCTCAGGCGCCTCGTACGCACAACCCAAAGCAAAACAGCAACGTCGTAAAAATGACCGATTCCTCATCGCCACTCTCGTGCGAGCAGCGGAGGCAAACGTCAACCGATGTCCAAAGTCAGAAGTACGATGGGGGTGAATTGTCCGAGGTTGGACGGCTGATCTGGCTATCTCCGAATTTCACACTTAGGCGTTGCTCCAAAGCTTGAGGCTGTGGTCGATGCGAATAAGTTTGACCTCCATCGTCGGTGTTTGCTAGGATAGGTCTTTTTGCGTAAGATCAGACCGATCACGCACGAGTTTCCGATAGCTTAGATCCCGCTGGGAGGGATCTTGCATCTACAATCTCCCATATCTGGTTCAACGTTTTGTGGGCATTCATTCGATTATTTCTTACATTGCAGGAATTCTGGCCTCCAACATCGGAAAGAAGAATGGGTGGGAGGAAGATATTGCGGAAGAATTTCAGCTTTTCGTCACCCTGAAAGTCCTTACCAGTTTCCCCTTCCCACACCTTCTTCTGCAAAGTGAGAGATCAACGTTTTAGCACTATGTCACGAAAGGAGATGTTGGTGAAGAGTGACTTGGAGGTAGCCCATCATGCTTCCAAGTAAAACATCTTAGGCACAAAATAAGCATGAACCAGTCGAGGCTAGGCGGGAGGGATCGCCTGGGGGCTTGTAGAAACTTTGACAAACTGGCCTAGCGAATCCACGAATGCTGGCAGAAATCTCAATCCTTGCAGATAGACGATGACTAATGAAGTTCCAGCTGGGTGACCATACCCAGATGGAAGTACAACCTCAAATGACGCTCAAACAAACTATCCATAATAATAATAAAATGGACCTCTAAATATGTCTAGATAGCCATTACTACCCATAGACCATCATATGAGCCCCCAAAGCTTGCACCGGTCTGTGGAATCAGACATGCGATGAGGCTTCTCAACGTTGACACTCTAAAGTTGGAATCATACCACCATGCCGAAACGACCCCGCCATACGCAATCCTCTCACATGTCTGGGAGGAAGAGGAAGTAACATTCCAAGACATTGATGAACCATTCTTGGGTCAAGACTTTCGAAAACTACAAGCCCGGTTTGACGAGCTGGAAAAAAAGTTCAACGACATCAGACAGCTCGTCGCTGACTCAACAAGCCAGGTCTCTTCAATCGCCAGTGATCAGTCTGTGGCTTCGCCTGTCGAGTCTGTGTCTCATCAAAGTCATAAGGCTCCAGCTCTCCCAACCAGAAATTCATCATTGGACCGAGCCAAGCGACTGAAAGGCTGGTCGAAGGTCGAAGGTTGTTGTCAGGAAGCAGTGCGATTTGGGCTTCACTATGTTTGGATCGATACTTGTTGCATCGACAAGTCAAACAGTTCAGAGCTGTCAGAGGCAATTAACTCCATGTTTGCTTGGTATAGGGACGCTGAACTATGTTTGGCCTATCTCAGTGATAGTTCCACTGTCAAAGATGCATTCGATACCTCACAGCCATCGAAATGGTTCAGCAGAGGGTGGACGCTACAAGAACTCGTTGCTCCAAGTAAGATGATCTTTTTTAACCGAGACTGGGTTCCTCTCGGTACTCGGTCTTACCTTGACTATCGCATCGAACAAATTACATCGATTCCAGTCGTCGTTCTCAAGAATGGTATTGCAGGCGAGTACGATGAAGAGTTCAGTATCGCCACCAAGATGTCATGGGCAGCTCAGAGAAAGACGACGAGATCAGAAGATCGAGCATATTCCCTTATGGGATTATTTCAAGTCAATATGCCAACCTTATATGGAGAGGGAGGGCAATCGGCCTTCCAACGTCTGCAAGGTGAAATTTTTGCTGCCTCTGGAGACCACAGCATACTCGCATGGTGTTCTGATCAATTCAGAGTGTTGACACGGCTACAGATCAATGATGCCATGTTCAACGGCGCGTCGCTCCGCAAAACCACAAAGTTGCTTGCTCCTGGGGTTGAGTCATTCTCTCCATCACCACGCTATCAGGATCTCCCAGTGAATCTCGTGAATAGATTCGGCATCGCCTCAACTGATACGGCGATCCCCTTTTATCCCATTTTGCTGCCATGTCCATATGATTTGAGAACTCCGAACCTCAAAAATTCAAGCTCGGCGAACGGGGCAAAATATTCGGAGTCAAGCCATGGCATGCGGGTGCAGTTGCTGTTGGAGCGTGTATGGGCCGACGTGAGAACAGACCGTCACATCTTCATTGCACACCTCGCTTGCAGGATACAGCCATCGGAGCAGATTGCAGGGATTCTGCTCATTTCTGAGCGAATAGGCCAATATCAGAGGCTGTTCCCGGATGTCCTACTGTCCATCGACCCGAAATACCATAACATGTCCCGCTTGATGCTAGAAGACGTTTACATCATACAAAAATGGTCTAGCCGGCAGGGCGGTTTATCTCGAACGCTGAGATACGGGACTTATCGATCCCACTTCTATGGAAAGTATAGCATATGTATCTTGGACAAGGAGGTGGAAAAGTCCGGGTTCGAATTACTGCAGTCGACCACATGCGAGCGAATGAACATACCAGGAGGGAAGCTACTGACATTCGGCAGCATCGATCAGAGAAGTGGCCAGTCGTTCGGCAATCTCAAGGCATCAGACTATGCTGAACTGCTGTCATTTCCCTGGGGCACAATTGACTTTCGAGAGGCGAACATTCTTCTCTTTGGGCGTCGGTGGGACGATAAAAGTGCACATCTTATCGCCGTGGTCTGGCTGCGGCATGAAGACTCGCTCAAGATTTCGGTGCTTGCAGATGTCGACCCGGCCAGACCAATACCAGATGACATATCATTTGCATCGTATGACATCTATGAAACCTTCATCTCGCACTGGGCAGAAAAGGCAGGGGACACTGGTGGAATCAACATCGTCTTCCAGGAAGATAACATTGAGCCGCCGTTGTATCGTGGGTCTTTCCGAGAGAGAGAAAAGAAAATGCATGTGGTTATTTTGTAGGAGATGGATATGATAGAGACTCGGTACAGAATACATATGGGAAATAGGGGCTCCGAAATTAATCACTAATTAGTTCGATTTCTTGCCCCCAAGCTCGATCAATCAAGGGTGTTGGTCGTCCATTGATGAGTAGCAAGTCAATCCACATCAATGAAACGACTTCGGTTCACTGATTCATGGATGTTCTAGTTAGAAGAACAGTGTCAAGCCCAACAAGGCTCCAAGCCCAACTGAGGGCAACTTTACTCTCCTTCTGCTCCGCACTCAACTTGACTTTTTCCGCGTCACGCCGCCTGCGTGACTCCAACTTCACTTCTCAATCCACCTTAAGCCTGAACAGCAGCTGCCTCCCACGCTCACGCCCTCCTCTACGTTACTCTTTAGGTAGTACAGAAAGCCAATTTACAGCCGGCTTGCATCGAAGTATCTCTCACTTGACAAAGACTGCCCCCGGAGCCGCGTTTCTTCGCGAAAATACCCCGCAGGAGTTGCCTCGACCTTTCAGAGAAAAATATTTTTCAGCGGTACCACCACAGGAGAACAGACAGATACGGCGATACACAAGGACACCAGTGGGGGCATCGCAAATCGCAAAGACCAGACCGCAGGCAGACACAGCTGTGAATCACACAGCCCCGCTCCAGTCACCAGTACCACCAAGGACTCATAAATCAGAGCCCGCCTCTCCTGCCGACATCTTTTCTTTGTGCTCGACCGCCGACCCAATGACGACCGATTCCACCTCATCTCCGCCGGCTCAACACAAGCCTCTTGTTGTCGGTCGAACGAAGCCCCGAACCACATCCACCAGCCGCACAACCATGGACTCCTCCAGTACGAGCGCCGCCACGCCCGATAAAGGCATTCCTACGGAAGTAAAGGAATCTCTCAACCACGAGATCTCCGAAAACCTGAAATCCAACACCGCATCCGCAGCACCGGCTGATGGGACACAGCAGCAGCCGCATGCGTCCAGCAGAAAGAAGGAAAAGGCGCCCAAACAGCCCAAACCTCCCAAAGCCGCGCCTCCAGCACCTGCGCCTCTCTCCCCAGCCCTGATCGACCTCCGCGTCGGGCACATCCTCCGCGCAATAGCACACCCGAACGCAGACAGCCTGTACGTGTCAACGATCGCCATGGGCGATCCCGAAGGGACAGAACACACACAGGTAGACCAGGAGACAGGAAAGGTAGTACGAACAGTCTGCTCCGGCCTCAATGGACTCGTGCCCCTAACAGAGATGCAAGACCGCAAGATCGTGGTCGTCGCGAACCTGAAACCGGTCAACATGCGCAGCATCAAATCCGCGGCAATGGTGCTCGCGGCGAGCCCGAAGCAAGAGGAAGGCGCCGACCCGCATGCGCCCGACCGCGTCGTCGAGCTCGTCAGCCCTCCTGAGGGATCTGAGGCCGGCGACAAAGTCTACTTCGAGGGCTGGGAGTATGGAGAGAGCAAGGGCCCCGAGAAGCAGTTAAATCCTAAGAAGAAGCAGTGGGAGGCCATCCAGCCTGGTTTCTTCACGGGAGACGATCTTACGGTGGGATTTGATGCGGGAGCCACGGAGGTTGAGGGCGACAGGAAAGGCGCGCTGATTGTCGAGGGCAAGGGGAAGTGTACCGTCAAGACTCTCAAGGGCGCTGTTGTGAGGTAAAGGAAGAGTATTCGAAGGAACTGACGGCTGGACGATGCAATTGGGACGAAGACCTTGGATTGGGGTAGGAGCAGGAGCAGACCTTTTTCACCGCCGGCATCCGGCATGTGGAGAGGTGGGAGGGTGGACATGAATTGATGATGGTCTCGAAGCAAAGCCAGAACGCTTCATACATGCCCCTGGGGGGTGGGGGTTCATTAGGCCGCTGGTTAGTGTGGAACAGTGCAAAGCTCAGGAAGCTCCTCCAGGTCTCCGCTCTGCGTCGCTTCACGTTCTACGCTCACGATTGTTCGTAAAATCAACACATGGTGCGGGAGCTGCCTAGCAAGCAAGCACATTTGCATTCCAAGGAGCTGCATCCGGAACCAAAAGAATTATATATCAAAGTAGATAACAGTGTCATTAAATTCCTTGCCCAGTGAATTCTCTTATCATGGTCAAGAGGAGTATGTTACTCCGTGTATAAGGTATATGTATATGCATAGTCGTGACTCCCGGATGGACGCCTATTATTAGTTATAGTTCAAGGCACCTTTGACAACAAGGGTGCGGATGCATGCCTGCCAATTGATTGATCCCAACAGATGTTCATAACTCTTTACATCACGGAATCGTTTTCCCAGACGAGGTAGATTGCCTTGATAATTGGGTACGACGAGAAACCAGATTGACGACTGTGCGAATCTCCAATATGGTCGTTCCCTCCAGAGTTACTTCATTTCAATACCACAATAAGAAGTACCAGGACCACAATAAGGACGATGATAGTCGTCATGCCCCAATTCTGCGAGGCGCGTTGACTGACGCCCTTGAGGCGTCGTTTGGCCCCGTCTAGACGACCTTGATGGCGATCAACTCCCCGGTCTACCTCGTCCAACAGGGCGATCTGACCCTCGAGTTCGTCTCCAACTTGCATCGCCAGGTGTCTCTGCCTACCAATGGACTCGCCCAGCCGGTCTAATTGCTCATCTTGCTCTTCCATCACTTGTTGGTGGTATGTATGGATCTGCTGGTTCGACAATGACTCCGTCGGATCGGGTGTCGCTGCTCGCGCGGACTCTTCGTCCGTATACCGTGAGGGAAATAAACTTGCTCGGTTCGCTTCATCCTGGGCGTCGAGAGATTCCTGGCTGGAATTATCTCGGAACCGGACGTTTTTAGCAGGGCTCTGTTGAGAGGCATCTTGTTTCCGGATGTTGGAGGCTTTCTGTCGTGAGGCTGCATCGCTAGGCTTTCTGGTCTTTGCTCTCTCGAAGTCGTCTTTCAAGGAGGCATCGTTGGGGGATGAGAGCGTCGTCTCTAAGGTAGAGGAGTGTTCGCCGTGAAATTGGCGCGAGAGATCATGGTATTGCGACCGAAGTTGATCGAGTGATTCGACATCGGAGGATCGGGTAGCGAGTGATTCTACACCCTCGCGGAACGACTCTAATGATCGGGAGATGCTGGAATCTTGGGAGGGGTTTGGGTCGAGGTTTAATGATATGGCACGTTGTCGCTCGAGTAAAGAGAGTTTGATATGGTCGGCAAGGAGGAGTAGTTGCGAAGGGTTGGACATGGTGAGAGGGGAAGGACGCGGAAGAAGGTTGCCTGGGTTCAAAAGGGAAAGAGCGATGCCGGCTGAACGGTGAGAGGTTGTAGACCAATTGTGAGCAGAGGACTCTCTCGCAGTTGCTGGAGGCTCAGCTGTTGACGCGGTGATGTGTACAAAGTGTCTCAGACGTGGTCGAATGGCATGGTGAGACAGACGAAAGGCTGGAACGGGGAGGCGGAGATACGAGTAAGTCCCATGCGGCTCGATATGTGAGGTTTGCCGAGTTACCGCCAAGCCACTAGCATCCGGTAGTTTGTTACCAGGGTCCAAATTGGGGAAGGAGCGCCTGGGATTCCGATGACGAGCCACCACTTCCCCCACACGTGTCAACAGTACAGCACTAGTGAGTGATATGCCCACCAAACTCCATCCACCTAACTCAGTCAGAGTAGTTGGCAACCCTGAGATGTTATAAAACCCTCTTCACCCCTCGTGTCGACTTCTTCCTCCCTGCCCACAACGAACATGCATCTTCTTATGATATCAATAAAACAGTAACATCATGGATGACGGGTTCTTTACATCAGGACCCTTGCCGGACGACGATTACCAGGCCGGTCCAACTATCCCGCCACACATCCAGACTCTTTTCGCCGAGTTCGCCAGAACTCGACCCAGAGCCTCATCACCTCGTCCAACGGTAGCCTCAGCCACTCGCCGGTCTCGTACTCCTCCTTCCGAGAAACCTACATCATCAAAGCTCGACCTGCGCGCCCTCGATTATGTCTCAGACTACGACTCCCATCTGATGTGCCCAATATGTCATGTCCCATTCCTCGATCCTGTTGTCCTCGAGTGCGATCATACATTCTGTCAGGCATGCTTAACTGAGTATCGAGATGGACTTTCCAGCCCGACTAGGTCACAATGTCCCACATGTCGTACTCTTCTGCTGTCTCCTCCTCGCAAGGCTTCTAGGCTGATTGTCAACATGTGCAATGACATTGCAGTTCGGTGTCCGAACCAAGATTGTCAAGACCTTGTTCCCAGAGGTTGTATCGAGTCTCATGCGACCAAAGAATGTCCTCATGAGCAATTGCCCTGTCCAGGTGTGGAATGTGGAAAGACCGTTAAGAGGAAGAATTTTGTGCCTGACCAATGCATTCATACCTCCCATATTGAATGCGACTGCGGAGTCATCATCGAGCTTGGCAGAGGAGAATGGCTCAGGCACAAAGACGAGGAGTGTCCAAACACCGGCGTTAAATGTCAAAAGTGTGACCATCGCATATCTGCCAAGAATTATGTGAATGGTGCCACTGGCCACATATGTAACGAGGACGAATCAACTCTCTGTCCAGGAAGACCATTTGGATGTACCGATCAGTTTGAACGCGAGGACCTAAATACGCATACACAGTCATGCTTCCTCGCACGCCTAGCGCCATTTCTCAACAGACAATCTCAACACTTGCAATCTCTTCAAGAGCAATTGGCAATGGCCAAAGTCCGCAACGAAGTCCTCGAAAATGGCTTCGACAAGATCAATGACATTGTCAATGATCGAATCTTGCCTTACATCCATTCGGACCAATCTCCACCCGGCGAAGCATCCGACATCGAGGAAATCGAGCGTGATCATATTCCCTCCGCCATCTCTCACCGTGACCTGCTCATGCCAGCTCATCTTCGTGCCCTGACCCCATCTCCGGATCCGGAAGCCACTTCTATCTCACAAACACAGCAACACTTGCTCGCTTTGCATGAGTCGCTTCGTGGGAACGTTACTACCCTGGAGCACGATATATCTGCCATATCCAATGCCATTTCCGACCTTGATGCTCGTACATCGATGCAGCTGATGAATGAGACGTTAAGAATCAAGGAGGACCTCGCGCATACAAATGCGGCTCTTTTCAGTACAAGGGCACAAGTTCAGTGGCTTTTGAATAGAGAGAGAGTCGGTCAACAACAGCAAGCCATGAACATGCGTGGTCGAGCACCATCTGCTCAGCCCCAAGGCCAAAATGTCTCTCAGTCAACCAGAAGCTCCATATCTGAAGGAAATGATCCATCTGCTCAGCCTTCCGGTTCTGAATCCCATCCGTCTGCTTCAAGTCTCGGTCAAAGCCCGGTTTTCCGGCCCCAGAATAGGAGGCTAAGCGGTGGTAGTCAGGAGAGAGTGAAACTATAACACCTCTCTAAGCAATCGGATATTAGGAAAACAATAATTACCTATCTATATACTATATATGTTAAGGACTTCGTACCTGACCCTGTCCAGTTGGATTCAACGTGCATGTCATCACAAGCACCCGATCATTCTGTTGATCACCCATCTTTTCCTCCCTTCTTCAATTGATGCAGCCGGTATGATTCAACCCGCTATCACGCATCAGTACCAATTTGGTAGATGCCTAACAACATTGCGAATGTTAATTAGATCATTCCTGGAGAGCTCGACGTGCAGGCAACAATCTCGTGGCAAAGAGCACCGAATATTGAATTGCCTCGCGAGAAGTCGTGACCACTTCTCTCGGCAACTGAGAATGAATTATACGACTGATACTAGTAACTCCTAACGTGAAGTAGCACAACGGGAAGTCGTAAACCCCGAGAGATGGAGTGTGGTACGGCCACTGTGATTCGTTTCGCTGTGGTTGGCTGATCAAGACCATACCTCGAATCTAAAATGTCCACTTCTTTGTCCACTTGACCACCTTTTAGATCCACTCCGGATAACAATCTCATCGGTTGAGCTTACAGCGAATGCGTACGCCATTCAAATCAACATACCCGAATATCCATAATGGAGAGTGATATAGCTCTTCTACGGGACATGCTCCAGTTGTGGAAACCACTACTCAACAGCTCCAGCGTTTGCTCAATTTCCGAGACACTTCCACGTCGAAGCGGAGTCAACACTGTTTAGACGAGCCTGGCTTTCACAGGGCACAAATATTGATCCCTTCTTTACGAGTACTACTACTAGTTAGTAGTGCAGCGCTTTGATCGAAGCTGAAAATCCCTTTACAATGACCGATATTACTGAAAGCAAGATGGCCGCCAAGCACATCGAAGCAATTGGCGACTATGATGAGGAACGACATCTCAGCGTTCTAGAACCGCAAAGCTACATCGCAGAGCATTATTGACATGTAAGGATGAGATGCCATTCCATAAGGAACTAGTCTAACGACTTTGGTTCACAGGTAGCGTCGCATTTACTGCTGGTCTCGTCTTTGGGTTCGACACGATCGTCAACGGCGCCTCCATATCAACGCCATCATTCCTTCTATACTTCGGCAGTATTGGACCTAGTGGACCATATCTTCCATCCATCTGGACCTCATTGTGGACGGCTATGTATGGCTTATGCCAAGCGATAGGTGCAATCATCATCGGCCTCGTCGCTGATAGATTGGGTCGAAAGTGGCCTGCGTGCGCGGCTGCTTCTCTCACTCTTATTGGTACCGCCATCCAATACATTGCTCATGCCCGAGGCACCTTAATGGCAGGGAAGATGATTGCCGGCCTTGGTGTTGGAGCAATCCTGACAGTAGCTACCACCTATGCTTCGGAGGTGAGTAACACTCTCATCGTGGCACGCAAATTACATTAGACCAGGGCTGATCTTGAACATTGCTAGGTGGTACCTCTCAAGTTACGTGGACCAATTCAGACCACACTTGTCTTATTCACTGTCCTCATGCAAGGCCTTGCATTGGGTGTGGTGCGAATCTTCGTCCCAAATGTTCACGAGCAGGCATTTAGAAACTTTTTTGCTACACAGTGGGCCGTGGGCGGGGTTGCTCTTATTTGCTTTGCGCTCATCCCAGAGTCAGTACATCCTTCATCTGACCCCAATATTGAGACGACCCACTTACATACCATCACAGATCTCCAGTGTTTCTCATCACAAGTGGCAAGATTTCTGCAGCTCGAAAGGCAAGGGGCCGAATCTACGGGGAGAAGAAACAGTCAGAGGAAAGACTGGCTTTGCTAGTCAGAACGCTTCGCGAAGAAAAGGCCAGCAAAGAGCTTACAGGCGGTGCTTCCTACCTTGAATGCTTCAAAGGAACGAACCTGAAGAGAACGGGCTCCGTCGCGTTCTTGTACACCACAGCAAATGTCGGAGGTGCGGGCTTTCTAGCACAGAACATTTACTTCCTCATCATTGCTGGGCTAGAGCCGATCCATGCCTTCGACATCGGCATCGGAGGTTTCGGACTGGCCATCCTTATCATCATCGCCAGTGGTGCATACCTGAAGAAGATCAGTCCTCGGGTGACCGTCATCACTGGATGTGTCACAAATTTCGTGTTCATGATCGTCATTGGCACGCTGTACTATTCTTCAAGTCATGGAGCCTTGTGGGCAATTGCCGTACTTATGTGAGTTTCTCAAGGCAGAGGAGCATCATGTCGTTCTATCCCGAAGTTGTTCGCGCTGACAAATTTACGCGCAGGAATCTGCTAATATCGTTCCAAACGAGTACACTCCAAGCAGTTGGATGGCCCATCGCAGCAGAAATCCCCAGCTATCGATTGCGCGCAAAGACATTGTCAATTGGCATATTCGCGCAGACGCTGAGCACATGGTTCTTCACTTTCGTCACGCCGTACATGTACAACGTGGACTCGGGGAACCTAGGTGCACGCACAGGTTTCGTCTACGCACGGACAAGCGTCTTCCTCATCGTCATCGCATACCTCTACTGTCCCAACACTGCAGGCTTGTCGACCGAGGAGATTGATCATCTATATGAACAAAAGATCTCTCCGAGACTGTTTCAAGCGCAATCTGGGCAGCGTGACGAGGGAGGGCATCAGTGATAAGGCTCTGGTTCCAGTTTAAGGAACCAACCCGCTTGCTGGTTCATGACATTTTCGCGCGTTGATGCAGTAATAGTGCCAAATTCAAGCAGGCACCCCATGGTCGCAGTCGGCTCAATGCCTCGGCACCACTGCGAAGGACGATTGTTGGCCGCGAGGCCCGTTCAGAGCTCGATGCTTGGTCTCCAGCATGTGCAGATCTAGTCCCGTTGCCGGCTTGCAGGTTCTCATCCCCAACCGACAGTGCATACTGCAACACACTTGAGATCTTGATCTGGGCAGTATCAGCCGTCGACGAAATGGCAGCGAGGATATGAGCCCTAAGCTTCGCATTCACTGTCATCGCAACTGTCCATATATAAACATAGCTCAAAAGCAAACCAATGAATACTTCCGGATGGAAATCACTTTCCCTTTCCCGCCCTGTACGGGTTGCTGTCATCGTTGTTCCTGTGACACACTTACAACTAACAATATCAAGCTCAACCAGCTTCTTACAATGCAGCACCGTCACGGACGTCTGAACCACATCGCTCTCATCAATCCTAGACAGTCTTTCCAACGCGAGGGCCATTTCCGTACTTCCTGATTTCCCGAGGGAGTCCTGTAGGTCGACGATCTGCACATTCAGGCTCAACACAGCGAGGGCAAAGTGGCCCGTAGCTGCGTTGTAGAGGCATTTGGATGTTGCGTAAACACTAGTGTCGGGAGGCGGATTGGTGAGGCATGTGTACGACCAACTGTGTAGCATTGCTTCAAGCTGTGTCTTTCGGCTGGATAATGCTTGTGATGTACTGCTCGCGCTGGACCTGTGCGTGCCGGGGGTGTCAAGTGGGAGTTGCCTGCTGGGAGGTGTTGCTCCTGCTCCTGCGCCTGCGGCTCCGTCTTCATCCTCCTCACAGTCGCTGTCCGTCAAATCGGCAGCTGTGGCCACGGCCATGTCTTCGGAGAGCGTGTAGATGAAAAGCTCCAGAGCCTGCAACACCAGTAGGCGGCTCCAAGCGTTGAGGCCGGTCAAGGCCCTCTCGGCGGCATTCCTCGAGTTTTCGTATCACTCTGCGTTGATCTCTGTGGACAGAATTCTAAGAAACGGAGCCAATGCGCTCGAAAAGGCTCGAGACGCGGGGAATGGTGCGAGCCCAAGAAGCCCCTTCCGTCGTCGGGCACTCGACGCATGCCAGAACTCCTCGTCGCAGGGGCATTCGAGCTTGCAGATCTCAGAGATCGACAAGGTTGGAGGTATGTGCAGGAGGCTCGCGATTTCACAATCGATCCCGTACACGACCCAGCAAAGCCGCTTTTTGGCCTCCCTGTCGATCCACTTGCTCCATTGAACTCCAATGTCGTCAGTACCTGCAGAAGACGGGCCAGGCGGGGAATCGCGATGCTGGTGGCTCGGGCTTGTGCTGGCGAAATGGCTTCGCCGGCAGAAATTGACGGCTGCCGCCCTTGACAGTTCTGCAAGTTCGAATGCACGTTTGTTCCCGCACCACAGGCCCACGAAGCAGATGAGGGCAATGGCGTAGATGTACATGGCGTCTCTCATGAGGCTGTTGTCCTGCTCCATGGTCACTTGAGCGGCTATCCGAGTCATGTCTAGCAGCACGATGGCAAAGCGTGTGCTATGTTGCTGGCGGCTGTATATTGCTCCAATCACGATCATCACTGCTATCAATGCATCAGGAAGATTATCTGTCCGCTGTAGAGACACGTGATGTATCACTGGCATACGATGCTCGAAGTGGGCGAAGAACAGACCAATCAGGATATTGGCGGTTTTCAGTGTCGGCATCTCCACCGAAAATGTTCCTATTCTGTGGGTTCCAGGTAATTGCCAAAACCGTTTGGCTTGATCATATTTGGATTCGGTTATATCAAAGCGAGGTCGATGTTCCAGTTGCAACGGATCATCGTCTGAGATCTCAATAGCCCTTGCAGCAAGAATACGACGAGACCGGGGATCCCAAGTGAACGGCCACCTGTCTTCCTCCGAGGCTTCATTTGGTGGCGATGGAATGCGGCTTACAGGAACAGGGGAATCCATGCGGGCTGCAGACCTAGTGTCTCCAATATATCCGGTGGTAGGCAACGAACTGAATTCGGGCATCAACATGTCTAGCCCTGTAAAAATATCGAGACTGCTTGTGTTTCCATTCGGTGGCCAAAAGGTGTCGGTCTCGTGCAGCGCTTCGTAGAAATTTTGATCAAACCAGTCTTGAAGTAAGTGGTCCTGGTCCCCAAGGAAATTAAAATCCATTTCAATATTTTCAACAGCCATGGGATGAGGGGCCATGGTGCTGCTTTCCAGAGAGTTAGGCATCGAACTATGTACGTTCATTGTTTGCGTGCGTAGACTGGCTCCCGTTAATCCGAGATCGAGCCTACCAGATGTTTCGATGGACGACTGAACTGGTGGCGTAACAATCGAGTTATCGGCATCATCTCCAAGGCCGTCCAGACTACTATCATGAAGCAAGCCCAGCGTTGTGTTGCGAGTGCTTAGTCTTCTGGATCCAGATCCAGTCTTAGATGCGGCTCGTGAATCGCGAGGTCCGCAATGAGTTTTCTCATGTCGACTCAATAAATCACTTCGTGTGAAGCCTTTGCCACACACACTACATGTATGCCGCTTCCGTGATGTGTCTCATCGAAGTGTCAGGCGTGGTGCAATTGCGCTGCCAGAAAGGAGGCAGTAGACTTCCGGGTGTGAAGATGACGCGAGAGACTTTCGGGGCGTGCATAAACTTTCGAGCATGTTGGGCACTGAAGCCTGTTTGAAGTGGGGTTGGGCTTAATAAGTGAAGTACGCAGAACGAGCAACTTTGAATCAACAGATCAACATCATCGAGATTGAAACGCTCGCATTCTACAGAGTGGTGAGAGCTTAGGAAAGGGAGGATGGATGGAGGTGGTCAAGAAGTGGTCGAAAGTGGTCAGAGGTTCTTGGCAGCCCTCTCGGCCCGAGCGACCGGCTTTTATGCGGCCGCAGGTAAAAGCGTAGGTCTTGATGCCAAATCAAGGTATCTACCTAGCCGTTGACTGTCATCATTTCTACAGCCTGATGGGAAGAAGTCTCGGGTCTCCCAGGATCACCTTCTTTTTGGCCGCGGTCTGGCCAATGTGCAGTTTTGCAGACAATGGTGGGAATCCCCTTTTTAAGATGGACTATTTCGGGTCCTCTTTGACCCATAATTTCCACTTGTATGTCAAAAGCCGATAGGATCTGCAACCCAACGGAGCTGTCCCAAGAAAATGATACTTTGCCATTCTTCGTCACAAAGGACCCCTTTGAATGTTGAGGGAGTAACGAAAAGGCAGGTTCAATCTTCAGGGACCCATAGCCTGCAGAAGCAGGGGAGAGCCCAAAGATCCTGGACACGATCTCATTGATAGGGACGGCACTCCAGCCATGACAATCACTCCGGAACATCACGTCATCTTCAGCCCATGTGGTCAAGTTTTGACTCATCATCTTCCTCCATGGTACAACCAGGTATGGAAAGAGCTCCTGATAAACACCGGCTTGAGCGGCGGCTTTCAGGAGGTAGAATGACTGTGCGTATGAACACTTCGGTAGGCGACTATCGAGAATCGTTCGCCTCATCAAAGCAGCAGCAGCTCCTCCTTGGATGGCGCCTGAGAGAACAGCAAAGACTTGGGGATGCTGAGATCTATCTTTGGAACCTGGCCCGTCCATGTATCAGTCTCCGTCAAAGCAGTGGGCGTTGACGGCCTCGTTGAGCGACCTGGATCTTCTCCGATACTCGGTTGCGGTGTCTGCGCGGTGGACGAAGTCACAAAGGTCAGCAGCCTGCTGGAGTACAAATGCATAAATCAAGCTGTTGTACGTTGCAGCTCCATTCCAGTGAGTTCGAGGTATACCCATGCTTTGTAATCCTGTAGAGCCATGCCACTCTGCCACCCAATCAACAAAAGGCCACATTTCTTCATCGAATTGACTGACAAGAGAGATCTCGTTCAGCAGGCTGTCGAAATGATCGAGAATGCCATCGACAGTTCCAATGTACTGTTTGACTAACTTTCCATCCCCGAAGTATATCATGTGGTCATGAATCATCAAGATCTAGAACAGAGAAAACTGTGGGATGTTAACGCATCTCCCAGGGCTGGGGAATTGAGCTTCCACTGTTGAAGAGGAGTCAAATTCGAGGTGCAGAAATCCAGTGGTAAGTTTGGTGGCTTCCAGTTCCACTATCACTCTCTGTTCAGCTGGTATCACGACAGGTTCCCCGGTCGCAAAATTATCCCAGGTTGACTTATCAATGCACCCCTCCGAAAACACTGCACAGTTCATGTTCATTGGTATTTCAGGAAGCACTGGAATAGGATGTTCAGTCAATCTCCAGGACTCAAGAACCGGTAACATCATTGACTTGACAGACGCGATTTGAGTAGATCACCAGTTTCCCAAGATTTTTGGAGCAAAGACTCTCTCATTCACGGCAAGAAATGGTGGACCAAGTGCATAATTCCACTCCGAACGCGGTATCATTTGCACGGAAGTATCCATCTGAGCTTCCCAGCCTGCCAGGCCGGTGTGCAAGTCTTGATCCTAGCGAACATTAATACCAGAAGCGCCTTGTCATTGAGTCATTCTTACCATGATTGAGCAGTCGACTATCAAGCCGGGAAACGCTCCTCTTGAGAGGGAAAAGCTCCCGGCATGGGAGCTTGAAAACCGAAGCACTCGAGCAGTGATTGTGTTTACGCCTCCCCGAAGATGATCCTTTATATCGATCGTTTCGTAGTACCAGCGACTAGTATAGCTCTTGCATGGCCCAAAGCTCACACTGGAGCCATTGATGAATAGTCGCTATCGGGTATCACCCGATATCTTCAGAATGACTGGATCAATTGGTTGGCTAGAAAGATGGATAGTCCTGCGAAAGAGGACAATCCTTCCCTCTGGGGAGGTATCATCGTAGCCTGGGATCCACATCCATTTGGCCTTACTGCTGAAGCCAGAGCCTGTCATTCTTTGTGTTATGTTCCAACACTGCAAGCCGTGTGATCGAGGGAGTAGCAGATCGATTCGTGTCGAGATGGTGAGATGGCTGCTTTTGCGTGGGCGAGATTCCATACATGAACCTGAAATTCCCCACTGCGAGACTCATGAGCTGTGTGTGGCATAATCTACCCACAGGAGCGGCTTTTGCTACATTTTCGCATTTCCACCTACTCTGTCTGATACATCACCAAATCTGGGTGCTTTGGTGGTTGCAAAGTGCCCGGGGGTGGCTATGTCCACTTGTCCACTTATCCAACACTAAATTCTTGATCACCCGTCCCCTCCCCTGGAGGCTTCACGGCGCATTCCATAACCGAAACAGTTCGAAATTCGAAAGCCGCTGTTTCTTGCTCGGAAGGAAGTTGTCTTCTTCACCGATTCATGCTTCGAGATACACCGAGCGGAAGGTATACCTTCAAGTCGCTTGTTTTGGGGATTTTCATGCAATCTATATGCCGGCAATGCATCTAGGGGCTGACATCATGACCTGTGTTGCTGTGTTCACCTCGATCAGATATTGTCAATGTTCGGAACCTGAATATACACCTAGATGCACCAGATTATGTTGAAAACGCGAGAAAAAATTTCCTTTGATGCGTTGGTAGATACTAAGGACGGATTATTGTTTGTCAGTGGAAATCGTTCCTGATTTGACGTAAATTTCTCTGCTCAGCTGTCTATATCCTGCTGAAATGTGGTATTACTTTGGGCAACTGTTGACCCGATAAAATATTCTTACACTCGCGTGTCTATCTAAAACATCCAGAACGCAGCTCCTGCCAGGACCGAAAGCCCCAGAAGCGCCTTCTGGTTTTCACTGCGCGCGTCGAGCATACCAGCAGCGTTGCCTGTAGAGGACGCGCCAGTTGCCGAAGTGGAAGACCCTGAGGTAGTAGAAGATTCTTGTGTTTGCGTAGCTGTTGAGTCTGTACCACCGGTGGTGGCGGACCCAGCATCAGTGCTGGTGGATTCAGAGCCGCTTGTTGTTGCAGAAGCACTACCAGAGCTGGTGCTGCCACTCGAACCGCCCTCGTTGTTCTCCACCTGGAACCACACCCCAGAAATGGGCGCACCGAGCCCTGCTGCCTCAGCGAATCCTGCCATGTCGAAGCCGATTCTTGCGTTTACATCAGCGGGTGGGTCGATAGAAGCAAATTGACTGGGTACAGTGAAGCCTTCCGGTTGAATGTACAGCAAAAGATTGTATCGGTGAGGACCATCGCCGGCCGGCGGTGTTGGTGGGATATAAGTCGCACCGACTGCCGTCGTCGCATTCTCGGCTTCAGCGTCGAAGGAGAGGACCTCTGACGAGCCAAAGAGGTTGGGTTGGAAATAGTGTAGCAGTTGAACTCTTGGCTCGCCTGGTGTTGCCTCAACGTCCTGATCCACCATAAACAAGATGTATGTCGATTGTTTAGTGGCCCCAGCTTGTCCTAGGGCAACGGGCGTCTCTAGGATGTCTGCTCTGAGGTTAATGAGGGTTTCCAATATCAATCTTACTATATGACCTTACCATCTCGGTTTAGGGTGACACCGGCAGGTTCAACACTTATCGAAGTGTTTTGGTAGTCTACCACCAATAGAGTGTCGACTTGCACAGGAAAGTCGGGAGCTGTTTGGGCGTTGACAACAGCCGCCAGGGCAGGTACTAGGAAAGTGGATGAATACTTCATGCTGGGTAAATTGTGAGGCTGCGCAGCAGTGTATAGAAGTGAATGAGAAAAAGGGAAAAGAACTCGAGGTGTACAGACAGAAGAAGATCACAGACCTGGTCTAGATTTTCAGATTTCAGCGCAGTCAACGTTATATAAAAGTTTTGAGCTTGAAAGCCAAGTATTCGTAACCCTTGAGGGGCGAGAATAAGTTGGGTGGGTTCAACCTGAGGAGCTCGTAAACGTAAGCGCACAAACAAGATTGGGTATGTAGGTGACCATCAATATGGGCCAAGGCCGGAGAGTCGCTCCCCTACAGCGGGAGGGAAACAGTTGTGGTTTGCTATTTCATTCCGCAGTGTCTCAGGCAGGGAAATGAGGTTAGTATGGCTGTTGACAAGGCTATGTCAGGGGCGTGTAACTGTTTCTGCCAAGACTTGGCCCACATGGGGGATTTTATCAAAAGATCTTCGCGTTCGCTTTCATTCCATGGTGTGCACACGAGAGCCACTCTTCATAGTTATGGAAGACTGTTATTGGAAGGCTCTCTTACTGGAAGTTGTTGGGTGAACTCCTTTTACGGTGCTGAAAGGTTCTGCGATCAGGGCTAGAAGGGTCGGTTTGACAGGCCGTAGCGAGATTCTAAAACGAGATGGCGTTTCAGATCTGGATCAAGAGACAACTAGAATGCTTCAGCCTCATAAGTTGAAACTCAAGGCTATGAGACGATCAAAACTTTGTCTGCCTCTCAGGAAGATATAGGAAGTACTCATGGTGATGCCCCGTACAGGATCTACTCAGTAAGCAGGTGCATGATAAGGTCTACTTCAGAGGATTTCGCGGCTCTATGGTGTCATCTTTTGCGATCTAAAGCTCGGATTCAATGTAATACTGACTAGATCTTCATGCTAGCCCCAGTCTCAAGGAAATGTCGCAATGTCTTGTATAGAGGACAGAATGGATTAGCACAGGTTGAAATACCTCGTACTGATGATGAAGACTCGGAGGGATGTTGGATGTTTCTGGCAACATTGGCACCAAGCCGAAAATGTTAGCAATGACAGAATATCTCTAATAGACTTACCGTAATAGGTACAAAGCAGATCGTCTCTAAAACGCAACTCTATTTAAACTCTTCGATCCGGTCATGCCCGCCCATAGCCGTTAAGGTGAGAATGATGAACCACCGAGGCTATTTCCTCATATGATCAAACGGTTACGAGATACGGGGTACGAGAGTACATTGAGCTAGAGACATTTCGACCTTCACGCCAACCAACATGGCCAAGTATTAATTAACTCTCGTTGGACCTGCATGGAAATCAAGGCAATACTCTCAGTCAGCGCAGCTTGAGTCGAACTACAATTTCAGGCCAGCAGAATCCTTAGACAGCCTTGACACATTGCGAGCGATGAAGGAAGAATCGATAGAGTTCGATCCCTCCACAACCGACAAGCGAGACTTCTATGCCAATTTTCTATCCCAATATAAGCCTCCCATAGAAGCATCTCGTCACTTTGCTTCTATCCCGTGGACAAACGAGTGGTTGACCAGTCCGGCATACGACGTTATCCCATTCTGGTCGAGGCATGCAAAATCCAGTGGGGAAGATTACTTCTTCGCCAATACGATCAATACGACCAAGACAGTTCCACATATGGTCACCCTTCAGCTGAAGGATTTCATCACTCCAGAACCAAGTGACGGAGCATCCGCTACTGGTGCTCCTCGACCAAGCGTCGCCACGGATAGTACTACTGTCACCCGTCGAGCGCCAGAAATAGTCTTTCTCCTCCAACTGGGCGAAAGAGGCATTGACGGCCATCCAGGTGTTATTCACGAGGGCATTACATGCGCACTTCTCGACGAGACCATGAGCGTATTGGTTTCACAACACTTAAGCAACGCTGCCCCTAGACCCAAGGGTCAGATTTTCACGGCTAACCTAAGTACAAATTTTCGTGCGCCGGTAGAAACTCCAGCGACCGTGATTATCAAGTGCTGGCTCATCAGAAGGGACACAAGGAAGTGGTTGACCAAGGGCCAGATTGAGGATTCGAATGGTCGAGTCCTCGCTGAGGCCAACGCCATATGGGTGGTTACGCAGAAGAGCAAGATGTGAGGTTGAGTAGAGTAGGTTGGTTGGCTGGTGAGATTTTAGATTACATGTCAAAACCGAGCATTGGAGGTCGGCCATCATGGCCGGACTAGAAATTATTGCTCTATAGATAGTGACAGACTGGGAGAACTTCTGGAGTAATTCATTTCTGCGACGCGCGGGTATTGACATACACACCCTCCGAGTCTGAGGCATTTATGCTCTCAAGTTGACGGTTCTGGGAAGATTCTTCCAATATCCTGGACTTCCCGTACGAATCCTCGTCACTCAGATGCAGCTTCGAGCTTCTTGAACTTCTCCGAAATTTCTGGAAATACCTTGAGTGCATTATTCCTAACAACATTCTCCATAGCGGTGTCGTCAAAGAGACCAAACTTCTTCGGTTCATCATATCCGGCCTGAAAACACCCAGTAGAATCCTTGCGCGTGGTGTATGGAAAGTCTGTGGCGTAAGGCAGATGCTCGGTAGGAGTTCCTAAGTCCTTGATCAGTGGGTACTGCATAGCACTTATATGCTGGTATCGAGATAGAGATTTCTCGTCGAGGCAATATCTCGAAGCCTCAGGCCATCGTTGTTCTTTGCTATCATTTCATCGATGTGCTGTGCACCGATGCGATCGGCGAGAAAGGGCAAAGCTCCACCGTTGTGGGAGAAGAGGAACTTGATGTCTGGAAATCGCAAGAGAATGACCTGCATGAATAACGTCCGTGATTGCGCGGCAGATGTCGAAAGGATACTCTTGAAAGACTAAATAGTTTGGTCTGTAACTCTGTGCGAGCATACTTTGCCCCTCTCGACGAGAAGAAACTTACAGTGACCATATATGAGGTTGGAGGCGGGGGGGGGGCGCACTATCTGGAGGATGGACAAACACAACTGATCTCAGTTTACTCAGTCCCACCCATACCGGCTCGAAGAGAGTATCACCAAGGTATCACTTTCCCAGATTGTATTGAGGTCAGATTTCAGAAGCAGCACAATCAAAAATTCAGAATACCACGTGCAAGCATTCCAGGCAGCATACCAACCAATTTGCGTGGTGATGCCCCACCCGTCTGGCCGAATAGGTCGCTGTGATACTTTTCGGATAAAATTGATAGTGGACTGGACATGTGGTAGTGGCAGAAGCGCAAAGCATCCTGAGGCTGATTAGCTGGATGATCCAAAATGCTCTTAAAACAACCTTCACACACCAAAGCTCACTCGGTTAAAAGAGACATACTCCAGCTGTGCCTGGAGAGAATCTTCACATAATTTCACGAACCTCTCTTCTGAGAACCCTTGATGCCATTCGTTCTTGATTGATGGTGTCTACATCGATTGTGAGATCAATATCCTTTCAGACACTCGTCGAAGGTCTCTAACTAACAACGACAGCCGTTTGTATATCGACTTCATCCATGTACTTTAAATGGTCCTCTGAGGTCTTTGGGAAGGAGCTCGTGAAGCCAACACCAAAAGTCGCCCTGCCCTTCGCAAACTCTGGAGCAAGATCGGGAACTTCATCAGGAAAACAGTGCTGGTGCACATCAATTCGACCAAGGCCCGTGAATGCGGAAGAGCGGCGTGCTCGAGTTGAGTTGTAGTTGCAGCCATCCTGGTGGTGGATGATTAAGGTCACAGGTGTTATAGGCACTGGGACTTATTGTACTCCTCGCTTCCATCTGGGCAGGCGTCAGACTTATACAGCGGCATCCTCATCTGTTGTGCCAACACGGATTGTGTCAAGCGGCTCCGCTCAGTAGTCCCGTTGACCTATCCAGACTGCCCACCGCAATTAGTCATTCACATGGACGTCTAAATGCCGCCATAGTTGTGTCCACATAGCAGGCGGGAACTTTCAACCAACTGCTAGTTTTAATGCATTCCGGGTGTTGACTATACCAGCCACTTTGGACAGACAGAGCTCCGGCCCACCTCGGTCTGTCCAATGGAAGTGGTGCAATGAGATTGTCACAAATAGGTTGAACAATGACATAGGTAATGCTCGGAGCTCCGCAGCTTTAATTGTAGGGTCAACGAAGACTGAGGTTCAACCACATGCAATGTGCTTCGATAGCGCGGAATTATGCCAGCAATGTCGTAGGGCGCTAATGCTCCGCGGTGTTCAACGGCGTGCGGCACGAGGAACAAATGGTCTAGATATGTCCGGCCTATTGCAGTACTGATGAAGGGCTACAGCTGAGAATACTTGCCGACACTCTTTTTTGTTGCTAGTGTTTCGAAATTCCCGTCAGATGATTCAGAACTTGGTGTTCTTGCACAGTAGCGTACAGATTTAACAAGCCTGACTGAGAGCGACGAAGCCGTGCGTTGGGAAATAATGGACAACGTCAACGTCAACGTCAGCGATCTTCCGTAAGTCTCATCTTCTTCTATCTACAGGTTAGGGAGGGGGAATGCTTGCCCTCTGGAGAGCGGTTATATCCCTTCGATATGAGTGAATACTAATGGCGTTAGTATCACTAGCGGGAATGCTGATGATTTACGAACAAGATTCATACGAGCCTTATCTGACATGTACCGGGCTGAGGTACCTGCATACGGAGCCCTGGTGCAGATTGTGAAGCAAGTCGATAGCGATGTGCTCACCGGGGAAGGCAAGAGCTCCAACGCCCTGCCACTTCGGCATCAACTCGAGAGACACGGCGCGATAAGACTCGGCACAGATCAGGAATTGAGGGACGTCACAAGACTGTTCGCGGTGATGGGGATGTATCCCGTGGGCTACTACGATCTGCGCGTCGCTGGAATCCCGCTGCATGCTACCGCATTTCGGCCTGTAAGGGAAGACTCGTTGGTTCGAAATCCTTTCAGAGTGTTTACTTCAGTCCTGCGGAAAAGCTCGGTACCGGAAGAGACCAGGAAGCTTGCTGAGGCTGCACTGGTGAAGCGGAGTCTTTTCAGTGAGAGATTATTAGAACTCGTTACCGTTGCAGAACGCGGAGAGCCTATGACTGGTCGGAGCGCCGAGGATCTTATAGCTGAAGCTTTGAAAATCTTCAAATGGCATTCTCGATCCACTGTGGCGCTCAATGACTATCTTCGACTCAAAAAGGAACACCCGATGATTGCAGATATCGTGTGCTTCCCCAGCGCCCATATCAACCACCTAACCCCGCGAACTCTGGATATTGAGCTTGTTCAGAAAAGAATGGTTGAGCAGGGTCTACCAGCAAAAGAAAGGATCGAGGGCCCCCCTGTCCGTAATTGTCCCATTCTACTCCGCCAGACGAGCTTCCAAGCGCTGGAAGAGCAAGTCCAATTTTTAGGCATCGACGGTGCATTCCTCCAGGGCACGCATACTGCTAGGTTTGGTGAGGTCGAGCAGCGTGGCGCAGCTCTTACCCGGAGGGGTCGAGCGTTGTACGATCAACTACTACAACAGGCTATCCTTGAAAACGAAACCGACCCGGTCCGCACAGGAAAAGGCTTTGATCTCATTCTCAAAGAGGCATTCTCGAAATTTCCTGACTCTTGGGAGGAGCTGCGGTCTGAGGGATTGGTGTATTTCCGCTATCAGGTAACCCCAAAAGGCATAAGTATGGAGTCCCTGTTGGATCCGACAGCCCACAAACGTCAAGCTAGAATCACGCAACTGCTCTCGCGGGGATCTATAGAATGCGCTCCCATTACCTATGAAGACTTCTTGCCTCTATCCGCTGCGGGCATATTCAAGTCAAACCTTGGAGATGAGCCGGTAAGGCTGTTGACAGAGCTCAATGAGAACGGCTTGAGAGAGCTCGAAGGAGCCTTGGGTCGCAGGATCTTGGACCCATTTGAGCTCTACGAGGAGCTAGAGCAGGATAGTATAAGGGAATGCCGGGAGATGTTGTGTCTAGACGATATTCTACTGTACTAAATTTTGATCCACACTCGTCAGTGGGAAGGAATATTGAAGGAAAACTGTGCCACATCACGTGATAAGGCTGTATCCCCTGATAATTTGAAACGCCATGTCAACCTATGTTACCAGTCGGGCAGGCAGCCAGATAAAACCCCACATCCAGGAAGAACATAGTCCTAATTGCCTGAGCCCATGCAAATGCGAACATCTGCATCAGACCGGATGCCCGTGAGTAGACCCGAACCAAGCGCGGAGTTATGGCGGACGTGGAAGAGGAGCCCTGTGGCCCAGTCCCCTACCCCCAGGCATCCTTCAAACAGCAAACCCCGATCTCCCCATCCTCAGACAAGGCAAGCGTCGGCGCCAAGAACACACTAGCTCGTACTAACTCTGATCGACACATGACGTGCTAACAACGTTCGTACTAAAGTACCCTGGCGCTGGCCAGCATGCCTCCTTGATCGATCGAGGAAAAACCCACTGTATCGGCACTTGCAATGCTTTGAAATCATGCAAAGGGGGGATTCCCGGAGATTAAATGCCTTGTAAATGTCCATATGGACTAAAACTAGAACAGAGACCATAGAGGTGGAAAGAGACAGAGATCTCAATCATCCATCCTCAGTGACTCGCCTAACTTGTCAAATCAGGATATCCAGCAAAAAGCCATCATTGGCCTTTCCTTTGCTTTCACACAAAGTTAACCCGGATCTGTCCTATATTTTGATCCGACTTTAGAATGAGCGAATGCTGTTTGAAAGGATTTCGGTGGGAGGGCGAGCCGAAAGGCCAGGAATCAAAACTCACAGGCACCAACTGCTATGTGACCGGTTCCACCAGTGACGTCGCAATCTTGGTTATTCATGACGTTTTTGGATGGACGTTCCCTAACATTCGTCTTCTGGCGGACCACTACGCAGAAGAGGTTGGTGCCACGGTCTATATTCCGGACTTGTAAGTGACCATGTACAAGGAGGCCAGAGTCTTCCCATATGATTGATTTGATACCGTGTGATAGCTTTGGTGGCACAGTACTACCTTTTGACGTAATTCTCGATCAGTCCCGGTGGGGTGAACTCAATCTGCCAGAGTTCTTGAAAGCAAACAACAAAGTTTCTCGAGAGCCTGAAATCGACGAGTGTGCTAAAGCCTTGCGCTCACAGTACAAGCGTGTTGCTGCTGTCGGTTTCTGCTTTGGTGGGCCTGTGGTCTTTCGACTGGGAGCCAAGGGCCGAAATCTCGTCGATTGCATCTCCGCAGCACATCCCAGTTTTTTAGAGGAAGAAGAAATTGCCAAAGTCGGGGTGCCGGTTCAAATTATTGCTCCAGAGACTGACCCGCTCTTTACACCCGAGTTGAAGACCTATAGCAATGCAACGATTCCTACCCTTGGAATTCCGTATGACTATCAACATTTTCCAGGTCTCGAGCATGGTTTTGCAACGAGAGGGGACCCGAAGGTTGATAAAGAAAGGGACGGAATGCTGAGAGCGAAAAATGCGGCAGTTTTGTGGTTTCGCCAGTGGCTGCATGATAACAATTGAGGCTATGAGCATCGGATGAAGCTGGCTTTGGTCGTTTAAGATAGACTACATGGCGGCGCTAGAGCGAGTCCTGTCTCAACTGGCATGGTCATTGAACAGCGTTCTGCTTAGCACATATCACTTTCATCAGTGTTAAATCTCAGCGCCTCCATGTTCCAAAGCCTGGGTAATTGATGGTCCAACCGGGCCTTGGCTGCACAATTTTGAGTTCCCGTACATATCGCCTACTTACTGTATGCCGTGGTTTGACTGGTGGAGCGCATACACCGATATATCTCAATTTTCTACAATAATCCGTTTTGGGGGTCTGTGGACTCTTCAATTTGGATTGAGGATGGCTCTCATCTTCATTTTAGCATCTACAGAAACAAAAGTTGTGATCGACTCTGACCTGCACCGGGACCCAATGTCCAGGTTTAGCAAATCCCCTTGGGGGGCATTGTCTCCAAGCTTATTGAGACCATGAAAGTTCAAAACCTTCCAACGAATCGGATCACGTACCGCGCAGTCATCTGCCCAACGACCCTCATAACTTCTTAGGCGGGGCTCAGAATGAAGAAACCTTGGGCTTGCCGTTGAACGCAGGTTGTTGCATTGTTCGGAACGAGCACTGAAGTTCGGGTATAGCCAATCAGAGGAACACAAGGTGTTGTCATTGCCCTCGGAAGCGGCATGGCAGCATGACCCCGGCCTGTGATTCAGTGTTCGTCTGCTATGGTATATACTTGTGCCATCCAGGATATCCTCCAAAGAACAACAGTGTTCTTGGTTGCACCGCTTAAGATACCATAATCCGGTAGTCGGTATCATCAAAGCACACTGTCAACTACACAACATTGAAGATCGTTGGTTGCCATGCCAGGCCTTGTTAGCAGTGGGGAAGATTGCGCAGATGCATCTCACATGAGACTTCGCGTCGTCATATGCGGTGCTGGTTTGGGAGGTCTGGGTGCTGCAATAGCACTTCGGCGAAAAGGACATGAGGTAGTGGTACTGGAAGGAGCATCTCAGTTGAGCGAGATTGGTGCTGGTATTCAGATACCTCCCAACAGCACGCGGGTTCTAGATGCCTACGGATTGAGCGAGAAACTCCAGCAATGGGTTGAGCGACCGAAAAACATCGCGTTGAAACGATATGCCACTGGACACGTCTTGGGCATGACGCCGCTCCACCCACGCTTGACTAAAGCGTATGGCTACCCGTATCTGCTCATTCATAGAGCGGATTACCAACGAATTCTTTTTGATGAAGCAAACGCGCTAGGAGTAAAGGTCCACATGTCAACACGTGTTGTGTCCATCAATACCGAAACACCTCTTATCACTACAGAGACAGGTGAAGAATTCGCAGCGGATGTTGTCGTTGGCGCAGACGGCATAAGATCGAAAGCACGGGAATTTATTATCCCAGGCCAAGTAATAGAGCCTAACAGTTCATCGAATTGCGCATTTCGCGCGACAGTGCCTAATCAGGAGATGCTATCAGATCCAGAGGTGGCTCATCTCATGTCGGATGTAAATGCAAACAGCTGGATCGGTTACCGGAAGCATATAATGGCTTATCCCATTCGACAAGGCGCCATGTACAATCTGGTCATGTCACATCCCGGACAAGCTGCTTCCGGAAAATGGAATGAACCCGGAGATCTCGAAGAGATGAAAGCCACGTATGCGGATTTCGATCCTGTCATCAAGCGGGTGTTGGGAAAGGTCAACGGCTGTCTCAAATGGAAGTTAGCTGACTTGCCAACACTACCAAGCTGGGTCAGTGAATCCGGAAGAGCTGTCCTTATTGGCGATGCGGCTCATGCTATGGTACCATACCTGGCACAGGGAGCGAGTATGGCAATCGAAGACGGCGCTGCACTTGCAGAATGCTTGAGTCGTGTCCGAACGAAAGAACAAATCCCACGCTATCTACAAGTCTTTGAAAGTATAAGGAAGCCTCGATGTGAACGCATTCAAGAGAGTTCGAGGCTCAATGGCGATATGTGGCATATGGCAGATGGGCCTGGGCAGGAGGCGAGAGACAAGGCTTTGAAAAAGGATGATTTTCAGGAAGATCTCCCATCACCAGACCTGGATGGAAGTAACCCCAACCTATGGTCAGACAGAGGATTCCAACCCTGGCTATTTGGGCACGATGTCTTTGCTGAGACTTCTAAAGCACTTGATGAAATGGAGCAGAAAAGGAGACCATGATAGATGCTGGTGAGTTCGATTTAGGACTAGTTCATGGGCCGAGAAGCCATACTTGATCTTGTGTTCTTTGCTACTACATGCCTTTCTGCTGCATAGTAATGTGCTAACGCGATATCCTCCGTGCTCCGGGAGTAATCGGCGAGAGTGAATACAAGAAACGTCTGCCGTTACCTCTGGGCGGTTAATGCCTCTTCCGAGATTTCGGAAGCCCCTCCGAACACCAAACGGACCCGCCACTTCCCCCGCACGAGGCCGATCTATCTCCAAGTCGGATATGGCACCGAGAAACTCTGTCCCAAGAGATCACTTTCCCAAAAACTCTCGCGAGAAAAAGTTGAGCAGAACCAAGGAAAAACAGACACTGTTGAATCGAAAACCTGAAAATCGACACGAGTGAGAAACAAGAATGTCGTGGGAGAGATTGATACGGTTCCAAGATGAGTCAGGCCAGCAACGCTTCGGCGAGCCTGTTATCAAAGACGCAGACGAGTTGGAGACGTTGCTAGCCAAAGGCGAATTGTTTGCCAATGAGTTCAAAGGCAGCGGTCCATTCGACCTAGAAGCTACAGGGCAGAGGATGAAAGTCGTGAAGCTGTTGGGAATCCTGGAGTCGGCAGATGTGCCCATCGTCAAGTGTGTGGGCTTGAACTACATGAAGCACAGTAAGTTCTAAGTCCCCAAGGACGGATCACCGCCCACTGAAGGGCGACCATGAATAGAGATGCTGAGCCGATGAATAGTCCAGGAAGCAGGTCGAAAACCACCGCCATACCCATCGATCTTTATTAAGTCTAGGACTTCGATTGCCAGCCACGATGAGGACATCCCGATCCCCAAACTGGCACAGGATGAGCAATGCGACTACGAAGGCGAACTTAGCATTGTGATCGGCAAGACGGGAAAGAACATTGCCAAGGCAGATGTGCTCTCTCACATTGCCGGCTACGTGGCCTCCAACGACGTGTCAGCCCGCAAGTGGCAACGAGACCCCGCATACGCCGGCGGCGTGCCTCAATTCTGCTTCAGCAAGGGATTTGACAAGTACGCGCCTGTAGGCCCGATGATCGTGTCTCCGAAAGTGGTTGGCAATGGGAGCGGCTTGCGGCTCCAGACCTTTGTCAATGGGGAGTCGAGACAGGACACCCGCACGGACGATCTGATCTTCGACGTCGAAGAGATTGTCGCGTTTATCAGCCAGGGCTCGACACTGGAGAAGGGCACGGTCATAATGACGGGTACGCCCTCAGGTGTCGCTATGGGTATGTCTCCGCCGGCGTACTTGAAGCATGGTGATGTTGTGGAGGTCAAGATCGAGCATCTTGGTAGTGTTAAGAATAAGATGGTGTTCGAGTAGTGATCTTAGGGGGCAGGGAAACGGAAAAAGAAGATAGACCAGCAAACAGACGAAATAGAAATGGAAATGCATTGCGCAAGAGTAGCATAGCACCATTCATGCTGTACTTTCTTCCCGAAGCCCACAGCAGGATCTATGCAACCATCGAACGATCTACACAAAATCCCAGGATATCTGGCCTACCCTTCCCCATATCCTGTTTTCCAGAGAAAACCCCAACTATACTCAGCCCTATCCGTCAAATCCAGGCATGGTGTTAAACCGCTCCAGCCCCTCTTTTGCCTCGTGGCTCTTATCGCGACCAACGAAGAAAGCTGCCTTCGGCGGAAACAGCTCGAGCCTATCCATTACAATCATCGTCAGCGTTAGCAGTCCCTGTCTTGTTGACTATACCGTATATTCTCAACCAAACACCTACCCATTGTCAATCAGCGCCGTCCGAACCACGTAATGGGTGCCCCCGTGGCGCATGGGAATCGTCCACAGTGTGCATCCGCACACCCCACAAAATACCTTATGCTTGTCGGACCCGCTCATCGTGTCGTTCAGGACGTATGTCTTCCGCGCGTCCTGGGGGTCGCTCACTTGGACTTGCTCGGTTTTGAATTTGGCTACCTGGTTTTCATTTTTGCCATTAGTGGTCTCATGAAAACGTGCGTGGTTGTACCTACATATTGATATGGAGCGCCGGCGTTCTTGGCGCAGTGTGTGCAGAAGCACTGCATGACATTCTCAGGTGCGCCTTGCACGGAGAAGGTTATGGCTGAGCATAGGCAGGATCCTTTGACTGTGTCCATGGTTGGCGGTGATCGTGTGTTGTTTTGTGTGATGTTTTGCGTCGAAATCAAGACTGGCTGAGAAAAGGGAAGTCTGTCAACATGGGTCACTATTGGCTTTGAGTGGGCGTGCGGAATGCATCCTAGCACAATGAGATGATGAAGCGCTCCGCATACCCAATAGAGACGCAGGTTTATCGGCAGACACAGACCCTTGGAGGGACTGCGTACCGTATGCCAGTCGTTGCCGTGGTCAAGGTTGGCTGATATCGGAAGCCTCCGAGGCCACCACTTGAAAGCCGAAAACCCCTCCCCGGTGATCAATCCGTCATGGCTGTGCTTCCAAGTTGCCCGGGCGGACTTCCAGACGACCGAAAGGCTTATGTCCATAACACTCCATCAGGACGACATCTTGGAACAGCGTGTCCAGGACCCTTTCCTTGGGACTTTGACTTCTGTGTTAGCTTCAGTTGTTGCCCATTCCTAAGGGGAGTTCAAGCGGGAGAGATATACTCCTACAAACCAAGACACGATACACACACGGGAGTCAGCGTCTCAAAGCAACAATGGCCACAGAAACAGTCACGACCACCGAGGCCACACCAGCATCGGCCAAGTTCGATCAAGAAAGCGTCAAGGCAACAGAATTCTACCAGAGCCTACGAGAGAAGAATGCTGGGCCGCTGTGGACTGTTCTTGACAAGCTGGTGCCCCCGACGCCCAACCCGACCGCAGAAGTGAACATATGGCGCTATTCAGAAATGCGGCCGTCGTTGATGGAAGCCGGCCGGCTCGTCACGGCGGAGGAAGCTGAACGGCGGGTTTTGATGCTGGTCAATCCTGCGATGCAGGCTCCGTGTACCACGGACTCGATATACGCGGGCCTGCAACTGATCCTGCCCAATGAGACGGCGCCGGCACATCGCCATGTCGCATTTGCGCTGCGGTTCATCATCGAGGGCTCTGGAGGGTTCACGGCAGTCGAAGGAGAGAAGATGATGATGGAGAGAGGAGACGTTATCCTCACGCCTAGTTGGATGTGGCACGATCACGGAAACGAGGGAGATGGGCCTGTAATCTGGCTGGATGGGTTGGATCTACCGCTCTTCAAATTCCTACCCTTGAATTTCGCGGACCAGTACCCCGATAAACGGTACCCGAGCACGCTGAGCACCACCAGCAAGTCCCGGTTCCCATGGGCTCCAGTGGAGAAGTATTTGAAGAATGTGGAAGGACCATATGTGGTTTATGATTATGCCTCGGAGGATGGAAAGCCTCTGTCACCCACGCTTGGAGCTCAGGCGGAACGTATCGCGGCTGGGACCACCTCGCCCACTGTTCAAGAGACTGGCTCATTTGTCTACCACGTTGTCGAAGGAGATGGCTATACCACCATCTTGACACCTGGAGAGAAGAGTGCCCGTAAGATTACCTGGATGGGGAAGGACACTTTCGCGGTTCCTGCTTGGAGTCAGATCTCGCATACAGCCACGTCAAGCTCAGATGTCTATCTGTTCGCCATCAACGACCGTCCCATGATAACGTCGTTGGGCTTAAGGAGAGAAACATAGTAGTGTTTTGATCGAGCGGTCCTGATGCCGTGTGTCGATTAGCCAATACTAAATTGTTGGTCTTAAGGCAACCTCATCCCTGTGTTGGCTGGGAATGCTGGAATAATCTGGTACGAGATAAGGAAAGTCTCGGACTCGTGGCGCAATCATTTGGACTTCATCTTGAACATCGTATCAACATATAGAAGATATGGAGTCCCTGTGGCAAAGATAACTGCCACGTGTTCCCGACTTCGACATAGAGCAATCGCGCCCATTGAAGTCAAACCCCATAAGAAAGCCACCAAGATGTTCGCAGATAATGGAGATTGCGCGAGGTACCGAGTACGTGGATAGCGAAAGGAAGGAGATGGCTAAAATCTCCCGATTCGGGAACGCCTAATGATCGTCTCTACAACCAATCCCGCAGCTAGAGCGTTCATAACCAGTAACTATCTCTCAATTACTCAAGAGAAAGTCAGAGTGGCTGAACGGCTCTTATCTATTAGCCATGCTCTCCTCGCTGTACTCCATCGGATAGACATGCCAATATGGGACGAGTGGGATTGTAGGTTTGGGCTGGCTGCGAATGACTTGCAGTCGAGATTAAACTGTGACAATCCAGATATAGGGATGGGCGAGGAAGGCCAAAATGGGAAAGAGAGAATACAGGTGCTAGGACTCAGGACCCTATCACAAAGCATGGCTAATTACTCAGGACAAGCTTGGGGAGACCACGCATCAAGCAATGCCTAGAGTACATTCGCTATTTTCGATCTTCTTATATTTCGGCCTCGGGTCGCTCTGTCCTGTCTCCCTAGGTACGATCTACTTGCACTCTCTGAAAGTATCTGGTGAGACGTCTCAGTAGCAGCGCCCGTCCAAACGTGTTCTATCAACGTCACTGCGACTGTGTCTCGTTGCAAAAGACCGTCTCTAGTAGGGTGACTTAATCTATCCAAGTTGATAAGGCAATACAACATGGCTCCTGGCAGGACACTCGAATACCCCAAGACCGCGGTGAACAAGGTCAATCGGTATAACGTAAGAGGTAAGCGTTAGAGAGACGGAACGCACCAAAAGGGAAGACGAGCATGAGAGAGCCAAGATGATCCCTTTTTATTCAGTTGAAGTGACGAGGCTGACGCCCGCCACGCCTAGCAAGTTATGACCTCGAGACCATCCACAGTATCATCAACTCGAGCACAGTCTTGAACGTGTCTTTCAACACGCCCGACCCCAACAATCCATTTCCCATCACACTTCCCATGGTCGGCGTGGCCGCCAGCTTCGACCATCCATCTGCATCGTTGGGCGAGCCGCTCGACATCTACGTCCACGGCTATGTCAGCAGTCGCATGATGAACCACTCGCGTGACACCAACGGCACGGACGCCACAGAATACAAAGGACTCCCCGTGACCATATCCGCCACCAAGGTTGACGGCCTAGTCCTCACCCTGTCGCCGTACACACACGACATCAACTACCGCTCAGTCTGTCTCTTTGGATATGCAAATGTCGTCACGTCCGACGAGGAGAAAGTGTGGGCGATGGAGGAGATCACCAATGGAGTCTTACATGATCGCTGGCGGCACACACGCGTGCCCCCCGACGGTGCAGAGATGCAAAGCACCAGTATCCTCAGGGTGTCTGTCGTGGGAGGAAGTGGCAAGATTCGGGTCGGCGGGCCGCGAGACGAGTTGAAAGATTCTAACCGGGAGGATCTGATGGACCAAATCTGGACCGGCGTCGTACCCGTCTATGAGCATTTCGGGGAGCCCGTACCGGGCAAAGCGAATCGTGTCAAGGATGTTCCTGCACATGTGGTTGATTTTGCAACGGCGTGCACCAAGACCAACAAGGAATACGTGGCAGATGCGATTGCGGATACTTCGCAAGACTGAAGCTCTTGGGATACGCCTTTTTGTCCGTGATATGGGGATGCATCGATTGGGATGGTAGGCAGGATGGCGATCTCGTATATATACATCGCTTGCAGTTGAGGATTTCATAATCTGGTTGCTGTTATTGAATATGAAGAGTCAATTCCTCCACTAACCCTTGGTCGGCCGACAGGGTGTCTGAATTTGGGCATCTCTCGTAAGATTGATACCCTTTCATCTTCCCTGCTCGTCCAACTCCCACGCAGGATCAATAGGTATATGAAAATGACGGAGATCACGAACGTGAGGACGCGTCTCCTGCCACTGGATCCCATCCTGTGCTCCTCCGGGTGGATTGACAAGGAGTGTAAGTCCATCCTGAAAATGCCGCGTCTCGAAAGGGCCATGATATATGACCAAAGGAAGGAATGTCCCTAAGATCATAGTGCGTTCGAAAATATCCAGCTGACATTTGGCATCCGCTTACCCGTGAAGCAAGGGGTGAGTGTAAATATGATGATTCTCGAAAGGGGATAAATTTGTCCGATGACCGGCGTCACAGTGCTGTGCATGTCACACAGGGATAATTGCAGATTTAAAAGGTACCATCGAGGTAACGTTGTGCAGATGATTTTGAAACTGTCGTGTCCCCCGTACACTGCGTTCGGATTCAACGGTTACACAGAGGTGAACAGCAATTCCCGCTCCAATGGATTGACCGAAGCAACGGCGCAAGACCTTATGGATCTCGGCGTGAGAAAGGGAGAAAGGTTTCTTTGCCAGAGAGCATAGTCTCGAGCTGTGGCACCATGTTCGTAGGGAGTCGTACACCCAAGGCCGTTGGCATCCCTGTTGGTTATTAAATCAGCGGGGTCTTCGCCCTATCCTGTGTTTTGAAAGGGAGAATCATCCATCCATGGAACCTAGAAATGATTGATCGGCTTAGATGAATAGCCAGTCCCGAGCGTTCCTTTGCGAGTAGGACGGACATTCATAGAGGGCGTGGGCTCGTAATCCCGTACTTCATGCATTGGCGGTCTCCAGAGGGACAACGTGTCTTCGATGTGTGATCTTCCTGATCTTCCAAGCTCCACATATTTGCCAAAACTGTGTCTGCCGCCTTCTCTTGAGCACCGCACTATGAGATGAGTCCCACCCTGTACATTTTTTCTGAACCTTGTTTCATATTCTTCATATTCTTGGTTTCTCCTCGATATTGCCATTGTTGTAACGGCCGCTGATCGTTGGAGCCGTTGAGGTCCTTTGATCAAAGGGTCTTGACCATAACCCTAACATTGACCTTGCACATTGAGTTGGAGATCAGTAAGAGCTTCAGCAGCTGCTGGACTCACTTCCTCCTCGCGAGCTTATGACTCGATGTGATAAAGATCAATTCTCGTACATGCTGAGACAAACCCGCACTGGACCACAGACATCGTCGATGCTGTCTTGCTATCCCATGAAAAATATCAACATGGACCGAGTTCGAGCTGGTTCCAGATGGCTGAAGAGGAAAATACAACCATACTACACTGTTCCGCACAAGGAGAGAAAACTTGAGATAGTATGCAAGGCTCACACTGATCTTTGGCCTGTTTGACAAAAGCTGACCGATCTTTTCGTCTTAGGGCCCTCCAACTGATTTTCGACGCGAGAATATCACCTTAGGCATAGATGTCGATGGGTAAGAAATAACGAGACTCCATTTTTTGGGTTCTTGCGGAATGGCTGACATAGCTCCCACTAGGAATACGGTCGTAATCGAGCAGGCTCGGGAGGATGCTCAGCGGATGCATGCATCTCTTAAGATGCAAAGCCTACCTCCTCAGTCGTGGACACAGCGTCGGAGGACAATCAAAACAACGTAACAAGAGATCTGAGCACTGGAAAATATGAGTGATGCAGGGGTCAGTGCTTAGGATGAGATGGAACCCAGCGATATCGCTGCTCGGGAGGCCCAACAACTCTGGGTCTCGAGTTGGCGCATGACCCTGCCACGCTGCTGAGGATAATAATGTGACATACGTGGAAAGAGATTTGCTCAGCGTGATATTATATGATGAACAATGGCACATCACCGAGCCTGGATTGCCTTTCTTTCTCCTTTTCCGACTTTCGATTCATGAAATTGCTGCTGGATGCTGGACCCTTTGGTCTCGTGGTTTGGCTACTCCATTTGTTCCTGCTGTCGCCCCTGTCGGTTGTCTGCTCATCAAGATCAAGAACTGCAGATGTCGGCCGATGGGGCTCATCTCCTTGTTTTTGAGTTGGTAAGACTCTGCTTCTAGGAGGAAGCGTCTTGCTAGTGTGGCGTGACGCCCTGTGGGCTCGTTGAGCCTGATCAGCTCGCCGTGATCGACCACCTGTTCCGATTGAGGTCAGCTCCTCGCTTTCACTAGCCTCTTCAACTCTGAAATGGGCACCACTGCTCTTGGGTCTGCTGTAACCTGAACCGGCTCGTGTACTGCTCGAGATCCTCTCCAAGCCCACTAACGATGTCTTCTGCTGACTGCCTTGCGCCATCAACGGAGCAAGACTCGTTCCCGACCAGAGATTGTTCATCTTGTCCTCCTCATCTTGTTCTGGCGATCTCTTCCCCAGTACTTGATGTAATACATCGCCTTGTCTTTTCTGAAGAGCCGCACCTTGCAATCTCCGTTTCGCTTCACTTGACATTGGGGAGGTGGGTTCGGGAAGGTCCTTTGGGGGTACAGTTCGGGCTTCTCTCATGAGTCTCTTATACTCTGCATGGTGAAGGTGAGCAGTGTACGACTGAGCCACTGTTTGAAATTCATCCTCGACCATTATGTAGACGTCATCCTTATCATATCCACTGCGCATAACTCTGTAGTAACTGTCAGTAATGTTATTGGCTTTCACAGGTGCAAGCCTACTCTATGGATGGCGGTGCTCTGACTGGAGAAGTAGAAGGTGTCCTGACTGCCAACAATTAGTTCATATTCCGATTAGTATCATGGAAAACTGCTGACAATGTGACCCTTTTCTGGCACTGGTCTCTAATGCACGGCCCCGATTTGAGGGCAGGTCATGATTCTCGTCCTTGTCCAGAGGAGTGATTGAATATTCTTTGTTTAGCACTGAGCAAGCTGGTGGTAGACTCGTTCGACTTCTCTTTGCTTGCGGGTCATCGTTCACAGCCCAAGGCAATTTACGAGCCATTGTATCGGTCGAGTTGGGTCAGAAAACATGTTAGGAAGCATGTCTGCGTTGCTGCCGGTGGAGCATCATCAATGAACTTTCATTCAAGGCTGCCTGGAAGAATGAAGGAGGCAAGAGGCACTGGGACGGGTAGCTGCAACATGAATAGCAGAAGTCGACTAGTTCCTTACGCAGGGACTGGCGAATGCTCGTTGAGTGTTTGATTTTGAATGTCGTTATGATGGTGGGGGTCTATTTATGTGGCGAATCGCCGCCTGCTGAAACAGAGGATGGAAACATCTGTCCAAGCAATTCTTCGTAACCACGTACACATACCTCCTAAGTAAATAGTAATTATCCGTGTCTGGAGAGAAATCACAAATCACAAATCGCAGAAACGTCTCTAGGTTGATAACAGCAACTGTCTCAGTACTTCAGATACTCTTGCAGTGTGATGGATTTCTATCTTGTGGAATCGCCTCCCGGGCGAAAAGACTTGTAGACTTTGGGTATCATTTCCATTAACTCCTCACGCATGCATAACTCGTGAGCAAACCGCCCAATGCTGATAATGACGCTGATGTCCACTATCAAAGCTTGTTTCCTATCGCTTGATCGCCGCACGCCCAGATATGGTCAGTTTCAGGTCTCAATGTGCCGAGAAGGCAGCAGATAAAAAAACGCGAACCGAATTGATCCCCGGGAAGAGTGTAGCGGTTTGCGATTGTGTCAAGCCACACCATCTCCTTCCTTCTAGACTTCTCCAGGCTTCTTTGAATTGCAGCTGACAATCTTGACCTTGTCTGCAGTGAATTCTTGGCCGCCATCGCTCTTAAATCTCACGTCCTTCACGAGGAATGTCCAAACGTCATCGCAAAATCGATAGGTCTCGAGATGACCCTGTTACAATGATCAGCTTTCAATTGAGGTTTAATTCAACTCATCTGACCTTGAAAGTGAGTCTTGACTTGACTTTCTCTGCCAGTGTCTCGGCGATGGCGCGGTCGAAGTTGCTGAGAATCTTCATGGCTAGTTGCGGTTCGATGCGACCATCGTTGATTAGATCGTCGATTGTGTCGATGAGCGCAAGGCCTATACTGTAAGGCGATGTCAATAACAGTAATTCTCTTACAGACTGCATGGGTCGCAGCCACCAGCGGCATGAGACCAACCTGCTGCCTCGATAGAGCTCATAGAATTGCTGAGTAGCCATCGTGGTAGTTGCTGTCTATCTTGAGCCTGAAGACGAACAGAAGCAGCGCCGCTGGTGTTCAAAGACCGATGAGATCCTGTCGTAAGAAGAAGAAGAACAACAACAACGATAACAAAGATGTGAGTTTGGATATGAGTCTAAAGACCGGTGGAGTCCTTGAAGGTTGATGGTGAGGAGGGGCGCAGGCGAGGGCTAGAGGCTGAAAGGTAAAGGATGCTGGTAGGTCGGAAGTTTTTATCCGAGGATTAGTCACTAATGCAAACCATTGCACTCATTTTGAACGGAGTACGGAAGTGGGTCGGGGTGCTGATACAAACCCGGTGGACTCCTTCACAAACCTTTGGGATCACGCTGGTAGTGTCATGTAGCACTGGTATCGGGCAATTTGTAAACGATTAACAGCATAGGCTGATTCATATAGCCACGACGAACGTCACCCTGTTTTCAACTCTTGGTGTTCGCTGAATCATTGACGACCTTGATCGAGTTTGCATTCACCAGCATGTCAGTGCCAACCAAAGCGAGGTTGCAAGTGTGTGGCCTCTGGAAAGCGCTATCACAGTCGCAAGCAACACGGTTCACTTCCACCATCAGTCAAAAAAAAGGCCCAGAGCAAAGTACAGGTTCTACCCAGACCGCCAAACAAGCCACTCAACCAGAAAAACCTAGGAAAGGGAAAACCCTGGCTGAAATCGACGAAGAGATGAGACTTGCGATGGAAGGGTTGGCTGGGGATGGAGGTGAAGCTGGGCTGGAACTTGAAGAGGGTCAAGCTGTCTCAATGAAACGCGGCGTCAGGGAAAATATGTTCAGATATATCTGATTAAAGCAAGTCCATTGGATCCGCCAGAGGCGCCATCCCGATCACACCCAACTCCGGGGTATCATGCTCTGACAACCAAAAATTCCAGCCAAGTTGAACATGACCTCGACGAGTGGCCCATGCAAGCCCATTGCTACTTGTACAGCGCGTTGATGTCCCGAACAAGGTCCTCAACAGAACTCCCGCCTGGACAATCATACCACTTGCCGCCATCTCTAATGCATCGAATTTTACCTGCAAGCCTCACGGTACAGCTCTTGGTGACGTTGTTTTCATGGCTTCTGGATATACTTGCTCGAAGAAGATTGATTCCTTCCCCCTCGTCACTGATACAATTATTGAGCTTCTGGAAATCAATGCCATGTTCCATTGCGCAGCCTTCGACGAGATCTCGATCGGGAATGTTGTGATAGTCAGATGTCAAGCAATTGGTGAAGCCCAGATAAATCTTGGGATCTGGGTAGATTTCTGCGGCGCAAAGTTCAATAATGTTACCCAGGCACTCGGCAGGTCCGTGCATGCAGGAAACAGCATCGGATTTGGGGTCGATCCTGAGAAAGAGTTAGCTGGAGGAGCATCATTGGAAGACATCGGAATTGCATACTGTCCTATAAAACTAAGTGTAAAGTTGACCCGATGACTGACTTGTTCCATTGTCGGTAGAATGAGCTCACGCAAGCAATCTCTGAAATCTGGACATCTACTCATTCCGTGGGCTTCAAGTTCCACTTTGGGTTCGTCCACCTCTTCTTCGATGTTGCGGAGTAATCCCTCTCGGCCACTTGGATCATAATGATGGTCTGAGACAAATGCGGAGCGAAAAATAGTGAATAAGGCCAGTATGGTGAGGATTGCAGGCACGACTCGCTTGTATACGTGATCTCTCGCTGTAGACTTTGTTTCATCTGTTCCAGGGGGCTCGAAATTCCACTTTTGATTGTATGGAAGTCCCTTCTCATCGAGACCCGGCGCAGTCGCAGAATGCTGCTCCGCCATTATGTTGCGGAGACAACTCAATCGTCCTCGGCCGCACGAAGAGAGACAGACGGAAATTCTAGGGCTGGATGCGTATGTGAGAGTTTCGCAGGCCGTGGAGCCAAAATAGGATCAAACAATGGTGTTCCCAACCTAAGGACTCTCTGGAGTGAAGTCCTATTGAATTCAGAGGGCAGGCACGTCAAACCATCCTTGGCAAAGATGACGAAATGAGGCCGACCTGGGGGTTTAACCAGAGAGACCGCCTAGATCAACCGGCTCGTTAATGAGCCTCAGGGTATGATTTTTGAACCACTTAGGGCCGGACATTGGCCTGAGCTCCTGAGATGAAGGCTGACAACTGGCTCGATGTGTTCCGTTCCTTGGCTTCTCAAGGAGCCTGCTAAGTCCAAACCCCTAGCTGCTCCAGAGTACATAACGCCCCCTACCCTATAGGTACCTAGGTATGTACTCGTTCGGAGTAACTCCCAACCCATCAAGCCCACTAAAGGGACCTACAAGTAGCTACCGAGTAAGGTGGTAGCTCAGTGGTGCAATATTCGACCAAGCTCAACTGGTAGGCGACTACACCACCTCAAAAACCACTATTTCTGCATAGACCGTATTCGTACTACTCCTACCTAGGTGCTTTGGTGTTCCCACTGCTACAACTATTGACTAACCGTTGATGTGTCCCCGAGCGCGTGGCCTGGAAATGACAAGGACTCGACTCATTCGTAGTATGCCCGACCCTATCTCTCTCTTCCCAATCTTCCTGTTGCACGTCCTTCCTGCCGGTCCACTTCTATGATTGGCAAAAGTACATGAACTCAAAGATAGGTCAATGGACCCTTCTGGCTTCCAACTCGCTTAGTTTTGACGGAGAGCTGCACTCGGTACCTCAACCCTGGTTGCCATGTGGCAGGAGACCTCCCCCGTTTGAAGGACCCCATGGGCTGTTAGTGAGGAATTAGCCCTGAAAAGCTGGCCCCAAGCGTGGGTCTTTCGCTTGCACCAGGAATCCGGATGTTTCCAAGTCACAAAACCGTACTCCCGAATAGAGGATATAGCTTGCTGTGTGCCCGGTGTGAAGGTACAGTTATGTATTTGACTTGGAGGTCATACACATGAGGTATAGAAATGCTTACCTTCGTAAAAGGGCCTATGTGGGAGACTCTATGGTGGGCACAGTGTACGTCAGTCCCTAGGCTGTAGTACCTGTTGTACGGAGCAGTGTTGCGAATCAGTAATTGGCACTTTGGAGCTACAGACTTAGTAGTAGTACTAACTTAGGGGACCGAAGTTTACTGACTGCCTATCCGAACTGAGGTGCTCTCGATAATACGAGCATCTGAGCTTGGAGGCACCCAGGACGGCTGAGGCTGATTCCCTCTTTCCGTTCTCAAGTTCTCAGGGTCACATCCGACTCCAAGGTCACATTTGAACCACCACGAACTTCATACTGGAAACACCACTTGCTCGAACCACCTCTGGGTCCTTTATCGGACTCTCGTTTCATCGTTACCTCAACATCTGCGTCTGGTCTCTTCTCCTTTCCTCCTCTTCACAAATCTCTCGCAGAGACACACCGGTTCAAACAACGATTTTGCTGTCTCACCATTTTCATCCTCGTATTTTCTGCATTTTCGTCCCATGGTGATTTGGCCTCCTTGCACGTGAGTCACTCGCCTACCTCAACTTTCGGGAAGCTTTCAAGACTCTCAACCGGCCACAATGTCGGAGCTGGCTTCGGTGCCCTCGGTCAGCAATGGCAGCCCACCACCAGATGAACGGGAGCATGAACTCGACACTTATCTTCAGCCTCTGCAAATTGATGACTCGATCATCCACAACCTTGCCCACCAGTTCTCCAAGGTCTATGAAGAACTAGCTTTACACTCAGACGAACAATTCTTGCCCACACCAGTTACGAAATTGCCATCTGGCCAAGAGACAGGCCAGTTTCTCGCCATCGATGTTGGTGGGACCAATTTACGAGTTGCATTTATTGAATTGTTGGGCGATGCCGACGAACAGTTGCCTAGCGCCAATGGAGCTGATCGGTCACGTGCAACCATCAGCAATGCTCAACGACCGCGAGTTCGACGGACACTTGAAAAGGCATGGCCCATAGGTGAGCACCTGAAGATGGATAAGACCGAAGACTTGTTCGCCTGGATTGGTGATTGTATTGCCGAGGTCGTCAATGACCGGTTGAGCTCCGATATGGGCAAAGGTCCTGTACCAGATGAGTTGCCCATGGGCATTACTTTCAGCTTCCCAATGATGTGGGTCCCGTCCTACTAGGAGGATCATCCGTGTATACAACTGTTCTGACAGAGCACAGGCAAGACGAACTATCCTCCGCGACCCTTATGCCAATGGGGAAGGGTTTTACCATGAACTCCGACCTTGACCTTGGCTCCACCTTACTGCAAGGCTATGCTCGCCACACCAGACGACAGTCTCCGTCGAGCTCCTCGCCACGCGCGAAACGAAGGAAGCTCGGCCCTCTTCCTCCCCTGAGAATCACCGCCATCACGAACGACACTATTGCTACTTTTGCATCCCTTGCTTACACTGTCAAGTCGTTGCCGAATTCTCGCGTTGCGGCTGGCGTGATTGTTGGGACTGGGTGCAATGCGACGGTGCCGATGAAGCTCTCGAGCTTGGGACCCTCCAAGGTGGAGCCCATTAAGAGAAACAAACCAGATGCAATTGAGACCGTCGTAAACACCGAAATCACTATTGCTGGCGCCTGCGGTCCGTTGGAAGCCATCACCACCGAGTGGGACCGCGAACTTGACGCTGCCTGTGCTCGACCTGGCTTCCAGCCCCTCGAATACATGACTGGCGGACGATATATCGGAGAACTGGTTCGAATCATTTTCTTTAACTATATGACTAAAGCACACCGGCCGGCAGTGCCAGCTGCCTCGCTTCCAGCCACTCTTGTGCACAGCTATAGCTTTACCACGACATTCGTCAGTGCCGTCATCGCACGGGCGCGATCAAATTCCGAGTTGGCGGGCGAGTTGAAGCGTCGGATTCCTCCTCCAGAGTCGTCCAACTGGGGATGGTCGCCCCATAGCGCAGGAGCACTTCGTAAGATTGCACAGCTTGTCCAAGTGCGATCAGCAGGACTCATCGCTGCCGCAACGGTCGGCCTTCTGGCGACGGTGGGCGAGGTAGCACTCACCGAGCCGGGAAGCCCTGCCTCCCTTCCTGATGCAGTGGTCCAAACGGATAGCAAACCGCCATCACCAAAATCTCATCTTTCAGCGGCGCAGCGACATAATACAAGAGATGCTCTTTCCCCAGCCCCCGGGGCTTCGGCTTGGAGATCGGGGCCGGAGGAGCTCGTCATCGCCTATACCGGAGGAATCATCCAGCACTATCCCAACTTCAAGGAACAATGTCAACGATTTATCGACCGTCTCGTTATGAGAGCTGGCCCTCAGGATGGCGGCAAGAGTGTATTTTTGAGGGAAGCTCGTGACGGCGGTATCATCGGAGCCGGTGTTCTTGCTGGAATGGAGACAAGCGACAAAGGGCTCGTCTCCTAGCACTAGAGAAACAGGCATTCTTCGTTGAACCATGAGTGACGCCGAGGTTTCTACGGCCAAACTTCCAACTGAGAGGACGACCTTTACGAGTAGTATGATACGCCTGGGGAAACCCCGGAAAAGACTACGATCGAGTGGGTAAATGTCGGGGAGCATCAAACCCTTGTTGATTAGCTCCCTTTGGGCTTCGCGTGGCCACTGCTCAGACACAAACACGCGGAGCAAAGAGCCAGATACAGATGACTGATCTCAATAATTTTACTGGATGGGTTGAAAGGGTGTGGTTTGATTGACCCACCCGAAGTCTGCGGACCACTTGCTTGCCTAAGTACCTAGTTAGGTAGTCTAACCTCCGAAGGGTACCTCGTATGTATGTACATACATTTTGCTTGCGACGAGGTACCAGATTTTTTTGAGAACTTGGTACAAACCCCGCACTTGGCTTGCAGCGAGGAGGTCCTCGCAATTGGGATGCTACCTACCCAAGGCAGGTACCTGGGCAATTTGAAACGACGCGTGTGCTCATCACACGGTAGAACCCCTAGCTGGATGTGTAGCGTCTTTAGGTTCGTGAACGGAATGTCAGCAAGATGAAATCGGGCGATATTCTTCGTCTTCATTCGACGACATGGCGATCGGACTCCTGACCTGGGGGTTTAATGGTTGCCTGGAGAGGGATTGTAGATGACCACTCACCAAGCTTGCTGACCGGTGCCTGGTTTAGAGAAGAGTCTTAATGCCATTGCTACAAACAGACTGAACTCTTCTCCAGCTCCGAGTATAGCACTTAGATAAAGCATATCAAACAATCTGACGTGACCCGGTCCGAGCAGGTAGGAAGCGATTCCTAGGGAGCAGATGGCGCTCTGGACGTGCACAGACCCGGGGGCTCACTGACTTAGGTCACAGCGAGCAGTTCCGCAGAGTTACAACTCCTTTAGGGTATTATTTAAGTGGAAAGATCCCCCAGATGCGCTAACAGAAAACGTGGGAATAGCCTTTCCTCTGTCCTGCCGGAGCCCACCAGCCGCCGCCTATTTTCTCTCTTCAGACAAAATTGGGATTTCTTGTGCCACCGGACAACACATTGTGCCCCGGGTTTGAAAGTTGGCGTTGCTGTGTGCACGACGGTCATGTCATGCGATGCGAGAGGCTTGTGTGATTTGAGAGCCCTTCGTACTCCGTACCCGGAGGACCATGTCCCTACAGTAACTAGCCTGGTTCCCTGTGGTTCTCAGGGCATGGTACGGAATAGATTCGGTTGATCAGGCCGAGTTGCGCAAGTACAGCACTTAGTTTAGCCGTCTTCGACGCGTTCCATGACCTATGATGATTCATGGGTACTAAGTGACAGGGCTCGAGCTCTCGAAGCCCGTTACTTCCTGAATCCTGATACACAGCCATGTGCATATTCGTACTTACAGGGGGCTTGTTAAATAGCTAGGGAAACGGTTGGGCATTGCCGGTTTGAGGAATAGGGAGTAACAATACGGAGTACCTGGGCTGTGGGATGGCATTAACAATTGGCACGCGACCGATGCAGAAGCGGATGTGCAGTACGGATACTCCGTATGGAGTACATGGGTGTGTCTCTGGATGGCAGAGCCATGCCTAGCATGGGCACTTGACCGAACTAACGACGGGGATACTGAGGGAGGGGTTCAGCCGCTGGACGACTCGGGGCGCATTCGAGGGGATTCTGGGGCTCGTGGTTGGGGGGGGAGGGTTGAAATGACTAGGATCAGAATTCTTGCGTGTCTTCGCCTTCGGGGGGATTCTTGGTGCGGACTGTGGAGGGTCTGACAACAGTAACAAGAGATCCTCTTCCACTCCCATTCTTGTCTGGTTGTCTGGGCCGTGCCGGCCACCCAAGGGGGCAAAAGCCTCTAAACGCCTGAGGGGCCCCAGTGTTTACCGCGACTCAGGAGGCCACGATCGAGTCCCGAGGGTCGTTTCCCTTTTACATTCCGCTCCCAGACTCCCAGGATTGGGTCAGTCGTTCCCGGCTAAAAGCTCGTAAATGTCTGTCGTGATCATGATTGTTCGTTTAAGCGGAGCATTCCTGCCCACAACATCATCACCCAACCTTGCCTCTCTTGCAGTGCTCATATAATTACCGAGTGTCCATCCCATCAAAAAGCCCTCGCTTGTCACGTCCTTAGCACTCACTTTTGTTTTCAACCCTCTTGATTACATAGATTACCCTGCGCTGTCCCGCCTAGAGCATATCCTCTTCTGTCGGCACCTCTTCCACTGTCTGCAGGCGATTCTGCACTGTGCGATTTCCTTCCTAGTGATGGACAGACCATCGTGATCACCACCCTGGCAATTAGGTCGTTCCTCTTTCAGTGAAGCCACTCGCGGCGAACCAGTGAACATGAGTCCAATTCCACCTCTTAAAAATGTCCTTCATCGGCTGGGCAAGCGGCGGGAAGAGGTCACCAAGCCCACAGATGCAGCTGGGCTGGTCCTCGAAGCATGGGCGGAGGGATTCATGGTGGGATCGCTCATAATCATGTCCTGCATCACGTTGGCAAACATGCGCAGAGGAGTTCTCCTCCACAAACTCATTTTGCTCGAGGTATGCTTTTCCAGTGGGTCATCGTGATCAATTGCCAGCACTGACTTCCCACGTTTTTGACAGCTCGTTCTCGGTTATTGGCAAGGTTTTTTCATCCTCTTCAATCCGCCTGTGTATGCCTGGTGGCTTTCTGTGGCTGCTATATTCTTGAATGCATCCTGGTCCCTGCACAACGTCATTGCGTGGATGAAACTTAGACCCTTCTTAAGCAAAACCGCTAGCCGCTTGTTCATTGGCACGGTCATTCTCGTCCAACCTTATTGGGTTGTCGAGATATACGCCAATTTCACCTATTTTCACAACGTCAACGATATTTTTCTCAGGACGAGGCCATGGGAGGCATTATGCCGAGATCCCTGGTGGATACTGGCCGCCGTGATCTTGATGTACAACATCAAGACTCGATACGACCTGTCGATCATCCAAATTGTTCGCATATCCCCACGATTTGCTGTTATGCTTGGCGCAATGTTTCTTAGCATCTGTTTCATAGTGCTCGATGTTCTCTCTGTAACCTCGGCGCTCAAATCAGCGCTTCCGGTTGGAATCAATCCCTTCTGGAAGCTGTCTTTCGTTTTCAAGTGTTTGACTGATTCGGTGGTTCTGGACGACTTCAAGACCGCTTTGGACAGACTGAGGGCATTCAAAATGAGTCGACTGGGCAGCTTTGCCATGGATGCAGGAGATCACAGAAGCAAACAGCACAAGGAGGAGGTTCAAAACGCGAACAACTGGAAAAGCCCACCCACCAACAGAGATGCTGCTCATCCAATTAGCCAGCTTCCGCCAATGCCTAGTTCTGATGACGATTATATCCAGAATCGCTGGGAAGACGTCAAGCCTGGCCGAACTGATCACATTGAGGATGACCAATATGCAGCCATAGCAAGGAACGCCTCTCGAGATCGTGATGTCGAAGTGAATCCCTTCTCCGCGATCGATTATGCTGATCCCCAGAGAGAGGCTAGTGACACAATCAGGCTCCAAAAGCAAACAAGCTGGTTGAACAATAGGAGGTCGTCCGACGACCTATCCGACGGGGATCCGGATGTCGAATATGCCATGGCTGTTAGGGAAATGACCCATGACTCCCTGGACGACCCTAACAAAAAGAACAAGTCGATAGGAATTGCGAGGTGATGTAAAGCCTAATCTTCCTCCCTCCTGTCGCCCTCATTTGATAGGGGGGTTAGATCTGCTACTCAGCATGATGCGATTGTTGCTTACCAGAGGAACCTACCGAATTTGAGAACGTCAGACGCTGAAGAATCGCTACTGACGTTCCGAAACGGCATCTGAGGAAGCCAGAGAAGTGGCTTTCTCAATTATCTAACACGCGACAATGCTACCTTGGTTTCTAAATCTATCATCGGAGCTTGAAGGGATCGGCGTGGCAGGCTCACAGTTGTGGCCTGGTACGAATATGAATGTGAATTCCGGTGTGGGGGGGATCACTATTGCCCTCGTATGCACACACACACTCGCCGAAATGACGGGATGACTTTCAACAGGGGGTGGACGAACTGCGCAAGGGTAAGGAAAGGATTGTGATTATTGTGGAGAGACCCGGCCAGCTTCAGTAAGTTGGGTACTAAAATTAGGATATCAAAGGGGTTTTGGGTATTAGCGATATCGATGTGATACCCATTTAGGACGCTTGTATATAAAGGCTTTAAAAATGATAAATATATGCCATGAGTTGATGTGGATGAGCAATGAAACACATGAAGCTTCCCTGAATCCTCGGTAGCACGAGCCCCTGGAGCCCCCTTATGCACATCATTCTTCAGGCGTTCGATTCATGGCGTGGAGGATTAAGGTAAGCTTAGCCTGTTTAGGTCATCCAACTAACTATATACAACTTAGCGGCGGTAGTCTCCTCGAACTCTCCAGCGGTTGGCTGCAAGTGCCGGGGACTTCCAGTAGAAATAATTCTTGGCGCATTGGACGCGTTACTGGCACTGCGCGGTGGCCCAAAGCCGAAGGTGAACGTCTGTAACAACTAAGTTCCTACTTTGTCAAGTTCCCATTGTTTTATCACCAACAAGAACCTTCCCCCATCTTCTTCCACCCTTGTCAATCTATTCAACTGGCATCGTGGTTGGCGTTTAGGGCTGGTTGATTCCTGAGATGCAGCCCAACAATTTGGCGGCGGAATCGTCTTGTCTGGACACACTAGAACTACTTCGCAATGGAGGTATTGTCGCCTGCTGCCCCTACCAATGGGACTTCCGATCAAGCGATCCTGGAGCCTGTTGATCCCATCATCGTCCTTGAACATATCGCCAACCTAATAGAAACGACTCTCGGTGCTGCGAGACGAGAACTGGAAGCCGTTGGCAGTCTGCTGTCGAAATCCAGCCATGCCGAATCGCTGCACCAGTGTGCCCGCTTTGCGAGTGAATCTCAAATCACTACCTTGTTTGCACGGAAGGATATCAGGGAGGAGATGGTGAATGGCCATGATGATACGCCAAGTGAGTGCAACAATGTTGGCTCCGTGCACTCCCCTAATCTGCTGGCAGAGATCGATCATGTCTTTACCCTGTCATCCGAGTTTTCCCCCACCGATACAACCGTCGCTTCCCTTGCCTTCCTCAAACTCTCCGGGCCTCTTGATGCACGAAAAAAGATCGCGACGCAGATACAAGTGTCGAACCTCCCGGGATCGTACGCCGTCAACAATGACGAACAACGACAGATTGACAAAACTTCTCCCTATGATGTTGTCTATTCACTCCTGCACAACGTCCTCAGTCCCTACTTCGAAGCCTACACTCGAACTCAAGATTCGAGCAACCGAAACTGGTACGATGCTCAGGCGAAGAGCGGCGTCCCCGGAGCCAGGAGGAGAATCGCGGAACTAGAAATGAGCCTTCTACACTTGGCGCAGAACACGGACATTCCCCTGGTTCGTCTCAGCATGCACGAAGTGGTGAACCTCGCTACTCAAGAGGCGGCTTTACACGGAAAGACGCCGTCCTTGCAGGACATCCCACCTCATATTCTCGACGACCCGACGGTTCAGAACAGCCTTCAAGCTCATGTTAACGGGTGGATTAAGTCAATTCAAGAGGTCACCAAACGAACAAAAGACCCCGCTTCCAATTCTGCTCGTCAAGAAATCAACCTATGGCTTTCACTAGAGTCAGCTCTGAACAGATTGGCGTCTGAGATAAACTCCGAAGGCGTGAAGTTGACATTCGATATCCTCAAGAAGGCGAAACGACAACAGGTCCTTATAAGCTTCGAAACGGATACGGGTCTCAAAGATGCAGTTGAAACAGTGCGCAATTATAACAATCTAATGAGAGACTTCCCACTCGACGAGCTGTCTTCTGCTGTATCTCTCTCCAAGGTTGCAGACGCTCTGTCACAGATCTTTACACACTTGAACAGAAAATGGAGGGTGTGCAATTACCCCATCAGACGAGCACTGAAACTGGTAGAGGGCATTTCTGAAGATATGGACAGCCAGATTCACCATCTTCTGCAAGGGCGGTCAATAATGTCACTTCCCTGGCTTGAGTTTGAGGAACTCATGAGATCGGTCAACACCGTTTGGGACACATGGGACGAACAAATCAAGAGTTTCACCGCTGTCGCTCGAGAGATCACGAAGCGGAAGAACACTGAATTTGTGCCAGTGAAAGTCAATCCCAGACATTCTTCAACACAGGATCGCTTGCGCTACATCCAGAAATTCCGGAATGAACATGAACAACTCCAGAAAACCATCCTAAATGTGCTCGGCTCAAAATCCGGTGCAAACGGTCTTTCACGTACGGAGGAAAGTGGGGCAGCGATCATTGAAGAGCTGGGAGGCGCTGATGCAGTTGAGGAAGTTGCTAACGCGTATAACATCGTCCGCCATGTCGATGTACTAGATGTTACTGAGAAAGGCACTGCAGTATGGGCACAAGCCGAAGCTGAATACACGGAGAGGACGTCTCGAGTGGAAGATTCAATCATTGCGCGCCTGCGAGATCGTCTAGGAAAGGCCAAGACAGCAAACGAGATGTTCCGCGTCTTTGAGAAATTCAATGCGCTCCTAGTCAGGCAGAAAGTTCGCGGTGCCATCGCTGCTTATCAAACTCAACTCCTGGAAAATGTCAAGAGTGCCATTGCAGCCTTGCATGAACGCTTCAAGCAACAGTATGGAGGGTCAGAAGCTCAAATGATGGCTCAACTTCGAGACATCCCCCCGGTTGCTGGTGCTATTCTTTGGGTACGACAGATCGAGGCGCAGCTCGACAATTATATGTCTAAAGTTCAGGCCGTCCTAGGTGAGGACTGGACGCTGCACGCGGACGGCCAGAAATTGCAAGCAGAAAGCAATATGTTTCGAAAGAAGCTCACTACACGAGACATCTACGAAGCGTGGCTTTATGACATTCAGTCGCGCGAGATTTCCGTCACTGGACGACTATTCTCCATCGCGAGGAGTCGAGGAACAAACAATGCTATGGAGCTTACAGTGCACTTTGATAATCATGCGATATCGCTATTCAAGGAGGTCAGAAACCTGACGTGGTTGAACTTTCAGATACCACATCGCATTTCCACCACGGCTAAACAGGCCCAAAGAGTGTATCCGTATGCATTAAGCCTCATGGAGAGTGTCGCTGGATATTTCTCAGCGGTTAGAGCCATTTCGGAGATGCCCAACATGGCGCCACTGTTGGCAGGCTACCAAAAGGAGGTCCAGCGGCTCTTTGAGAAAGGAATCCCCTTAAAATGGGAGTCTTTCATTCATTCCTACGAGTTGCACATCAAGTCGAAATCTACGACATCGGAGTCCGCTCACGTTCAGTATGTACGAGATTTGGCATTTGCAGTCACAACCTTACAGAACAAGACTGCAACAATCTACGAGTTGGACCAAAGCATTCAACTGGCTTTGTCTGAAGTTAAAACATGTCCGTACTCTACAAAAGCTTTCCAGACACAAATGGACCTCATTCAGATCGCTGTGGATAAAATGAATCTGGAAAATTACGCGAACCTTCCCGCATGGGTTGCACAATTGAACTCACAGCTGGATGAGATATATGTGTCTCGGTTGCAGCATGCCCTGAAGCATTGGACGAATTCTTTCATCTCCTCTAATGGCCAGGAGGGTATGGTGTCATCATTTGTACCTGGCGAGGAAGCCGTGATCAATGTCCATTTTGCCGCTACACAAATTGAGATCATGATGAACAATCAGACCGTTTTCGTGGATCCTCCATTGAATTTCGTCAAATCAACCTGGCTCAAGCAGCTCGAAGACTGGCTCGATATCCTATGCCATCTACCACAGATCAGAGCCACGCGTTACCAACTAACAGCTACCGCCGGTATGGTGGAGGCATCCCCTTTGTTCACGAGCCTTCCTCTCCAGAATGTGGAAGCCTTGCAGACCGCGTATAGCGCTGTCAATTCGAAGATTGCCGAAATGTCGGCGTATCTGGAGGAGTGGTATACATACCAAAACCTGTGGGACCTGCGCAGTGAGCAACTGCATGAGGATCTCGGGAACGATCTCGCTCAATGGCACCAGTTACTACAGGAAGTCCGCCACGCCCGCACGACCTTTGACACCTCCGAAGGACGGAAAACGTTTGGTTGTGTGACCTTCGACTATGAGCAAGTGCAGTCGAAGATCACACAGAAGTATGACCAGTGGCAACACGAAGTGACCAGCAAATTCGGTGGCATTCTCGGCAATCGGATGGCGGAAGTGTTCACTGATATGAAGCGAGCACGGTTAGAACTTGAGAACCAGTCGCTCGAGACACATTCCACTGCCCAAGCTGTTGCATTCATTACCACCGTACAACAGTGCAGACGTAATGCGGCTTTATGGGGCCCCGAGGTTGATATCTTTCGACAAGGTCAAACCACCCTCTCGAGGCAACGTTACAATTTTGGAAGCAACTGGCTTTCTGCGAATCAAGTCAGCGACGAATGGGACTCGTTTGAAGATATCCTCAATCGAAAAAGCAAAATTGTCGAAGACCAGACAGAAGCATTGCGTGCGAATATCCTAGCAGAAGACAAATTGATCAGTGGCCGAGTCGCCGATATTGTTGCACAATGGTCTGAGGAAAAGCCTGTCTCGGGGTCGATAGCTCCTGCTGAAGCAGCTGAATTGCTTCGAAACTTCCAGGGTCGCATGGAGAAGCTCCAAGGCGAGGCCGAAACGGTGTCTAAAGCCAAGGAAGCGCTTGCGCTACCCTCGAATCGAAACGACAGTTTAGCCACAGCTATGGAAGAAGTCAGCGATTTCATGGCCGTATGGACTGCCTTGTCAACTATTTGGCAAAGTGTCGATGAACTTCGAGACACACCTTGGGCAAGTCTACAACCTCGAAAACTTCGACAATCACTGGACGGACTCGTGAAAATGACAAAAGAGATGCCCAGCAGAATGCGACAGTATGCAGCATTTGAATATGTACAGAATGCTCTTAAGCAAATGATCAAGACCAATCCTCTTCTGAGCGATCTCAAGTCGGACGCAATCCGTGAACGTCATTGGCTCAAGATCTACAAGGCTTTGAAACCGAACAAACGATACTCAGAGGTTTCAATGACACTTGGAGATGTCTGGGACCTGCAGCTTGCGACCAGCGAATCCACAATCCGAGACATTATTACACAAGCACGTGGTGAATTGGCTCTTGAAGAGTTTGTGAGACAGGTGCGTGATACTTGGCAGAACTATCCACTCGAATTGGTCAACTATCAGAACAAATGTCGCCTTATTCGCGGCTGGGATGACCTCTTCACAAAATGCAGCGAGAATCTCAATTCCCTTCAAGCTATGCGGCATTCTCCTTACTACAAAGAGTTCGAGGACGAAGCATCATCATGGGAAGACAAACTCAATCGTGTACATGTGTTGTTTGATGTCTGGATAGACGTTCAACGTCAGTGGGTTTATCTCGAAGGCGTCTTCACAGGGAACAACGACATCAAGCACCTGCTTCCGACTGAATCTAGCCGGTTCTCGAATATCAACACTGAATTCTCTGCTGTTATGAAGAAGGTGTACAAGTCTCCATTCGTGATGGACGTGCTGGCAATTCCTGGGGTGCAAAAGTCCCTCGAACGACTCGCAGAGCTCCTAAGCAAGATTCAGAAAGCACTCGGTGAATATCTGGAGCGCGAGCGGGTCTCATTTCCTCGATTCTACTTTGTTGGAGATGAGGACTTGCTTGAGATCATCGGCAATAGTAACGATAGCACTCGTGTTGCAAAACATTTCAAAAAAATGTTTGCTGGTATCTCTGGAGCAGTTGTGAGCGATGACAGCACAATCACTGCCATTACGTCGAAAGAAGGCGAAACTGTTGTTCTCAAGAAAGAAATCTCCCTAATCAAGCTTCCCAAGATCAATGACTGGCTCACTGCATTGGACAACAGTATGAAGCAGACCTTGGCCGAGCTGTTAGCAGAAGCTACTGTGGCGTTCAGGCCCTTGTTTACATCTCCTGAATTGAACAGTGTCCAGCTTCACGAGTATATGACGGCATATCCTGCCCAGATCATGATTCTCGCTTCTCAGGTTGTCTGGACTGACCTTGTGCGAGAATCGCTAGAAGATGCTGGCAATGGACTTTCGAAGCTCCACGAATACGAGGCAAGATTGTTGAGCCTACTGGCAGAGAGTGTGCTTCAGGATCTTCCCGCTCTTACACGCAAGAAATGCGAACACTTCATTACCGAAGCTGTGCACCAACGTGATGTCATAACTAAGCTTATAAATGCGGAAGCTACCTCACCTGGGCACTACATCTGGCTCTTGCAGATGCGATATGCTTACGATCCTAATGCAGAACTCATGTCCCGGTTACGTGTCGAGATGGCTAATGCTGTCCTAGAATACGGCTATGAGTATCTTGGTGTACCGGATCGGCTTGTGAGAACACCACTCACTGACCGCTGCTTCTTGACATTGACCCAGGCCCTGTGTCAGAGACTTGGTGGCTCCCCTTATGGCCCAGCTGGAACTGGTAAAACGGAGTCAGTCAAGGCTCTAGGCTTACAACTCGGTCGATTCACCCTTGTTTTCTGCTGTGATGACACCTTTGATTTCCAGGCTATGGGCCGCATCTTTCTCGGATTGTGTCAGGTTGGTGCTTGGGGCTGCTTCGACGAGTTCAATCGGCTTGAGGAAAGAATTTTATCTGCAGTTTCTCAACAAATTCAAAATATCCAGATTGGACTCAAGAACAGCACCAACGAGCAAAAAGCACAAATTGAGCTTGTCGGTCGTCGCTTCAAGGTTAACACAAATACTGGGTTATTCATCACCATGAATCCTGGATACGCTGGTCGTTCCAACCTGCCAGATAACTTGAAGAAACTCTTTCGAAGCGTGGCAATGTCAAAGCCGGACAAGGAACTCATTGCTGAAGTTATGTTGTTCTCTCAGGGATTCAAGCAAGCGAAGCACATTTCTTCTCAAGTCATTCCCTTCTTCGACCACTGCGCCCTTCGTCTCTCGAAGCAGCCTCACTACGACTTTGGGTTGCGAGCTTTGAAAAGTGTTCTCGTTAGTTCTGGTGGACTCAAGAGACTTCGTATGCAAAGTGGGGAAGTCCTTGATGATAATGAACAAGTTCTGGAACCTGAGATCATTGTTCAAAGTATCCGAGAGACGGTGTCACCGAAGCTCATCAAGCGAGATGTGGAAACATTGGTCGAAGTTCAAGCCCAGGATTTCCCTGGAGTCAATTACGTCCCTGCACATTTGACAGAGCTCACTGCAGCCATCAAGCAAGTCATGGAGGAGGAAGGTTTGACACAGAGCGAAGCCTGGATGACCAAGATTTTGCAGCTTTATCAGATCCAGAATATCCACCACGGTGTCATGATGGTTGGTCAGTCGGCTTCTGGCAAGTCAACTATCTGGAGAGTCCTTCTCCAAGCTCTCCAACGAGTTGAGGGTATAGAGGGCGTTCATCACGTTATCGATCCGAAAGTCATGTCAAAAGAAGCACTTTATGGCAGCCTTGATAGCACTACTAGAGAGTGGACTGATGGTCTTTTCACTGGTATTTTGAGAAAAGTGGTTGACAACCTCCGTGGTGAAGAAGGAAAGCGACACTGGATTATCTTTGATGGCGACGTCGACCCAGAATGGGTGGAAAATCTGAACAGCGTGCTTGACGACAACAAACTTCTCACGCTCCCCAACGGTGAAAGATTAAACCTCCCCCCTAATGTTCGCATTATGTTCGAAGTTGAGACCTTGAAATATGCGACCCTTGCAACCGTTAGTCGATGTGGAATGGTCTGGTTCTCCGACGACACCGTGACACCTTCTCTAATGGTCGACCACTATTTGCAAGCATTGGAAACTCGCAATTTCGAAGACCTCGAAGATGAGATCAAAGCTTCGGGTCTTTCTTCTCGTTCGCAGGACACCCAACGGCATGTGGTTGAAACACTAAGGGGTCTTATAAACCGCGATGACTTCCTGCTCCAAGCCTTAGAGGCGGCTATCAAACACAAACACATTATGGAGTTCACATCTGCCCGTGCTCTCGACAGCCTCTTTAGTCTGTTGGCTAAAGCATGCCGAACCATACTAGAGTATAATGTTTACCATCCAGAATTCCCACTTGACCCCGAACAGATAGATGCTTTCATCTCTAAGAAGCTACTTCTGGCTACTGTTTGGAGCTTTGTTGGTGATGGAATGCTGACCATCCGAAAACAATTCGGCGACTTCATCACTAGCATGACAAATATTGACCTTCCAAGTCTTGATGAAACTATCTCTCTGATCGACTATGATGTAGCGCTGCCTCACGCCCAATGGGTGCCATGGCTATCCCAAGTACCGACCATTGATCTCAACACTCATTCAATCACGCAGACCGATGTGATTATTCCAACGATTGACACGGTTCGCCACGAAGATGTCTTATACTCCTGGCTTTCGGAACACAAACCACTGATGCTTTGTGGTCCCCCAGGTTCTGGCAAGACAATGACCTTGTTTAGTGCCCTTCGAAAGCTTCCAGACATGGAAGTTGTTGGCCTCAATTTCTCCAGTGCCACTCAACCGGAACTAATCATTAAGACCTTCGAACAGTATTGCGAGTACAAGAAGACCCTAAATGGCATGGTGCTCTCGCCAACTCAACTGGGCAGGTGGTTGGTCATATTCTGCGACGAAATAAACTTGCCTGCACCTGACAAATATGGAACCCAACGTGCAATCAGCTTCCTGAGGCAACTTGTTGAACAGAACGGCTTTTGGCGCACTTCCGACAGAGCTTGGGTGAGTCTGGAACGAATACAATTCGTCGGAGCTTGCAACCCGCCTGAGGATGTTGGTCGTCATCCGATGGGAGACAGATTCTTGCGGCATGCCCCTGTTGTGCTGGTCGATTATCCGGGAGAACTTTCGCTTACGCAGATCTACGGCACCTTCAACAATGCTGTACTCAAAGTCATTCCTGCATTGAGAGGATTTGGTGATGCGCTGACGCACGCCATGGTCGACTTCTATCTCAAATCTCAAGCCCGCTTTACCCCAGATATTCAGCCACATTATGTTTATTCCCCGAGAGAGCTGACGCGCTGGGTCAGAGGTATCTATGAAGCTATCGCTCCACTTGAACATCTTACTCTGGAAGGATTGATCCGCATTTGGGCCCACGAGGCACTTCGACTGTTCCAGGATAGGCTGGTTGAGGATGACGAACGAGCATGGACGGCCGATATGGTCAAACAAACGGCATTGGAACACTTCCCGACTGCAGATATCGATACTGCTTTACAAGGTCCTATACTCTTCTCGAATTGGCTCTCCAAGAACTATGTTTCGGTAGAGCAGGATCAACTACGTGAATTCGTCAAAGCTCGACTGAGAACGTTCTGCGAAGAAGAGGTCGACGTTCCACTCGTGCTATTCAATGATGTCCTAGAGCATGCGCTCCGCATTGACCGAGTTTTCAGACAGCCGCAGGGACATCTCATCCTTATTGGAACCAGCGGTAGTGGAAAGACCACACTGTCAAGATTTGTTGCATGGATGAATGGGCTGAGCATATTCCAGATCAAGGTTCACGGTCGTTACTCGGCTGAAGACTTCGATGACGACCTGCGTGGTGTGTTGAGAGCCTGTGGTTGCCGTGGTCAAAAGATCTGCTTTATCATGGACGAATCAAATGTTCTGGACTCGGGATTCCTTGAGCGAATGAACACACTGCTTGCCAACGGCGAGGTCCCAGGCCTCTTCGAAGGCGATGAATATTCTGCACTCATGACTGCGTGCAAGGAAGGGGCTCAACGTCAGGGCCTTTTGCTTGACTCTCAAGAAGAACTTTACAAATGGTTCACCCAACAAATCGTGCGAAATCTGCATGTGGTTTTCACTATGAATCCTCCTCAGGATGGTCTTTCGTCAAAAGCTGCCACAAGTCCAGCATTATTCAATCGATGTGTTCTTAACTGGATGGGCGATTGGTCAGATCAAGCGCTTTTCCAGGTGGGATACGAACTTACCCAGCAAATCGACCTGGACAAGCCCAACTTTACGGCGCCTGACAGCATAACAAGAGCATATCATGACCTTGCCTTACCTGCCTCTCACCGCGATACTGTCGTCAATGCAATGGTCTATATCCACTATGCTGTGCAGAAAACAAACGAACGCTTGGAACAACATCAAGGTACAGTGACTTACCTCACCCCTCGACATTACCTGGATTTTGTCACGCAGTTTGGGAAACTCTTCAGTGAGAAACGTGGAGACCTGGAGGATCAACAACGACATCTCAATGTCGGTCTTGAGAAACTACGGGATACTGTGGACAAAGTCTCAGATTTGAGGGCAAGTCTTGCTCAGAAGAAAAAGCAGCTCGAGCTGAAGGACGCCGAGGCGAACGAGAAACTTCAAAAGATGGTTGCTGATCAGCGTGAAGCCGAGACCAGGAAGACTGCTTCTTTAGAGGTACAAACAGCTCTGGAGAAGCAAGAAAAGGAAGTTGCGAGTCGCAAAGAGATTGTGTTGAACGATCTGGCTAAAGCTGAGCCAGCTGTTCTTGAAGCACAGCAAAGTGTTAGCAATATCAGAAGACAACATCTGACGGAAGTCAGATCTATGGCCAACCCCCCATCTGGTGTCAAACTTGCCCTCGAATCAGTCTGCACGCTGCTCGGAAACAAAGTTGATAGCTGGAAGAGCATTCAAGCTATTGTGCGCAAAGACGATTTCATCGCAAATATTGTCAACTATGACAATGAGGCCCAGATGACATCGAATCTGCGACAGAAAATGCGACATGACTACCTCTCCAACGACGACTTCACATTCGAAAAAGTCCATCGTGCCAGCAAGGCTTGCGGTCCCCTTGTGCAGTGGGTTGAAGCACAGGTGAATTATTCTGAGATATTGGACAGAGTAGGTCCTCTAAGGGAAGAAGTTGAACAACTAGAAGAACAAGCCCTTCAGACAAAAGCAGAAGCGAAAGCAATTGAAGAAACCATCATCAAGCTTGAGGGTAGCATTGCGACCTACAAGACAGAATATGCCGCCCTTATCAGTGAGACACAGGCTATCAAGACTGAGATGTCCCGAGTTCAAACAAAGGTCGATCGAAGTGTACGCCTTCTAGATAGTTTGTCGTCTGAACGAGTCAGATGGGAGGCCGCCAGCAAGTCCTTTGAGACACAGATTCAGACACTCGTCGGTGATGTTGTTATTGCCTCCGCATTTCTTGCATATGCAGGTCTCTATGATCAACAATTCAGAAAGAGCATGGTGGATGATTGGATGCATCACATGTCACAATCTGGTATCTTGTGCAAGGCTGATGGTTCAGTCTTGGGCTATCTCTCTTCCGCAGACGAGCGCTTGCAATGGCAACGCCACTCCCTCCCCGCCGATGATCTGTGCATGGAAAACGCCATCATGCTTAACCGCTTCAATCGGTACCCATTGATCATTGACCCCCCTGGCCGAGTCACTGAATTTTTGAAGCAAGAGCATCAAGGACGCAAATTGACTGTCACAAGTTTCTTGGATGACGCCTTCACGAAGCAACTTGAAAGCGCCCTTCGTTTTGGTAATCCGATTTTGATTCAAGATGCGGAATACCTAGATCCTATCTTGACCCATGTTTTGAACAAGGAGTATCAAAAGACAGGTGGACGAGTCCTCATACAATTGGGCAAACAGGAGATCGACTTCTCGCCCAGCTTCCAACTCTATCTGTCGACTAGGGATCCATCAGCAGCGTTCGCTCCGGATGTATGCAGCAGGACAACTTTTATCAACTTCACCGTCACCCGCAGCAGTCTTCAAACGCAGTCACTGAACGACGTTCTTAAGGCTGAACGACCAGATGTTGATAAGCGACGTACTAATTTGGTCAAGATGCAAGGAGAGTTCGATACAAACCTGAGACAATTAGAGAAACGACTTCTCCAGGCACTAAACGAATCTAGAGGCAATATCCTCGACGACGACAATGTTATCCAGACTTTGGAGACCCTGAAGAAAGAAGCCGCTGTCATCACAAAGAAGGTGGCTGAAACCGAAGGGGTAATGGCAGAGGTTGAACGCATCACCCATAGTTACAGCCAAATTGCCAATGCGTGCAGTGCCATTTTTGCATTGCTAGAACAATTGCACCATCTCAACCATGCCTATCGATTCTCATTACAGTACTTCCTCGATATCTTCAACTTCGTTCTGCATCACAATCACCATTTGACGAACAAGACGGACTACCAAGAACGTGGCGAAATCATTCTAAAAGATATTTTCGTGGAGACTTACAGACGCACATCCCTGTCGCTATTGCAGAAGGATCGTATTACGCTTGCCATACTGCTCGTCCGAGCCATGCCCTTTGACCTTGATAGGACTGCACTTGAGTTGATTCTTGACGATCGGCCACAGTCTCGTGATGGCAGTCCATTCGATACAAGTCAAGAAGATGTGCTGGCTGCTGTGAGACGACAGTCTGTCTTCAGGAAGGAATTGATTGACCCCTTGAGCTCATCTTGGAAGCAATTTATGTCTGCAGAGCGTGCCGAGCATTGTGTGCCGGTCGTCTGGGACGTACAGGACAATGCTGTCAACGAGAACCTGTACAAGTTGCTCCTGGTCAAGCTTGCCAGACCAGACAGATTCCTCCCTGCTGCTGAGACTCTAGTTATCAGTGTGCTAGGTCCAGAGATTTTCCAAGGCAGCGATGATCTGGGAACCATTGTCCACCAGGTCACATCTACTGTTCCCATCGCACTCTGCTCGAACCCCGGTTTCGACGCGAGTTACAAAGTGGATGCTCTGGTTGAGAAGCAAAAAGCAACTTGTGCTAATGTTGCAATGGGCTCTGAAGAGAGCGTTGCCAGCGCTGACAAGGCAATCACAAGCGCTGCATCAAATGGGTCCTGGGTACTGATCAAGAATGTCCATCTTGCGCCTCAATGGCTACAGAGTCTTGAGAAACGAATGTCAGCGCTCAAAGCTCACAGCGATTTCCGGTTGTTCTTGTCCATGGAGTCGAGTCCCAAGATCCCCGTCAATTTGATCAGAGCCTCCAGGTCTCTGGTCTATGAACAGCCCGCAGGCATTCGGGCCAATATGAAGGACACTCTGACCGTTCTTTCCGATCGTGGCACTCGAACACCTGTTGAAAAGGGTAGATTGTACCTTCTCCTCTGCTTCCTGCACGCGCTTCTGCAGGAACGATTGAGATATGCACCGACCCTTGGTTGGAAAGGACTTTGGGAGTTCAACGACAGTGACTACGAATGCTGTTCATTCATCATTGACTCGTGGATTGATTCGATCGCTCAAGGACGGTCAAATGTTGCACCTGTGAAGTTGCCGTGGGATTTGATTCGAACATTGATTGCAGAGATGTACGGAGGCAAGATCGACAATGAGGAAGACTTTTCACTGCTCAAGGATATTGTGCGCAAGATCTTCGATCCGGCAGCTTATGAGAACGACCATGAGCTCGTGTCGATTCCAGATGGACAGTCACTGAAGGTACCCACGGGTACAACTATTCGCGATTTCCTTGGATGGGTGGACAAACTGCCCGAGCGTGAGCCACCTACCTATCTGGGGCTCCCCTCCAACGCCGAGAAGCTGTTGTTGATGGGACAAGGACGCGAAACCATAAGCAATCTGGCACGGATTACGGACTTGCTCGAGGAAGGGGAACATGTGGATCCAGCTGACGAGACGAGAGACAGCTAAAAGGGGGGGGATCACTATCAACATTGGTCTTTTACAAAAACTGTCATCTTTATGATTATCGCAAGCACGGATACATGTCTGTTTTGGAGTGGGAAGGAGCTTTCTTGGTTGGGGATGGAATGATTATTGGCTTCCTTCGCTACATAGTATTAAATAGCGCATGGCGTTGAGGGCGTTGAGCATTAGGTCAAGAACTCCTTTCTTTGAGGCTCTAAGGACCTCGATCTTACGTAGAGTTCACTTCATAGTTATGTATGAGCACCCAGGTTCTCAGCTGCATGATCTCCAGGATATTTTGTGCTTATAATGTGCTTCATGCGAAAATGATGCATCGAATATTGCAAGACATTTCAGACATAAAGCAGACGTGGGGTTCACGTGACCAGAGCACGTCCGGAACAGTTTCCTAATTAGAATCGAGATAAAACTAACCACTCCAGAAAAGGCGAAGTTGATGGATGCGCCAGGTGTTCACCACGATTTGGAAGCAGTAAACCTGGCTGTTTGACTGTGGACCTACTACGATCCTCCTGCGTAGTCAACATCTTGAAATCTGTCCTGACCCTAACCGGAAGGCAGCAGTTCGTCTTTGTTCAGCATGTCCTCCTAGCCGTTGCAACTGCGGCCAACTCTCCAATTCCACCATCCATTCGTGGTAATTACACATATCATGGCCACTAGAAACAGCCTTGACGATGAGGCAGGGCATATTGACTTCCAAGCAGCCAGAATATCAGATGCCCCTCCAATACTCTCACCGGTGACCTCCTTTCCTCCGTTGCATGCCCATATGGCGGCCGACCTCGTGCCGTCCATCGCAATCGACCCCATTGCGTTGATCACGACAGAATGCATTACCATCACCTCAGCTATGCGCAAACATGCGCGCTGGTCACAATCTTCGGTGTCAGCCATCCTCGGCGGAGGCGCCTCTCGAGCCCAAGAGAAGGAAATCCAACGCTCGGGCTCGCAGAGTCGTCGTGGAGGAGGAAAAGGCCCAGGCCCCGTCATATCAGACCCGGGAAAGGCGAGGCTCAGTGTCCCCAACGCGTCCGACGATGAGAATGTTAGTCTGGCCAGTCGATGGGGGCTGCGGGGGAAGAAGGGAAAGAGCTTGCAGGACAATCCTCTTCTCTCGGCCTTTGCCCGCCTGAGGAGAGATCTGGCCGGCTGCAGGGATGTGTCCACCGTCGATGCACCTGAGCTGCTGCACCCCTTTCTACAGGTCATACGGAGCTCGTCAACAAGTGCGACTATTACGAGTTTGGCGGTCATCTCCATCACCAAATTCCTCTCCTACAACATCATCACAATGCAGAGCCCTAGGATTGCGCTGGCTATGCATCTGCTCAGTGCGGCCATCACACACTGTCGCTTTGAAGCCAGTGACACATCGGCTGACGAGGTGGTTTTGCTGAGGATACTGAGGTTGATGGAGAGTGTCATTTCACGACCAGAGGGACAGCTGCTGGGCGATGAGAGCATTTGCGAGATGATGAGTACGGGGTTGAGCATGTGTTGTCAGGCCCGGCTGTCCGAGGTACTCCGGAGGTCAGCCGAGATGGCCATGGTCACCATGTGCCAGGTCGTCTTCGGCCGACTGAAGTCCTTGAAGGTCGAAGAAGTTCCTCAGACTAGGAGTCGATCGAACACGAAGACCACACTGTTGAGTGGGGCGGACGAGCTCAAGATCGAACCCCCCATGACTGGCAGTGTCATGGGGAACGGTGAACTTGAACGGCCCAGCTCCGACGTCGAGGGTCGGGCTAGTGCTGAGCCTGGGACTGAACCAAGAGATCCGTCTGCTGTTCCACAAACAACCGTGCCCGCCATCGCGGAGAACGAGTTTGAGAATGTCGAACCTTACTCTTTACCATCTATCAAGGAGCTTTTCCGGGTCTTGATTGGGCTGCTTGACCCACACGATAAGGCTCATACTGATCCAATGCGAATCATGGCTTTACGGATCATTGATGTCGCCCTGGAGGTCGCCGGGCCTTCTATAGCTCGACAACCTACTCTTGCGGTGTTTGTGCAAGACGATCTTTGTCAACATTTGTTTCAGCTCGTCCGATCGGACAACATGTTTCTCTTGCACAGCTCCCTACGCGTTGCAGGCACATTGCTCACCACCTGCCGGCCGTTGCTAAAACTACAGCAGGAGTTATTTCTATCCTACTTAGTGGCGTGCCTGCATCCCCGTGTTGATATCCCTCAAGAGCCAGGGATCGACCCATCCCTATATGAAGGAGTACCCCAAGCTCCGAAGCTGGTCAAGCCTAGTCCTTCTCAACCCAGCAGTGGTAGGTCCACGCCTGTACCAATCAAGGACCGGCAAAAGTTGGGGCTTGAAGGGGGATCCAGAAGGCCTGAAGCTCGAGAAGCCATGGTCGAAGCTGTCGGGACTTTGGTGAGGATACCGACTTTCATGGTGGAGCTTTTCTTGAATTACGATTGTGACGTCGACAGACAAGATCTCTGCGAAGACATGGTTGGCTTGTTATCGAGAAATGCGTTTCCGGACTCGGCTACCTGGAGCACAACCAATGTTCCCCCTTTGTGCCTCGACTCATTGTTGAATTTTGTGTCATTTATGGCTGAGAGGCTCCATCAGCCGACACCGGAGGGAGCAGACCGAAGGATAGAAAAGATACGACAGCAAAGAGTACAGAAAAAGATCATCAAAAGTGGTGCTACACAATTTAATGACGACCCAAAAGCAGGCGTGGCCTTTCTGGTGAAAAATGGGGTCATCAAAGATCCCGACGATCCCCTGCAGATTGCACAGTTCTTGAAGGGAACCTCGTACGTCTCCAAGAAAGTCCTCGGAGATTTCATTACCAAGAAATCAAATGTTCGACTCTTGACAGCATTTATTGGTTTGTTCAAGTTCGAAAACAAGAGGATAGATGAAGCTCTTCGTGAATTACTTGGATCTTTCCGTCTTCCTGGCGAATCAGCTTTGATCGAGCGAATTGTCAGTACATTTACTGAGAAATACTGCGAGGAAGCAGCTCCTGAAGATATTGAAGATAAGGACGCCGCTTTCGTCCTCTCATATGCTATCATTATGTTAAACACCGATCTTTACAACCCAAATGCCTCAAAGGGGCAGAAGCGGATGACAGCCGAGGACTTCGGGAAGAACCTTCGTGGAGTCAATTCGGGCAAGGATTTTCCTCCAGAGTTTCTCCAAGAGATTTACGATGCCATTAAAGAGAACGAGATTATCCTCCCTGACGAACATGACAATAAGCATGCGTTTGAATATGCTTGGAAGGAGCTATTGATGAAGACGACCGATGCTGGTGACCTCGAGTTATGCAACACAAATGCCTTTGATGCAGAAATGTTCAAAGCGACTTGGAAACCGATCATTGCGACGCTATGCTATGTCTTCATGTCGGCTTCCGATGATGCAGTCTTCTCTCGCGTGGTTGTGGGTTTCGATCAATGTGCTCAGATCGCCGCCAAGCATGGGATTACTGAAGCGTTTGATCGGATCATCTACAGCATCAGCCAAATTAGTGGTCTGGCCGCAGAAGTTCCTCCCAGCACATCGTTGAACACGGAGGTCCAAGTCGGAAAGAAGAGGGTAATGGTCAGTGAGATGGCAGTGCGACTTGGACGTGACTTCAAAGCGCAGTTGTCGACGGTCCTCTTGTTCAGGATATTGTCCGGAAACGAAGACGCCGTCAGCGCCACGTGGATTTACGTTGTGAGAATTCTGAGGAATCTTTTCGTTAATTCGTTGATCACATTGCCGACAATTGAAGGCAGCCGACTTTCGGCGCTTGAAGCTATTCCCCTACAACCTCCGTCACAGGTGATCGATAGGGATGGAAGGCTGAGCGACAGTGGCATCTTCTCGACGTTCACATCCTATCTTTCCAGCTATGCTGCCGATGACCCTCCAGAGCCATCTGAAGAGGAGCTCGAGAACACTCTGAGCTCGGTTGATTGCGTCACAGCATGTAATGTCGATGGTGTCTTGCGACACATTGCTGCTCTACCTCCGGCTCAGATCAAATCTCTAGTCGCTGCTCTTCTGTCACAGATGGACGAGTCATCCCCAGTTGTTACGGTCAAACCAGAGCGCCCCATCCCTGTGACGGTAAGGGTTAACGGACACCGTATGCCCAAGGCAGGACCAGAATACGACCCGGGCACATTGTTCCTTCTCGAATATGCGACGCTACTTACGCTGAGGGACGAAGAGACAATAGCTGCTGCCGGCGAGGGTTTGACTGGAATCCTCCAAAATTATGTTCGGGATGCTACCAATTTGCACCCACTTGCAGCATCAAGAGTCGTCCATTATCTCCTGGAGTTGTTACGTCACAGCTATGTAAGTGATATATCATTCAGGAATTCCGCGGAAACTGACATCGAGCAGACCCACGATTTCATGCGTGCACCAGTGGTCATGCATGCTATCTCAAGTTTCGACGACAACGTGCTCGACCGAACTGCCCCCACTGTCATGCAGGGCCTGGCTCGTATCATATCCCAGCCAGATTCTCTACGGAATGAAGTCACTAAATCACCGGATTTCTGGTCTACCTTACAAAGGCTCCACCAGCACAAGACTGAGGCCGAGCATGTATTCGAGATCTTGACTACCCTTGCCACTTCTCGGCCTACGGCGCTGACGGCAGATAATTACGAAGCCACAATCTCTCTTGCTAACGACTTCGCATCCGCCGGCTCTATTGGATCCATCCAGGAGAAGCGGAAAGACTTTGCTGCCAAGCGAGGCCATCAGGCCAAACCTGCTAGACCCGAGGATATCATCGTTGTACAGCGTGCAAACAAAGCCATTGGGCTCATTTACCAGCTCACAGATCTAACGCCGTCTTTAATCGAACAATCTCATCTCGAACGTCGGGAGGCATGGGCGGCAGACTGGAGCCCCGTCTTCCGCGCCCTATGCGCGCAGTGTGTCAATCCTTGCCGCGAAGTCCGTCATCGGGCTCTATCCGCCCTCCAACGGGTTCTTCTGGCTGAAAACGTCGCTGACAAAGAGGACCATACAGAATGGACTGCTATTTTCGACGAAGTCCTGTTCCCCCTCACGCTACGTCTGCTAAAGCCGGAAATCTACCAGCTCGACCCCGTGGGAATGAACGAAACCCGAGCACAGGCGGCAAGTATTCTGTGCAAGATCTTCCTGCGCTACCTCGAACGACTGGCCAACTGTGGCCGTTTGCCCGATATTTGGGTCAAGGTGCTTGAGCTGCTCGATCGCCTGATGAATGCGGGCACCGAGACTGATGCACTGGCTGAAGCTGTCAGAGAAGGAGTCAAGAACGTTCTGCTAGTTATGGATGGCACGGGCTACCTGGAACGAGACGGCAATCCTGCAGGTGTGGCTCCACCCCATATCGAAGTGCCACAGCCCACATCATTAGCACCTGGTGGTGGAGATGTCGCCAGCAATGAGCCAGAGGACGAAGACGAAGACCGAAACGAAGCTGATGAGGCTGGAGACCATAGCGGAGAAAACACTAAGCACGCCCAGCAGGGTAAGAACACAGCGCAACCTGCGAAAATCATGGTGTGGCAAGAGACCAACAGGCGCTTGGATCGGTTCCTACCGGGCCTCATGGAAGAGCTGTTTCCTGCTCCTTCCCCCCCTGCTCCTGCTCCTGCTGATGATGTGCCGGAGCAGCAGCAGCAGCAGCAGCAAGAAGGAGTTGAGCCAGGGAGTACGATGGTGCCGGTTCGTGGTGGTCATCCCCGCTAGCTAGCTAGCGAATTAACTAATTAGTTAGGCAGGCGGGCAAGCTTAGTAATGGAGGCTAGGCCAAGGGGAACGAAGCATAAGTTGCCCCAAAGTGTCGGTCACTACGCAGTCATGTGACTAGTAGGTTAGCAGGTGGCTAATGCAAATGTATATTCGACGCTGGTAGCTGTCATGCATGGTGTATGTATATAGTAGTAGTAGTAGTAGTAGTAGTAGCAGTAGTAGTAGCGGTAAGGCGTGAGTAGAGCGAGTCATTGAATGCTGAGAGCACGCGGGCCAAAAAACCGTATTTTTGGGCTTTGACATCTATCCGTCTACCTAGCCATGTATCTCTGCTATTGACTCAGGTGAAGGCATTCGTCCGAAATCGAATTTTACCTCTGGCCTGCCTGCTGGACCTTGTTCCCGTTACGTGCGTTTCGTGGCATTCCTCCATGCGGCCGATAACCAATAGATAGGCTGGCTGCTCGGGCTAAGGCATGTTGGTTTGTTCCGTCCATGCCATATCATTATTGAATCATAGTCAGTCGCACTGAAACCTCTGGTATTCATTCCACTAATATTTTGAAGTCCAGATTCATATCTTCTGCGTAGTCCTGGCGATCGTCACCGCCAATGTCATGCTTGTCAGATACCGGACTTTTCGACGCTGGCGTTGTCCCTTGCCTTTGGACTGGGAACATCAGTACCATTAACGCCATTGGATGATAGGTTAGTGTCTTGTTTTCCCGCACCTTGAGACTTCTTCTCCGCGCAATCGCACTTGAACCGCTCTCTGAACTCCTCGGTACTCAATTTTCCTATCACCTTCAGAGCCGACTTGCTGGCGCGGACTTTGGCATATCGAGCACCCTGGCCCCCACTCCTTGCAATGACCTTGCCGTGAACAAGCCAGCCCACGTGGACAATGACTCCCGTGACAGCCTCGTCTCCGGCCCCGTCCGCGTTGTTTCCCCCACTAGTCGAGGGCTCAGAGAATTGCCTGAGGACCTCTGCAGAGGTATTGTAGCATTTGAACTTTTCTCTGAGAAGCCGCATCAGGTATGTAATAGGATGACGATTTGCAAAGGTGTCATACGCGCGGATGTCTTTGAAAAACCACAACACGTGCTTGTCGAAGAACTTCTCGATCTCGCCAAAGTCGAACCCAGAATCCACCAAAACGGCACCGAGATAGCTTTCCACTAAATCTGCGAGTGATTTCGGAGGTGGTGTCGTTAGCTTGGTCCAGAAGTCAGGCTTCACTCCCTCCACCTTGTACATGGCGTCCACCTCTGCCGCATACTTGGTGATTTCGGCGAACAGGGATGGATTCGAGGCTGACATGAGCCTATTGAAGCCCAAAGTGACTGCAAGTGCGGCCAAGAACTTGTTGGATACCATGGCCATCTTATGTTCGGTGAGCCATTGAGGACCACGCGTCTCGTTGTTGGAGAAGAGCCACCATATGCAGACCCAGTCGAGGCATGCATCTCCGAGAAACTCCAGACGTTGGAGATCTGGGACAGGTGAATTCTGATCAGAGGAATGTGTAAATGCCGAGCGCAACAACCGCGGGTGTTTGAAGCGATAGCCGGTGACGTTTTGGACCTTACGAGCAAGATCAAGGGCCACAGGGTCACTCAAGAGCAGACTCCAGTCTGGAGCTTGATACATGGGTGCGACTTGCTGCCACGTAGAGATGTCATGGTTTTCATCTTCTACCAGCTTGGTAATGGCTTGTATTCCAAGGTCAAATTTCCGAGAGGTAGGCAAGTGACGCGTAGTCATGATGGAAGCCCCAATCACCGCTTCGCAAACGTCAGCGATAGTCTTCTGTCCCAATGCATGGCTGCGTCGCTTCCCTGTCAATTTGATTTTGCGGCCTTTGGTTTGACACAGGAATTCAGGATACCATGTGTCTCGCCACTTTTCAGCAGAACCACTTCGAATATATTGAAAGAGTTCGTACTCCGGCTTTGAAGCTACTGAGTATAGCCGTCTGTTTGAGAGCATCTCCATACGTTTGCAATGCATACCCTCTTCATTGCAAGTTGTGCGATTGAAGACAGTGATTGTTGTCATCATCTTGAGAAGAGAATCGCCAATAAATTCCAGACGTTCATAATTTGAGCTCACCTGTCGGTATGCGTCGGAGAAGTCTTCCATATTGATGACATTGTCATCTTGGATATCATGGCCCTTATCGGCTTCTGCGTTACTGTCCTGCGTGAACGCTTGCAGTGCGAGATCAAGCGGAATATGTAGGAGGTCAAGTTTGTGTAAAGCTTCGCCAACGACCAGGAAGCTTTCCAGCTTATGGAGAACAGAAGGCAAGAGTTGGAGAACACTTGCGTTCTGAAAGGATAGTCTGCCAATTTCCAACGGCTGTGGTGCAATGTAACACAATGCCATTCGAGTATGATCTTCCGGAGCTTTGTCCAGCCAATTTCGGCCTGACATGATGACGGTAGCTTCGAGAACAGGCTGATCAGGGTCATACCTATCAGCAGACGTCTTCATCCCGTGGGTCTTTGCACGATATGTGCTATCACTGAACTCAATAATAGTTCCCTTGTGCTTCTTTCTGATTTGTGCTGCACTTGCTGGGGGCGGATCCCAGATGGAGACATCTTGAACAACTTTATGAGTGAAATAATGAAAGTTTCCACTGCCGGGGTCAACGAGATATTTCTTGACCCAGTGGTTGCCCTGCTTTCGACTGGTCTGAGCTGACCAACGTTCTCGTTCTGGTGAGAAAGCTTTTCTCAGCTCTTCAAAATCAACCAAAGATTCGAAATCGAGGTCATTTAATCTGCTAGCTTCCTCCATATTGTCCGAACGGCCTGGAGCTGGTGCCACCCAATAACTCATGAGATGTGGCTCTGGTTCGTATACTTTGTTGAAAATGTCTTCGAAGACAGCATTGAGGGTAAATTTTGTCAATCCTTCAACCTGCTCAGCAGATACCGCAACGGGGTGACCACAGCGCTCGAAGATGACATGATGCTCGACGTTGTCTTCTAAGAAAACAGAAAACCTCGGTATTTCTGGAAGTAGTGCACGAGTGAAGAGCAGAAAGTGACGGTACTCAGAGCGATTGGTTGGAATAAACACAACAACACGGGTAGCGTGCAATGCTGTTGGCGCACTCAGAGTTGTCCCGTTCTCTAGCCAGAAGTCGGGTTTCAATTTCTTCTTATAGTCATCTTTGTTCTCAGGAACGGCGAGCCGTTTATTCAAATTCGCCGGCTTCATTTTTCTGAAGATGCTGTCAAGATTTTCGTCCAAGAGTTCTGCTGCACGCAATTTGTAACAGCAGTTCAATGCTGCGGAACGCTTCGCCATGACCTTATTTCGCCGGGGATCGCCGATGGCTCCTTTGACTTGCATAGCCTTTTTGTCTTCTGTGGCAGGAAGAATGACTTTGTATCTGAACATATTACCCTCAGCAGCAATCATCTCTTGATATATTTCAGCTGATTTTGCATCTGCCTTGGTTTGCAAAGAATGAACGTATCGACTCAGCAATACTAGGGAATTGTTCAGGTTGGCTTTTACCCCTGTGACAGTTTCGAAGCACTGAGAACTAGCATCTTCTTCAATGAGCTGCTTCAGCTTTGATCCCTTCCCTAGCTTTCGGTCAGGAGGTAGATGCCGACAGAAGTCTTTGATGAAGTTATCCATTTCGATTGCGTAGTGGATCGTAGATTCATGATCCGGGTTATGCTCTCCAAGCATATGGGCGTACGTTGAGCCTTTCATTCGTGCACGCCCTCTCGACTGCATGTACTGGATGGGTGTTCTGTACAAGTCAAACCGGACGACAAAACTGCATTCAGGTATATCAATGCCTTCTTCGGCTACGTTTGTGGCAAAGATCAGATTGATCCCACCATCGCGAAATCTTTCCATGACTGCTTCCTGATCTTTCCATGAGCTTGAGTCAGTCCCTGGTTGGCCCACACCAATTAAAACACCAGGCCGTAGATTTTCAATGTCCAATAGTTTGAAACAATCACAGAGAACGAATGCTGACAGTCTTTCAGTCAGGAAGACAATGGTCTTGGTGGTTGGAGCCTGTGAGTATTGATGACGCAGTTCGTCATAAAGAACGCGGAGTTTGGGTGAAAATTCATATTCACTTTCGATATCTGGCGGGCCGAAGTGGTGACGGTTCACAAGGGCAACAGCATCTTGAACCGAATGGAGTAGGCTTGCCTTCTGCTCTTCCGTCGCTTGAAGATAGCAGTCACTGCGCTCCAGATAGTTCGTAATTCTGGTGGATTCATGTGACTCGTGGGACGAAGCCAGGGCGTGCTTCCATACCCTATCTGCTGCCCAAGATCCAAGTTCTTTAGTTGCAGATCGTGAAAAGTTGAAAAACCGCTTCAAGTCATCGACGAAGCCACATAGTGCTCGAAGTGAACTACATAGCTCTGTATCATATTCGTGTTGGAGCTCAGGATATTGCCAGAAGACGTCCTTGGCTCTGGGGGCAAAGACTTCGAAAACAGATGGATCATTGGTGGTGACGATTTTGCTTTGCAGACGCTCCTCGAGATCTTTCGCTACTTGAGCAACATCGCCATGTTTAGAGTCAACGGGCGATGCAGTCATACCAAAAATGCGCGGTCGACGACCGTTAGCTCCAAGGTAGTGGTCTCGGATAATGTTTGAGTAGGGGTGCTTCTTCTTACAGTGGTGGGCTTCATCAAAAATTAGAAGGGATATCTGATCAATTTTGAGGTAGGAATGTGACAGGCAGCTGTCGAGGACGGCCGGGGTACAAACAACTACATCGTAGTCTTGAAAGATTTTGTCCCAAACTGGTCGGCTCCATAAGTTCTCGCTAGCATCTCCAAAGAGAGAAATGACAGGATTGGGGAGATTGACCTCGAGGAAGCGGGCTTGCTGCCTGGCCAGATGGACGCTATTGACCAAGAAAAAGACAATCTGAGGTGGTTGCCCATCAGCCCGGTTTATGAGCTCTTGTTCAAGGATGTACTTGATCAGCAAGGCAGCGATGAGAGTCTTGCCACTCCCGGTGTCAAGAACAGCAATGATATTCTCCTCCTTTGCTCGGTCGAAGAGTTCTTGCTGATACTCCCGCGCTTTGTCGATGAGGCTTTCATAGCCCGCCGCGCTGGCTTTTTGTGAAGGCGTTTGATCACTGGAGAGCTGTTGGGCGATTTCGGCTTGGACAAAATTGCTGAAGGCCAATGAGTTTGCCGTCTTTTTCGTGTCGAGGGAGTGCGTGGTGACGTCTGAACCGGTGTCGCTATCCACATCCAGGTCTTCAAAGCCAGTGGATAGATGTGGATCCATGTTCGTCGTGATGATATTGATCGATCAACAGCAAACTTGGAGATGGAGGAATCTTCGTCATAGCAGAATGCAGATTGGAGTGGTGGGAGAGTGACAGGTCAGCAAGGACAACAGCTCCAAGGACCCTCATCACTATAGTGATTTTGTCGCAGTCATCAAGGCCACTGACTGACGAAGGAAAGGTACGCAGGAGTTGCGATAAAAGATCTAGTTTTAGCCCGCGCGGAGAATTGCAAAGCAAACAGACGATAGGTCGACTGGCGGGTTCAGGCTGGTTACACAAGTGGCAAGATACTGAAAGTGCGAGCAGTGTCGACTAACTATACAGTGCAGTGCGTGTGTGAAGGACCGTGACCCTGAGAGCACCTACCTGACGCATAGTGAAATGTGGATGAGTGCCATGGCGTGTTCGTGTTCAAGCCCGACTTCTCCCCTCGATATCACTTTTGTTGAATTGGGAAGAGATGAAGTAATTAGAGAGCAGCAATTGCTTGTTCTCGAGTGGAGGTGGATCGACAGGGGGATAAAGACGGAGATGGAGTTGACGAGTTGCAGTTGTCGATAAAGAACAATGCACGTTCCAGGTCCTTCAGGTAAGGCGATTCCTCCTCGCGGGGGCAAAGGGGCACCTAATCAAGCCTGCGTTTAACCCCGTCGGCTCCCCCGGCCCCTGTCGGCCATGATATCATTCTCGCTACCTCTTCCAATGTTGAGTACTGAGTAATGTTGAGCGAGCTACATCTCGTGGCCACCCGCCATTCATTGTGATACAGAACAATTGATAAGGTCAACATGATTCACATCCTTGCGGCAATGGCCGCTTTTCTCTGTTTGGTTTCCGCACACGGCTCCCATTCGCAAGAAGACCTTGCCAATCCTGCCGAAGACTGGGCTCTCTACCACATGCAAGAAGAACACCGTACGCAACGCCAATCACAATGCCGTACATATGCACTTACTGATGTCCTCCCGGTGTAGATATCTCTAATTTCGATCCTTCGTCCTTCTTCTCCCTCCATGACTTCAATAATGACGGTGCTTGGACCCCAGACGAGGTCCGGCGCACTTACGGCCTCGATGATGAGTCTTTACAATCCACAGCGGCCGACACCAAAGACCGCGTCGTTCTTGACGTATTCAAGATCTTTGATCCTGTTGGCACAGGCCTGATCACACGTGATGCATGGCTCGACGCGATTCGCGCTGGAAAACAACTGCCAGATTCGAAATTGGGCCCCGGCCACCACGGCGATGACGAATATGAATATGAAATCCACCATTTCGAGAAATTCCACGACGAGAATACTGTGGTGGAAGACCTGATCCATCCGGAAGACATTGAGCATTTCAGAAAACATGAGATGAGAGAGGACGAGGAGGCCCGGGTTCTGAGGGAGCAGCAGCAAAACATCGTGGAGAGGAATATCCCCTTAAAGTTCAAGAAGCAACTATGACACTGATAAAGCTTGATTGATGATTGGCATGTTGTACGATTACTTGTAAAGGACGGGATATGGACTCATGTTGCGATAGAGAAAAAGAGTTTCAGACATTCGGCTTGATCTGGATATCAAAAACACAATGCATGACGCCAGGTGCATATGTCTTCACCTGATGGACATTGGTGCATGAAACATGGCTCTCGTTCTCTCCCTCCATCGCTTTAGCAAGTCCGTCGATCTCCTGCTCGATCTTCGCCACCGTTCCATCGATCTGATGCACATCGACATTCTCATGGACGTGCAACCAGGTTTCCTTGTCCTGAGCATCTGTCCCCCTGACCAAGGCTACTGCATTCTCCCAACTTCCTCGCGAGCTTGGAAGAAGTCCCATATTTGCATGCCTAATGTTCAAGCCCTGCTTCAACGGACCTAGGGCTTTCAACTCGTCGTGAATGTCCCTCATGACTTTTGCCGACCATTGATTGTCCCCGAGGAATGCGACACATCTGACTTCCCTGCCGCCCCCTTCCTTGATGCCCTCGGCCAAGTTTTCGGCCAGCTGTGGAATGCTCATGCCCAGCATGCTCCCTTCCCCGTCGACTTGAAGGACAAGGCACCTCCACCCATTGGCCTCACAGCCTCTCCTGAGTCCCTCGATGCTCCAAGGATTGATGTCCCAGCCCCAAACAGTCCGAATACCTCGTTTGAGGTAGCAAAAGGCAAAATACCCAATTCCCACGTAGAAATCAACCACATCGATGTTCCGCATAGCCTCTCCAAGCTCCGTCTCTGTAAGTCCTTGAAAAGCTGACATCGATTCTCCAGATCCTGGATCAAGACCTAGTATCCTCGCCTTCTCAGTGATATTACCCCGGCTAAACATGGTGTAGACCGGAGCCCAGCACTGCGTGATGCCCTTATGCTGAGAAGTCGACACCCAGAACGCTTGTTGAAAACTGTCTTCTCCAGGGGTCGCGCTGACCTTGTCGTCAATTTTGCCCGCACCCCAGTCACCAAAGAGAGGGACAAGTCCAGATGGGCTTCGTAGTACATTCTTCGTCCTTCGCGGGCCTCCACAATCAGTGTCCGTGGCCTTGTCTAATTCTACAACCTCATCGGCTGCAATCGGGGCATTAATCGCCATCCGACTAATTCCCATGCCAGCGAACCCACCTTCGACAACTTTTCGAAACAACTCTTTCCTGTCTGCTTCACTCAACGCCTCGTAGGCACTCTTCCAGCGCGGCGAATGCGTGGAGAAATTGTATGGTAGTAATAGTAACGGCGGATAGATAGTGAACCGCTTTGGCAGATCAGATATCCCCAGTGTCGATTCTTCAGTCCTCCCGATCTCAGTTGATTCCTCCATCACTGGAATATTCTTGGCGGCGCAGAATAATAAAATCCCCTTTCTCAAGGGATTGGCTTGTTGTTTGCATTTCCTCTTTTTGGGTCCATCATGAGCCATCTTGAATCCATACGACCCCGGCCCAAGGTCCCAAAATATGCACCCTCACGGGTCTGAGATTATGGTAGGGCTCGAAGGGGAGTCTATAGATCTCATAGCCTAGCATCAGGAAGACATAGCCACAAAAGGGTACTCATTACTGTTTTCTTCGAGATGAATTCTCCCATGGAACGACGTCAAAAAGAGAAATTCAGCCTTGTGGGCGGTCAGTACGTCATCGTAAGGCTGAGTTTTATATCAGCCATCTCGTTCCCTCGAGACGTCTTACCTTCCCTCTTTCCATCGCGCTGTGGAGCCCATCGAAGCAGGAATGGTGCCTACACTAATCTTCTCCTTCTCCTGCATACTCAGTCCTACCTGCCTGGAAGCGAATGAAGTGACATTCTTGCGACTTGAACGCGTAGCCCATTTGGCTCCTTTTCCAGTACCACTGCTTGTTTCAATGAATTGCTAGACCCTTCTTTCTAAGGGAGAAGGGCACGCGTGCCTAGATATCTAATTCAGTGAGGTTGGAAATGCCTAAGGAAAGAGTCCCAGCATGCGTGCCGTCTCCATCGGACAATTCTGTCAACAGGGTGATTTCCGGAAAGGTGTTCGAATACAGTGAGGACTCTTCTTTGACATCAGTACAGCTTTAGTGATATATGCCTCCATATCCAGCGTCTTGAAGCACGGGTATTCTTCAGGGACCTCAGAAGAAGTGCTTGTGCGATCAGTGGCGAACACATTGATTCCCAAAGCGGCGATATTTTTCCACAATCTGTGTCGAATCTTCGTCGCGTTCAAAACCCGGTCCTGAATGCTGTAAGACTTGTATAGTTGTGGTAGAGAATCTTCTTACCTCAGCAGGCAGGCCCGAGCTCGTGGCCCTCTATGGGGACTTCCTGGAGAACCATCGCAGAGAGGCTTTGAAACTTTTGGAAACGACATGAATGTACATTTGACGCCTGGGATCTGGCCCATGCCACGCGTCATACCCTGATTCAGTAGAACCAGCTGGCCAGAATAGTAGGTCGAGGTCCTTATGTCGAAGAACCAAGAACGCGCCAAAATTGGAGGACTACGCGAATTTCTTGCTGATCCTGAGTCGTGGTGGGATAGTCTGAAATCGATATCTCTTGCTCGGTAAATGCGAGAGCATCAGATAAGTAGCAGCTACTGAGTTAGAAGCGGACTAAATTGGGTAGGTCCTTGGACAGGATCTCCAGCAGCTTCGAAGAAGGATTTCTTGGATGTACTTCAGTATATTTCTTATTCTCTATCTTCAAATGCCTTATTATTTTCATGCTGTCGCTGCCATAGATCTGGAATACCCATCCTGAGAAGGGTGTTCGCAGCTATGTGTCGTTGATGTCATCAGGTGATCTTGGATCTCTCGTCTGAGATCTTGACAAACGCCCATGATATTCTCCAGACCACAAGGTAAATATTTTGCGTCCCATAATCCTTTAAACCGTCGGCGTCGCAAGCAGGAGAGAGCGTCGGGCCGAACCTCCACGCTAACTTCTGTGCAAGTTGGCGCCCAGCAGGAGGTGATCAGGGGAAAGAAAATATGTCGCCAATTCTAGTGGAAGCTGCCGAACCGGGTCGCGTTGAACCGTTTTGGTGCTCGAGCCTCGGTTGGTAGATACTCGACCACTCCTCTGGGTCAATCGCTTTTAGGAAGTCTTTGAGAGCTTGCGCGTGCGACATCTGGGTCATCATCCCAAAGTCCTCCGTCAATACTCTGCGTACTCGACTCGTCTCTTAAATCTCCTCTTGCCTTCTCGCTCGGGGAGCCGTCCCACCAATGTCGTTCATCCGGATTGATGTGATTTAGACATCCTGACTACTGATATGTTGTCTGGACAGATAGTGAGGTGTTTTGCATAAACTGCTCTGAAGGAGGAGCAAAGAAAGTGGTAGTTATCTTTGCTTGGGTACTGAATATCGCGTAATGAATTCAAGAAGTGGAAAAGATGATGACGATGATGACGCCGAAAATGAAGAGTTATTTTCACGCGACAATCCCAGTATATAGCAAAGACAACCCCGCGCGAGAGGTGACATGGTGTTGTATACATTTAATGAGGCAGTTCACTGTCTGCTCTGGCATGGGAGATGGTGAAGTTGGAGAGTTATCTTGACCGCTGGCTATTGTCACCATGGATGATCGAGTCGGTCGTTGTCGTGAAGAGCAGCGACCAGCGGTGACGACCTTGGGAGGCACCGCCCTAGAGGATGCCATCTTTAGGTTTGGGCGTAAATGAATGGCCAGCAGAAAGTGAAATACAATGTGACAGCCTTGTGTTGGGCCTTGGCAAGGCTGCCATCCCTGGATTCACTCCACAGCTGCCGAAATGGCGACTAATGTCAGCAATAGCCCGGAGGCCCAATAAGAATATCAAGTCAGGATATCGAAGGACGGGTGCCTTCAATTCCTTTGCGAATCTGTGGACGAGCTCGGGAAATGGTACAATGCATTTTGAAAAACCTGAGGGTTGGGGTCATTCCTCAATTGTCTGCAGGTACGTCCCGGTGACAGCCTGGGGCGGTAAATATTGTTGTAGATGAGGAGAATACTGCCGTAGATACCAAACGCTTACTGGTCCTAGCTATCGTCTGGGGTGTCTGCGATTGAGATTCCAGTCAAGAGTACATTAAGTATATCTTCCCGCACCTCTCAAGGAAGCTTCCCCAATCTAGTTTTCTCGAAGGGAAGTCGTCGGCCCGCTTCGATCGGGGGCATGCGTACCATTCCTCAGGGTGCTTGTAACCATGCTTACGCTCAAAGTCAGCCCAGCGTCTTTGGGTTTTAGATTTATGGCGGACTATCTAGGTTTTTCTGGATGCGTTTGCTAAGGAAGCGACTGGTGATAAGGAAATTCCTTTCAGGGAGGCCGGGATAGCGGGAGAGCAAAAGGATTGAATGTGACCACAAGATCTCGAGGGCTGGATATGTAATATTGTGATTTGTCGCAAAAGATGAAGAAACTGCTATGTCACAGACAACTAGCACATTGGTTGCGAGGCAGTGGCCCGTCGACTCTGTCGCCATCTAGTGAGGGATCATAGGCAGCGCTCAATGTAAATAAGTCTCACTCTTGTATCGGCAAGCTGGTACACGCCGCCGAATTGTCTCCTCAGGCTAGACATGGTGAGGACTACAAGTGCATTTCATTCTTTGAGCCAAACCAATTGGTAGTACCACATCCGAGGCTTGTCCACATCGGCGGGTTAGAAACGGCTGCAGCCACGCAAAACAAAATGAAATAGAGGAGTACAGCAACTTACCACGTAGGTTCTAACATCAGCTGTAAGTGAACAAGGTGAAGGATCTCTGCTCTGGTGGTGTATTGACTCTCATATCTGATGGCTTTTGAATTGCCAGGACACAAAGGAAACGACGAGGCTATGTCTCAGCCTCGTGGTAGTCCCGATTCTTACGAGAGGTTGGCTCTTGCATGATCCGATTGTTTGCAGAGTTGAGTGTCTCCTTGATTTTACTTAGTCTCCTTTTGAGGATTGCTGCGATCTCATTAACCAGAGGAGCAGAGGGTCGTGTTGTCTTCTGTCGCTTGATGGTGGAGGAACGATCCTCTGGTTGAAGCCTCTTCAGCTACCTAGAGTATCTTGGCTTTCCTCAAACAATCCAAGACGGGAAGAACAATGCTCAATAAATCGCCAAAGGTTGGGGGGACGAAGCACCATCTACATACATAACTTCTTGGATTACTTCCATAGGCAAAGGGAGGAAGCAATGCCATCGGCGACATTCCAATAAAGGGAACTTGTGCTGACTCGAGAGTGTTGACGCACACGTCATTCAAGCCGTCTGATACAACGAGGGCCAGCTACGCGAAAATCTTTTGTGATCAATCACAAGACCTCAAAAAGAATGTAAGCAGGAGAAATCTTGCATTTCTCACGGCGCTCAAGACACCAAAATGACCTGCGCTTCAAGATCGGGAGCTGGATACAGTACGGCAGAAATTCCAGCTCAATAGGATCCAAGAAACGTCACCTTGGGACGACAGGTGATATCTGCGGCTCAGCTAAAGGCGCACCTACCATCGCGATGACTTCGTGGCGGCAGGCTGGGGTATTTTGGCTCACAGATCATCCGAAGTTCGAAGATCAAAATTAGTGACAGCGACAACTGATATCAGGCGCCATAAGTGAAGGCTGGTAAAACCCGGCCCGCCAATCTCAAGAGGTCTGACATTCTGCCCGCCCCTTCTTTCCCCGCAAGCCTCTTCCCGGCGTGCATAGTCGATGGCTTTGATCAGCCTCCAGTCGACGCACGCTTCATTTGCCCCTGACACCTGTCAAATCGATCCACCCGGGGGAGAACATGGGCAGTTGACATGGCGAAGCAATCAAAATCGGTCAGTGCAGAGGCTTTCCAGCCACCGGGGAAGCTGAAATTGCATACCAAGTACATAGCGCTTATTACCTTGATTGATGGATCTGGAGGTGGCAGACGTCAAACGTCAAGATCGGAAAGCCTGGGCTGGCCATCCTGTAACACGTAGTCCGCGTTCAAACTTCGGATTGGGACCAGTCTGGGTAACACGAACACGGAAGGCCTGTGCGTGTCTTTGTTATCTCGGACGACGCACATGCCAGTGTCCTAATCGTTGTCTGCAGAGCCGTTTCCTGGTTGGGAAGGCTTCCGATGACGGTGACATCTGACGTACGTTTCGCCGCAGATGAAAAACTGCGGATGTACCTCGAAGCTACATCTGCAACAACAGGCTCGAGACCCGCCATGCATATGTTCGACCTTGTCAGGAGTTCAGGAGGCCGCTACGGATACTCCGAAGTTGTATCTACATTGTTTGCCACAGATTCATGCGGCAAAGGAGTTACCACGCTCTGAGACATGAGAGAGTTGTAATCTTGGTGGATTACAAATGCCCCACACAACATCGGATCCATGTGGAAATGGCCGAGTGTGGCTTTGCCAACAGAATGTAAAGATTCTGCGCATGGCAGGACATATCGGTTAAAACTCGGGATTATGCGGTGGCTGAGGTATAATGTGGCGGTGTGGCAGTGTGGCAGCCTGCAGGTGGCTGAGCCATCCTGTAGGCAGCGTCACATGATCGGATTTTTGGACGGACCTATACTGGCACATGGACGGGAGTACTTTGCCGACGCGATGGTGCAGCATCCCCACTGCCATGTGCTTGCTTGCATTTTGCAAGCCGAAACCCTACCCCATCAGGATTCAACAGTGCAGCGGCCACTGCGGGATCCTGCTGCACTGCACCTTGCCTAGGGCTGTCCCCTACCACCCAGCCCTCTTATTCGTAAGAGCCCCTTGTACCCCCATGGTCCACAATCACCCCTCTAAAAAGCAACAAGAACAGAGGGTTTCAGTGCTCACTGACCCAGGTGCTTAGGTGTTTCCCATCCCACTTACTCGTGCCTAAGGACTGGTGCCCCACTTGGGTGCCACGGTTCACAGCCTCCCAGATAATCTCGGCATAACCACCACCCCGAGAGCAACGTCCTGATATCTTACACGTTGCAAATTGCAACGTCGAAGTACATGATAATGCCACCCCACGTCTCACTACTACTGTACATTAATCAATTTTAAAAACTTAGTTTTTATTATTTGTCCATTGATATTCACACCGGCCGATACCGCCATTCTGCAACGTGCAATAATTCGCCCACCGCTATCTTCCTCAGCAGGGGAGAGGCCGTGGGGGAAATGTGCGGTGAAAGGGCTGTCTACCGGCCGGCGGCTATCGATAGCAACTCTAGAGTCTAACCATTTGGGCGCTTCGGGTTGCCCATTCCTTGAATTAGCCGGGCTGGTAAATAGCCAAATAGCCAAGGCTCCTCAAACCCATCGGATGCTCCGCGTGTTCTAGCTCACTATCTCACATCTCAGGAGGTTTCCGAGATGAAGAGCTACCCGTATGGGAAGAATCCGAGCAACAACGACACTGCGTAATTGGACCAGATTCAGGGATAATATTGCAATACTTGTTGAACCACAAACTCTGGGTGGGGGACATTTTCAAGCACAAAGTGTTACGATTTTACGTGGGTGCAACCCACCAAGGTTTGATAATTGGGACAGTGCTTGCCGAAGCAGCAACCACCAGCTCAGTTCATTTCGTGGGGAAGTCACCACCACCACCGCTTCATTTGGTTCCCATTGCCTAGTATTTTTTTCCCCTTGGTGGATGTTGAACTCTCATCCCTTTTTCTCTTTGTTTGACTTTCGTCGGCAGATATCCTTGTTATTCCAGATGGTGTCCTCGTCGCGGTCGAACTTTAGACCCCCTAAGACAATACCCCAGTGTTCCAAGACACAGGTTGCAGATGGTAAGTACCAACATCAAGAACTCGCCGAGAATTGTGAGTGTGGATGGGTTTTCTTGGCGGCCGATCAAACCAGGGAGGGGCATGGGCAAGTGTTACCTGGTTCTTAGCACTGTGTTCGTGAATCATATATCTTGGTACGGAAGTGCTCTGTGGAGTAGTAGGTAGTAATGAGATTGTTGTATCTCGGTTGGAATTCCTGCTCGGCCTCACGGATGGTTGATGATGACAAGAGTTTCTCCTGCTGCCCATCTCTGCTCGGGATTACATGAGTTTCACTCCATGGAAAAAGACCGCAAACGAGCAGAAATCTGCCGACAGAAGGCGCCGAAGGGGAACAAACTTCTCTTGCTCGTAATCGGCCACATTCCGAGCATCGCAAACGGAACCTTCGCTGCCTACCGAAGGGATGCAATCAGGTGTGGAAAGTCGTATCGCGTCACCGCAAAACCTAACCGTCGGCGGTTAACTATAACCGCCGCTCCCGGTCGGGGGGGTTCATCCGTAGATCGGCAAACGCTGACGACAGTCAAGAAAACGACGAAGACGAGTTTCGCTCGTTGAGTGTTGTTCATTATTGTCCGGAAGGGTTCAATCCGCCAGTGCGAGGAATCTTGATTTTGGGAGATTTCGTCAGAAGAGCAAGCATCAGTAATGATGATGATGGTGCAGACAGACTTGGTTGGTTTGTTCCTCATAGCCGATCGGCTTTTCGGACATGGTAATTAGCTGTTCCTTTCGCAGCCCGCACGAGAAAAGGAATTCACTGCGGCAAGTTCCGTTGGTATACGAGGGTTCCAGGGGGGAGGTTGGAATGCGGCAATATACTCAACCGGGAACCGGAAAATGTCTTGTAGCAACACGAGGTAATCGGAATGACAGAAGATGTGGTGGTGATGGTGGTTGCCGTGCGAATTGCGCTCATGCACCGTAGAATCAACTAGTCGCCTAGGATCCTCGGCTTCGGTGCTGGAGGATTTCCTACGATGTATCGAAGTGCTGCTACAGTTCGCAATACTAGGAGCTGTATGCACTCGTAGGGACCTATGCACGTATTCTGTGGAATTCAACCAGAAAAGGATACGCCAGCGACCCCAAACAGTTCTGTACCATAGTTAGAACCCTACAATTGGAGGTGTTACGTAGGGTTCTCTGTAAGGGGGGGCTTTCTGTAGGCGAAGAGTCTCAGATATCTGGGACAGTGGATTTTTGGGGCGATCTCGGGATACCTGGGTACCTCGAAGAGGACAATTGAGGGGGAAGGTAAGAAATCTGTTTCATCACTTCCATGTCAAAAGCTCGAGTTGTTTGATCTGCAAATTGGCTGTACAATGGAACGGAGATTCTGAAGGCGAGGTTGACAAGTGTTAATTGAAGAGGGCTGTGTTGTCTGGATGACTCTTGACGATGACTCGGCTCCCGAAAACAGGAATACTGCGCAGCCTCCTTCCGACTCAGCTGGCAAGGTCCTGTCGGCGTGGTTGAACAGCCACGAAATCAATAGAGACGATCATAATCAAGTGACCAGCGAACTTGTTTGTCAATAGTTGTTATTGATAAGAAATTAATGCTAACTAATAATACGGATTGGGAGTCATACCATCGACTCAACCAATGAAGTGCCCAAAAGTAAAGCCATCACAGCGGAGGCTGGGGTATCGTAGACACATGTACCATATTCCCGTGTCCATATCAACATTCCTCGTTTGGAATGGATAACGATGCAGATGCAAAACCAAATGCTCAAAAACCAATGACAAAAACGCTGCACTCGCTTGCTGATATTCAAGACAGACAGATTAAAATTAGATTCCCAGATAGATTTGTAAGGTCAGGGACCAGCCCGTGCCTGCAGCCCAAGTTCACCACATTTATTGGGGTCCATTGAGTTGAGCCAAGCCACGTCGACTTGTTTGTCGACGCTTGACAGTGCTTGGTCTTCTAGAGGAAGCCTCACCGTGACTTGCAAAGCGAACGACCTTGCGTTTCGACTCTGCATGCGTCACGGCTGCGTGCTGATGGTGGGACGCTTCTTTCTCCTGAAGCTCACGGAGGAGAGCAATTTGTTCCTCGGTAGTGAGTTCCTTCTTGGGAGAAAGGCTCGGGATTGTCTCAACAGGTAGGGAGAGCTCGTCTGCAGGACACAAGAGATCATCATCTGAGAGGTAGGAGTTGGGCTCGCTACCAAAGGACGATTGACATGATCTGTAGGGGCTGGGAAGCCAACTAGAATTGCTGCTGTCTCGACGCATAGCGATTGAAGTGCGTGGCGAGGACGTGTAGGAAGTCTGAGATGGTGTGGTGGAGGAATTGCTGTCTGAGCGCACTAGAGGATGTGCTGTCATCCACGAGGTCGACGGTGACGCACTCAGAAGTGCAGTGTAGGCAGACGTAGGTGCATACGAGAAGACGTTGTTGTTGGTGGAAGACGTTGAGTCGCGAGAATCACTACGCGACATATGCACCGAGGTCATAGCAGGTGTGATGTTTGCTGTGGGCGACGAGAAATACATCTTGTCCAATTTGCCGGGTGTCGATGTGGGAAAGAGACGATGAAGTGTGCGATTGTTTACAACCGCGTGAGTGTTATAACTCCGATTGTTGTTTGCTGCCAGGATCTCGGATTGTTTGTTGCAAGTCCTGATTGTGGTGGTGGGTGGTGATGCAATGCAATGCAAGTGGTGTGGCGCGGGACACGGGTGTGCGTCGGTCGAACGGTTGAGCGGTTGAACGCGACTTGTGGGAAGTGGGAGTGGGTGACTCAGGGTTGTGACGGTAGTGGTGACTGGTGGGCTTGCCGCGAGTCGTGTTGAGCCGAGTCGCTGAGACTGGTTGTTATATGTCTCGCAGCGTTTGTGAGTGAGTGGTGATAATGCAGGATTAGGATGGAGGTTGGTGAGAGACTGGGAAGGGTACGTGCGTGGGTATAGAGAAGTATTAATGTATGTATGATGCTTGGACCGGAAGAGAGTATTTGCCCCCTTCCCCGTGCTTCTTTTTGATTGAAATTTATCTGGCGTGGAGGATGGGATGGCGAAAATCCGGTGTATCGGATGCGACCTCGGTCGGTCCAGGTTGGGCTGGTTTGAGTTTGGATGTGGGCTTGGGTGGGCTTGATGGCTCCGTGTCTGTGCTTTGACCGGCTTGTGGAGCCTGACCCTCCTTTGGCACCGTGACCGTGGTTCCGCGAATAGATCGGAGACTAAGTGGCTGGAAGGGGGCGCTGGATGGATGGTTTCAAGATTGCGAACCGATCAATGATCAACGCAGGGGGTTGAGATGGACGAGTTACCGCGTCCCGAGTACCTCGTAAGGGGGATTGTGAAGAAAAAAACGGTAACGTTGGGGCTTGGTAGAGGCAAGGTGAGAAGTGAAAGGAAATCGAGAACAGGCAGAGATGATGTGGTTTATGTGATGACCTGAGTTGGCCTGGCCTAGGAAAGGGAGGTGAGGCAGCGAGCAGGACTCCAGCTGGGCGATAACCGGAGATGGGGATAGGAATGCGATTGGGAATGGCAATTGGGCTGTGTGGGAGTCGTTGGTTGGTGTTGGTTTGTGCTGTCTTTCCTTGGATCCGTAGGCAGAGACGGAATGAGTCGACGACTGGCCTGGCTCGTGTCGGTCTACTGACCGCCTGAAGGGAGGGAATGATGGAATGGGGGAACCAGATGCTGATGTGACACCAGTCAAGGGACTCAAGGCGGATTGATTAGGCTCAAGGCGCAAGCCACGGGGGTTCTGTTAACGAGGTGCGATGTGACGGCCTTGACGAGGGCACGACGGGGGGCTCGAATTCCTACAAGCGTAGGAAAGCGCCACGGGCAAGGGCTGAGGAGGGTCACAGTGACGGTGACCAGGGCGGATGGTTAAAAACAGGAGATGACCAGGGATGGCGAGTCAAGGGTGGCTGACGGCTCCGTTGCGGAGAGACGGATGGCGCCTGATTTTAGAAGGAGACAGGGCTCGAAGTGACTAGGGGCCTGCAGGGGGCGTTCGGGGGTTGAGGGCTGGTGGCCGAGGGCCCTCTAGGGCCTGAAGGCTCCAAGGGCACACCAAAAGAAAGCCTATGGAGAGAACGATCCGAGGGGGTAACCCCACGAAGCAGTGTCCACGGTTTCTCTTCGGCTGTGGTGACTGGTTGGCTCACAGAACCACTCCCACGCGACAGCTGCAGGTTATTGTCCAGATTCGTCGGACCGAATCGGACCCAGGGCCAAAACTAAGTTGTTGTGTTTGAGATTGATGTGATGAGATATTCAGACGACGGGATGTGTCTTTCGTGGCTTCTGTTGCTGAGTCTTGGAAATTAAAAATACAAACGGTCACTGTCCACCATGGGGTGAGACGGACGGACATTGAAATATCTCAACGAACCATGCTTCGCTGGAAAGGGGGGGTTGATTTTAGCCAGATAATACATTTACGCACAGAGTAGCCGACGATGACTACGCAAGCAGAACCAGCGCGAAACTTCGGGCTGCTACAGCAATAATTGACAGGTCAATATTGCAGAGAATTTTCCGCATTGGGAAATACCCCAATTGCCCTCGAGCGAGAGCGAAAGCGACCACCGGGTCATCTTTGCGGCACGGGAACGCAAAGGGCATGTTCTACAACACCACACCGAGGACCATCAGGCATTCCTCGCGATGGCTGATTATCGGTGCGGCCATGATTTGCTTTGTCTTCTCCTTTATTCAGCAGGATCGATTACTCTCACCCTCCATTTCAGTTGTTCTCCTCCAATGCCATGTGCGATTCATGTACGGCCTGAGTCAGAAAGCATGTTGCAATGCTCATTGGTATTCGCTGGCTGTGGTCGGAACCGATTACTTCAGCGACCTCAGGCAAGCACCCCAAGCCCTGGAATTTCCGCGTTGGGCATGCGCTGCTCCCGCACTGGCACCTAGCGCTTCCAACCGCGGAATACTAGCAACACACTCCGCACTCGGGATAGTACGAGTACTCGTAGTAGTGAGTCCCTCGTACTGCGTAGGCGAGCCCAGGCCTAATCATTCTTCCATACGATATTCCGGCCTCTGTACTCTGTACTCGGTACAAAAGGGACACAGTTCCCGCCCTCCCACACCAACACCCTGGCCTCAACCACGTCATACTTCCCAGAAGGCTTACTTTGTTCTCATCCCACGTCCTTTCCAAATATCTTGATTTCACAAAAACCAAGATCTGCACACTCGCGCCTAGAAGTCACTGTTCCATCAACCCAAATTTGCATCAGCGAAATGACTCACTGCTTGGGGCGCAGGACAACGGCCCTACATAGAGAGCAGGAATAATCGATGTCCACCCATAGGTGTACCGTGTTTCTCGACCAGTGTGTCGGGCGCCAGAAAACGTACCCTTGACTCAAGCCCAATCATGGTTGGCCCAGGCGGAGCGACCTCCGTCGGCCGCTACCCAAACCTCGTAATGATTTATGGGTAAATTCAGTATTCTAACAATTTTCGATCTCCGCGTTGACCTTGCTCCCATACTTGAATCTTGGCTTCTGAGAACAAATCTTAAGCGTCACTACGCTCAAACGCATGCTGGAAAGATCTATAGAGACGGCACTCGTCGAGCTTCAAACAAGCCGAAGAGCATCCGACGTTCTTCCATAGTGACTAAGCTGAATTTGTCCTGTTGCACCCCCCCGAAGTTATGCCTGAATTCTTTCCTCTTCTTCATGCTAAATGGTTTCCCTTCTAGGGAGGTTCACGGCACGACCTCGCGGCAGAAGACGAGGTATTGGGTACCAAATTTGAAGTGTATTTAGGGGGAGGTAGGAAGTCCTCAGTACTCCGTCCGGAGTACAGCACGGAATTCTTTCTCCCGGCACAAGTGGGACCTTCCGATGCGCCTGGGTTCATTCATATTCGTTTAGCTCGTTAGAATGCAACCCCTTCTCGTAGATAGTTGATCCGAAATGAAATATTGATCACTGTTATTGTGATGGTGACGGCCTTTAGTGGCCCACCGCTCCGAACTCCCTCTAGCTCGTCCTGAATGGAGACACTGCGAGTCTGCAACACACACAGGTGTCTACGAATACTCTTCGCATAGGCATTGAGGTATCACCGCTACCGGACTGAGTACCTCCTCGTTGCTTGGGATAGCACCTCCCCGCCGCACGGACGACGCAGGGTCCAAAAGTGCCCCACGTCCCCATCTTTGGAAGCCCAAGCTCGCAACGAACATTTTCAGCCCGCTCGGAAGACCAAACTGACGGTTCGTCTGACCAATCTCGCTTGGCTTCTGAAGCAACCACACCCTCCAATGAGAACAGATCCGTTTCTGACACGGTGTGCGGCGCGATAACCGCGGCAAAGGAGTGGTCCCCTCCTCCCCCTCCACCCACCAATCCACAGGTCCACATTCCGTGCCTTCCACCGACGGTGTGCTCGAAACGGTAACTGTCCGGTCCACCGTTACTCTCGACCTCCTTCCGTCAAGGTTAGAGATTTTAGCTTTTCTTCCACGAGGTTTTCTCAGGCTTCTGTGGGGTTGCCAGCAGAGATTGTCTTTCATTTCGGGCTCTGACTCCCGAACAAGAGAACTTGCTGGCTTCCTCTCGGTCTCTGATTTATCGCCCGGATTTGTGTGGCCTTACCCCTTGCCAATTCTTTGGGGATGTTGCAATCAATTCTGGGACAAGTATCTGACATTCTCGCCTCCTTCGAACAGTCATCTGCAGGATTATTTGATTGCTTAATCCGTAATCAATTTGTTGCCCAAGCGGTGGATGCAGTGCTTACGACGTCTGTCCTTGCTTTCCCCTACTCGGCACTCCGGCCTTGCTGCAATACTCCGTATTGCAGCACCTCAATCTACTCGTAACGGGTTCACACATGTTGATGCCATCTTGAGCCTCGGCATGTGTCTTGGCATTTGACGGTACGCCGACCGGTGCCGACTTGCTAGAATGCCACCAAGAATAATCTTAATACCGAGGACCGACTCGACCAGTTGTGCTCGTTCGCTAGCTCCTCTCATTACGAGTATTCTCACGAGTATGCATGCTCGCTGTGGGTGATCCTATTACTCCCTGTGACCGACCGTTTGGCGCCAAACCTGCCGCATCCTTGAAATACTCGCACAATATGGGTTGCGTATTCGCATGACAATCAGGCTGACAATGGTGGCAAAAGGACACAATCGTCACTGCTGAGTGCAAGACATGCAGGCTTACAGTTGATGTGCATGACTGCATGACTGCATGACTTGGTTGCACGACCTATGGTCACTTGCTGTGTGAAGGCTGCATTGCCATACCATTTCTCAGCCACTCTTGGCTGTGTCCTACACTGGCTCGATTAATATAGAAGGCGTCTGTCCTACCAACTCCGGCGCTACCGTCGCTTGACCTAAGACAACGCCTGTGTAATATGTAACGATGTGTTGACGTTGCGAAAGTTATGGCGATGATTACCTGAGCCCTGTCCACGCGAGTGCTTACTTACGTACGTGTGTACGTTCATCAACCATCAGTATTTGACAGCTATTCCTGGTAATT